GCAACTTGAAACGCATCTGCAACCCTACGTGTGTTGCCAATGTCCATAGGCGGTGGCTATCAGATGAACCGCCAGTTCGTGTACCACCTTCTCACTTATAAAAATAATTAATTTGATTTCCAATAATAAGTGTGAATGAATTCTTAAATGGTCGCATTAAAATCGCAAAATACGCAATTTCACGGTGTATCGAAACTTGCTTAACAATATTGTAACCTAGTACTTCGAGGATAAACTTGAGAACGGTCACACGACTTGTTATAAAAATATCGTCTACAGTATTACATAACAAGAGTTTTACCTCTCTGTAACAAATTTAAACTTTAGACACTAATAACCTGCCCCAAATATCTCCATATCGTAATTATTATTGTGATTTCGCTTTCTTGGCTTAGCACACACTTATCTTTCGACTGTCAAAAGTCGCCATTCATAATGTCAATTACAATAGGGTGTTTTCTTTGGTGTTATGAAATATCCGTTTTCATAAATTTAATATTATGTCCTTTTTACAATTTTTACTAAAAGGCTACATTTCAATGTTTGAAAGCGTGTTGTGCAGGTTTAAATTAATTTTAAAATGACAAACATTTAATCAAATGAGTATTGGTTGCCGCATTTAACAGAACGGATATTATTTCCGTAAAAACGAAAAAGAAATAACTTATAATGTTTTTCTTCCGGAAAACATTAGACGATATTTTATGGTTCTTCTAAACCATCATTAGCATTTCTAACTTAATATTAGGTAAAAATCTTACGAACAGCCGGATGACTAGGCGCAAAACGCGCGTACGATTTAAAAAAAAACAAGTCATAAACAAACGCACGAAGCCGATATGACGGCGCGAATAATTCGAATTCGGAATCGCGCGGGCGTTCGAACTTCGAACACTTTCGCTGATGACGCCGCGAAGCGATCAGTGCTGCGTCGGCCGCCAGAGATGTCGGTGCTGGTGGAGCTGGATATGTCGTGCGACAGCCTGTCAGCCGACGGCGACGCGTCCGGCGATGACGACGACGCCAGTCACATCCTGTGAGCCCAATACGTTGTCCGGTGAAGTGAGACAGATTAAATAGTGTTGTCTTACGTTAGTGAGACAGTGATAAAAAAAAAGAATATTTATTCAGGCCTATTTAAAGCCCTTCAATTAATTTGTGTTGTCTTACGCCTGTGAGACAGTGATGGAAAAAGAGACCAGCGTATATCGATGGTGTAACTTCTGAGCGACTTGACCATTTAGTTTGTGTTCACACAACATGTGTGTTATACTCGCACATCTTTGCATAGGTTTGAAAAGGCGAGATGACTTCAGCTGATATTGCTTTAATCCGGCTCTGGATTTCCGAAATACCGTTTTGTGTTTTGCGGCACAAAGTTTGCACTTTCGGCTTGAGCAATTATAATTCGTTTAGTGTGTCAGTATTTTGAACACCGTCGAAAATTCGCAGAAAAGTTATTTTGCAAGTGTTACGGATGACATTGATTGCATATGTATTATGTATTTTTACTCATAACGTATCTGTATACGTACTTGTTATGTATAAAAATTCAAGAACAGTAAAGAAAAAAACACTGGCAATCTAATCTATTAACTTGCTTTTTATAAACTAATTTGATTGATTCTAATGATGATATTCCAAGTCGTTGATCTTAAACTTTATTTTTGCCTAAATGTTTTAGTAGTTAATAATCCTTAATTTTTCTTATATTGGCTGTATATGCGAAATGGTTGTGAAATCATAGTTGTTTTAGCGCCACTATATCCAGGTGGCGTAGCGAAGACTGATAAATAAAATTGGTCATCTCAATTATGTCGAGTTATTCCGACTAACTCATAATTAAGCAATTCGTATGCTGCATCGAAATTAGTCCAAGTATTTCGATTCAGAAGACAGTATTTTTTTTGTATTTCATTCATAACATTAGGTGACGAGCATTTTTATGTTGCTCTACGTAAGAAGGAACGACCTTTGGCAACCTCTTTTCTGATATAGAAAATGTTTCCGCCTCAAATAACACACGGATAGAAAGGCCCGCGCTGTTCCTTCCTCCGTTTTAACAGTACATAATAAACATGGATCGGTCACGGTTCTTAAATATCGCACGGCACGAATGGCTCTATACAAATTGCTGGAACCGCACGCGCGGTCTCTTAGTTCCCTACCTCGAGTACGGTCTACGGGCGTCGGTTTCTTCCGAGTAAAGTTTGCTGTAAACCCAAGAGGGACCAGCCTTCTTTCAAACGACTTCAGAAACGGAGGGGGCTCTCAATTCGGCAGTATTTTTTTATGTTTGTTACCTCTGAACTTTCGACCCACTGAACCGATTTTATTCTTTTTTTTTTTTTTTTTTTTTTTGAAAGCTGGTGCTTCCCATGTGGTCGCATATTAATTTCATCGGTATCGGATCTTAGGCTCCGGAGATACTTAGGAAACTACTGAAAATCAATTATGAAATGAATACAGAACTGGATATTTGAAGTCGGTGTTGTTTTTGGTTTATGAAAAAAATGTTATTTTTTACGAAATTTCATCCTAATTTTCCCTGAAACCTTCGCACCTCCTGGGGTCAGTCTGCCCATTGCTGCAACAGCAATTGCTCCGTGGTCACAGTAATTATTTTACCCCGTTTACCACCTTAGGTCACATGATGATAATCGATCAAGCCAATTCGTTAGCAAGTCATTAAAGGCGAGTCTCGAATCCAAGGCGAAATTGTTTTTCCAAGAAAATAAACCAGGCCTAAGCCCCGATCGTGGCGCCAACAGTGAACTTGGAACACTTCACTCAAATGCGAATTAGTTAGTTAGTATAGTCTTACCTACTGCAGTCAATTGTCTAATTCTGCCGCAACTGTTATTGGACATTGACCCCTCGATGAATAAAGAAAATTATCCTAGTGTTAACTATCAACTGGTGTCGATGTACACGTCTGTAGAAGTTAAATTCAACTCTCTGACAAAAACGTTTTGTCACAGAAAGCTTCGCGCCAACGCTACTGAGCGCCACTTTCTAAACAACGGCGCGCTGAACGTTCCAAGTGTAATAAAGTTCACATACTCTAGCCGAATCATCGGACGAAAGCATTAAATCATTCGGCCACCGTCAATGCGTTGAGATCGTCGAGAATGCCACCTCCAACTCGTTGAGATCGACGAGAATGCAATCGATTGAATGGCAAAAATTATTCTTGCACACTTCTCGCTCGCGACCGAGATAACATTCCTCAGTTTCCTTTGATATATAAAATGAATGTACAACTTTGATATTAATGTGTTTTCTAAAACTAATTGCGCCTTTGAATGGTAAATGTCTTTTGGAACCTGATTCGCCCAAGGTTCTAGATAAATGCAATCGATAAAATACTGTCTTAACGACTGCATTTAGCATAAATACATTTGTGAACAATAAAGTATACTACTGGGTGCAGCTTTTCGTGACCATTATAGTATAGCGGAATTTACATGTCTAGTAGAATTTCAAATTGCTTATTATATTTAATTTTATGGACAATTTACGATGTGGTATTACAAGTTGTTACCAAATCATCATATATTTATGACGACACGCACGCCGTTATGTTTAAAGAAATAGACATTTCGGGAACTTTGGAATAAATGCTTATAAACCGAAGTCATAGGTTAAGTTATTGTTGGTATAATCTAAAAATTTTGCAAAATGTGAATTATTAACATGACACTGAGTTAAAATTTCTTCAAAAACAAATTTGAATTTTTTAGTACCTAATACACTGGACGATACAAATCTCTGTTACATTGGAAAGTTATTCAATTCGACCCATTCGTTGAATAATCACACACGCATAGGCCGATTAATTCTTCGTTTGTTTTTTTTTTTTTTTTTCTATGATTACAGTTAATTTCCTCCTATTTTGTAAACTTGACGCAACCGCTCTCCACGCCATTTAGAATACAATTCCCAATAACAATTTGTTTTTGACAATTATTTGAATCCGAAGCGAATGCTTGATTTTAATGTGTTTGCACACATCATTACATTTTACGTACTTCATATTACGTTAGGTTTCGTGTATCTAAAGTACAAATTACATCCTTTATTTATTTTTACGTTTATAATAGGTAGTCAAGGCGTTACGAAGGTCAAAACTAAGGGGTGTTTAAATGATGACGCAAATTAATGCATATGATTAATTTCCGACTAATCGGCGACTAAACTGTTTAGATCCAACAATCTATTCAAACTTTTAGCGTCTAGTGGTTTTGTTTTATGTTAGAAGATGGCAAGTGAGCTGGCGGTTCACCTGATGTTAAGTGATGATTGCCACCCATGGATATTTGCAACACCCTGGTTGTAGATGCTTCGCCACTTTTCAATACAGTGTACCCAACCCTACCTCACTCACCAGACAAAACGCAGAAGTATAACAATTTAACACAGTTTTTTTTCCGCACAATTTTACCATATTTGCTCCAAAACATTTTACAATATATGTAAAATTGTCATTCCGTGTCAGAATATTCCGCCAACACTGAATCTTGCTGGAATAGCGAACGGACTTTTGCTGACGTTTCTAGCATGATAACTATTTCTTTTAGACTAGACTTCATACGAAATTATATCATTAGAATTATTTACACAGACCAATCTTATTTGCGCTGTTAGTTGGTAGACTCCCTTTTGCATACGAATATCCGTCGCATTCGTATGTAGGCTATGCAATTACGCAATAAGAAGTGTTTACGCGAGAGTCTGTGTAACTGCGTTAATTAAATGATTGTTATACTGTCGAAATTTGCATGCGCGTTGACGTAATCACATAAAAAAGCTTTTTATCTCTTTTAGCGAGTTAGGATTAAATATTGACAAGTATAAGTTTAAAAATATGGTTTTTTATTAAGTCTACAATGAAATGTGTAGTAGTGGAATTTAATATCATTTGCCTATTCAAGGGAAACCGTAAAGACCTTCTGTCTCCCTCCCACATGACGGTCTCTTTCACGCTCTTTCCTCTTCAGATTGGAGATCCTGAAGGCCGACTCGTCGCTCAAGAGCAAGGCGAAGCGCAACGAATGGACGTGGAAGGCCCAGACGGACGTGGTGAAATGGCAGGCGACGCCCCTCAGGGCGCCCCTGCTGCGTCTACCAGCCGCCCTCGCCCCACCAGCTCTGGAATGCTTCACCTGCGTCAGGGCCTACTGCGGAGACCTGCAGCCGGCGGAGCGCGCCGCCCACCAAGACCTCACAGAGGTCAAGTGCGTCTACACAGTCCTCATGGTAAGCCTGCAGGCCTGGTTGTATATTGATAGAGCACGCAAAGGACCGGCGTGAATTGTACTTTTGTATCAAGTCTGGCGATTAAGGTAATCGGAGATCCACTCTTGAAGTGATGTTAGTTGCCAACCTACTGTAAGCTATGCTATGAATATCCTTACTATGCTCTGTCAAGTTTAGGATGATAATTTTGACAGCTCATGCCCTTCTCTAAGTTGTGTTGTAATGTAAAAATACTTCCTTAAACAGTCAACGTTTTTTTTTTCTCTAAAAATGTGTCAAACGAACAGGGATGGCTTACTTTCTAATCACATCTATATCCTTCAATTATCGCCGCCTACAATTCTTGGCGAGTTGCAGACAAAACCAACATTAAAAAAGCGGACCTTCTTTACCTCGCTCACCGGGCGAAACGCGAAAGTATAACACTCCCACTTCACGAGTCGAGTCCGCGGTACTTCCCCGGCCGAGGCTGCCCACCTGCGCAACAGCCGTTGCCCTGCACGGGCGCTAACGCAAGTTGCCAACCGCGAACTGTCCCGCAGCACTGCCACTCGGTGCCGGAGCTCCGCGACGAGGTGTACTGCCAGCTGATGAAGCAGACCACGTCCAACCGTTCCGCCGCCCCGGACTCGTGCCAGCGCGCCTGGCGGCTCATGTCCATACTGGCGGCGTACTTCACGTGCTCCGAAACGCTCAGGTATGTACTTCTGGAACGTTCGGGCAGAGGGTGCGATTGCTCTCGAACCTCCAACATGGCCAACTAATTGTGGTAACATGATAAGTTAGTTAAATAATATGTTTGTTAAATATACATAACTATCTTTTCTTTAAGGCAGTTTTTAAGGTTCCGTACCCAAGGGGTAAAATGGCAACCAAGAGTTAATGTTTTATAAATAAGGCTTAATAAGGCTAATTTTTTTTCCGTTTAGCACTTGGCCGGTTTCTGTACCTATCATGGAAAAAAAATGATTTCTTGATCAAATCAAATCATTTATTCATCGAAATAAGAAATACACATTTCATTTATCCATAAATATTTTTTTTAAATCTACCACCGTTTCGTAATGAGGTTCCTCTGAGAGAAGAAACAGGCGAAAGAAAGTCCGTAGGTATCCTCTTTTTTTTTTTGATAGAACGTAACATTCACAATGTGTTCATAAGTTAAATTAATTAAAAAATCAAAGCTTTATCGATTTTTATTGTGGTCAAAGTGATAAAAAGTCCTGCAACTTATTTTCTTTTAGTTTATATTCGTGTTCACTATGCAATACTCAGTTATAAAAGACGTCCAGTAATGTTACTAAAAACTTATTACCGTTTAGTTATACTCCTAATCCATGTCATCGAAGCACGTTTTCATTTAGTTCGTTGAATAACCCACGGTTCGTCGCTTTCAGGCCGTTCCTCGTCGAATACTTGTCGGCCGCTGCTGCTGACAGGCGGAGGCCGTGCCAAGGCACCGCATCCGTGTGCCTCGCCAACTTGAGAAAGACGCTCAGGTGCGGCGGAAGGAAGAACGTGCCAAGTGTCGAGGAAGTGAGTTTATTAGAGTATATAAGAATCTGGCCAGTGTTTCACCATTCTCCTAAGTGGCGATAAAGAAAATGGTCCTTCGAACCGGACTTTTGTAAAATATTTTTTTTCTGATGCCCATACGGTAATATACGACAACATTTATTACGGCTGTGATTGTTAATTCAATTAGAACGTGGCAATTTCTATGTAATTCTGTTAACCATTATTTATAAAGTCTCGTGTACTGTGTTTAATTTATGTCTATCGTGGAAAGTTTTCATCTTCACACTCTAACTTTAAAACCAACACAACGCAACAGTCATAAATGCATATGTTAAAAGAAACTTCCCGAAGAAACCGACGACCGAACTATTTTTGATGACTCCGTGGCGCTGTCGCCAAGGTATTGGCTTCGGTGTCGGGAGTCGTGGGTTCGATTCCCACACGGCACAACTATTTGTGCGACCCGCAGATAGTTGTTTCGCATCTGGGTGTTTGTCCACGTGAAATTTATGTATGTAAAACGTCCTTACAACACAGGATAATGTTAAAGTAAGGGCAATGTTAAAAAAAAAAAAAACAAACAACAAAAAAACAATTTTAAAGTCCGTTTATTGCATCGAGGCTTATGGCTTGGAAAGTTTTAAAGGATTTATTTTTCTTAGTGCAACAGTATGCACCGTAACTTACGTCTGTTGCAGGTGACTGCAGTGTCGGCCGGGCGATCGGCTCGTCGCCAACTGTACCGGCTGCCGGGCGGCGCAGAGCGCGTCGTCAACACGAGATGCGCCACCGTCGTGCAGGACATCGTCAATGAGCTCTGCGAACTGGTGCGTGCGATACACACGCTCACACGTAACATGCAAACAAGCGGGCATTGATAGTGTTAAATATTCTGTTTTTACTATTGAATTTAACGATAGACTTTGTAGGAGCTGTGGGTCGCAATGATCTAGTCTTGGGCTGTGATAATATTACGGTTTTAACGAGATTTAATCAATTCATTTCAAACTAGAGTTTGGTCCTTCGAGCTGGATCTAGACTTTAAAACACTCTATCAGCATAAAAGATTGGATTCGCATCACGTTCAAATTGTTTTGTTTGTTATGAGTTTTATAAAACAAACAAATCGACGTAGAAATATTGAATTTAGATCCTTCAGTATTAAATTGTTTTATTTTCGGCCATACTTTAACACGGGTATAACAATGTTTCTAACAACACAATTTACTTCTGTTATAGCTGTTAGACGTGTTATTTTCTTGCCTTGGTTTTATATTCTTTTAATAGTTAACATAACTGTGTTATTTTTTTAAACGAAATAAATATATGCATTCATTAATTCTATCGCCGTTGCGGTGCGAACAGATCGGCGTGACGAGCGAGGCGGAGCGCGCGGAGTTCTCTCTGTACTGCATCGTGGCGGGGGACGCGCTGACGATGCCGCTGGCGGGCGACGAGTACGTGCTAGACGTGACCACGGAGCTGCAGCGCGCCCACCACCCCTTCTACCTCATCTTCTGCCGCTCCGTGTGGCACCACCCGCTGCGCACCGACGCGCCGCCGCTCTACACCGAGGTGCTCTTCAACCAGGTACGCGTCCTCGGCTTAGAAGGCTCCAGTTTGCGAGATCAGCCCTCATTTCGAGCCCGCTCTCACTGGCACGATTGGAATTCTTGGCTTGTCGGACTGACAGGAAATGCTCTTATGTCAAAATGCTAATCAAAGAGACAGATTTTGAAGAGTAATTATTAAACTATCTTATGGTTCAATAATATTGGGTAGTCTATACACGGCCATCGACCTCAGAAAAGTTCAGTCAGTTCCTTGTAAGATTTGTCATCCAAATCGTTACCTTTAACAGTGCTGTTTAGCACAGCGCCATCTGTCGGAGGCAATGTGCATTCGCTAACAACGTCCGCCGCGCAGGTGGCGCCCGACTACCTGGAGGGGCTGCTGCTGGTGCTGCCGGGGGGCGGCGCGCCGGGCGCGGGCGCGCTGCGCGACGCGGCGCTGGTGGCGGCGCTGCTGCACCGCGCGGCCGCGCTGGCCGAGCCGCCGCAGCCGCGCGACCTGCGCTTCCTGCTGCCCAAGCCGCTGCTGGCGCTGCGCGAGCCGCGCCCCGCCAAGTGGGCCGCGTGGGTGGCCGCCGAGTGGCCGCCGCTGCGCGCGCTCGCCCCGCCCGCCGCCAAGGCCAGGGTGCTGCAGGTGACCGCGGACCCTCCTACGCTTTGTTTCCTATTCGAACACACGTCCGCCCGTTTCGCGCCCAGACGCTTTCCCACGACGGGAAAATCTCGACATCTATCTGAGCTTGGCGACATCTAGCGCGCATTCTTTACACCATGCAACACCTTAACTCTTATATATTAAATTATGTGTACACTGGATACAGTAACGGAATACAACAGACGATCTCAAAAACCTAATCAAAATGAAAATAGCCATCTTGATAGACATAGTATTAAAACGGCCTAAAACTCGTGTAAAAATAAACTTAAGAAACTCACTCAACTCACGTGGATGACATGTCTACGACATGTTTAAAAATAAATTAATAACAATTTGTTAACCATTCTGTGCAGGTGCTGTCCCGCTGGCCGCTGTTCGGCTCGTCGTTCTTCGCGGTGCGGCGCGTGGCTGGCGGGGGCGGTGGGGGCGGTGGTGGCGGTGGGGGCGGAGGGGGCGCTGGGGCGGGCGAGTGGCGCGAGCACGTGCTGGCGCTGAACCGGCGCGGCGTGCACCTGCTGCACCCCGCCACCCACGAGACGGACACGCACTGGCCCTACTCCGAGCTCATATCCACCAGGAAGGTACGCCCGTTCGCTTTGTGATTGTTTTCCTTTTTATGTAAGACGACATGCAAGCTAGCGGTCCACCTGATAAGTGATAATCTCCGCCTATTTACATTTGCAACGCCCATAGTGTTGGAGATTCGTTGCCACCTTTTAATGAACTAAGCAAGATAATTCGAACATTTTACCGAGTGGTAAGCGTTGGTAACTCAATGCATTTACCGTCCGATTCCAATATCAGCCATTTCAATGTAAAATCGATTTACTCGATTGGGTAACTGTGTCCACATCACGATGTTTAAGAGCTAGCCAACGGGCGAGCGCGTTGAAAGTTTTGGTGCTTTCCGAGGGGCGAGCTGACACTAGAATGTGCGTACCAGGTGCGGTCCGAGGACGGCACGCTGTTCCTGGACGTGAAGTGCGGCTCGCTGCTGCAGCAGCGCGTGACGCGGCTGCAGGCCGAGCAGGCGCACGAGGTGGCGCGCCTCGTGCGCCAGTACGTTGCGCTGCAAAGGGACCAGCACCACCAGCACCAGCACCAGAACCAGCGCCACTCGCCAGGTCACTGCCCCACCCTCGACGAATCACCTACCGACGGGCCACATTGAAATACTCCCCCCACTTTCATAATCGAACAGTCAAATGGCTCTACCCCCGTGCTACATCGCATGCTACCCAGTGCCACTCACCAAATACCCTAACAACAGATGGCTTGACAGCAACTGACCAGTCACTCTAAAATACTCCCCCACTTTCGTTATGAACAAACAGATAGCTCTATCCCCCTCCCACATCACACGTTACCCAGTGCCACTCACCAAATCCTCTACCAACAGATGGCTCTGACAGCAACTGATAGGTGACTCTGGAATACTCCCCCACTTTTAGTACCTGATCAGACGGCTCTATCACTCATCCGCATCGCAAATTAATTTTACTTTTTTGCTTAGTGCAAATTTAATTTACTTTTTTTCATATATTTTTCAGGTTTCAATGCATGAGTTGAACGTACCCGAGCGAAGTCAAAATAAACGGTTAAAATAAGCGAATCCATAATTATGTTGTACATTATAATCGATTTTACATATTATGCATTAGTATAATCAAGGAATTGAAATCTGTCCGTCCTCATTGATATCAGACTTTTGTACTTATTTTAGGTTAAATTTAATAATGAACAAAATCGGGTAAAGCTAGGAATATAGTTAATTAAAGAAGTTTCTCAAATCTGTCAAAATTTCGAGGTCAATTTTCGTATTTAAAAAAAAAAACGGCTGCATAAGTAACACAAATTGTTGCTTCGACTTTTTAATGACAACAGTATCCTAACTTTACCCAAACGATTAAAATGAGAATAGGATTTATAGTTTGAAAACGTGTTTCATCAATACAAAACGCGAGCTTCTTTAATATTACACTTCTATTTTCATTTTAGTCAATTATTTTTTATTCATTTTATCATCCTTCTCGTACATATTAAGGGAGAATGAAGTAACGACAACATTATTTAATTCATAACATGATTAAAGTTTATTACAAATTGAAAATGACTATAAATCCACCAAATAAACATAAATACAGACCCAACTAAAATTATGTTTTTCGTAGCGTTAAAGCAACAATCTTTAAGATGCAATGCAAGTTTAAGTAACAATGCAATCTTGGAGTACGTTTTTTTTACATTCCCTTCTATTAAATAAGCTGCTGTATTAAAATATTTTTTTTTATTTTATTAATCTTTTTTGTATTAAATGTTTGTCATCACAATTAAAATGATTTTTATATTTTTCATTAGATATAAATAATAAATCGACAAGATTTTGTTGCCTATGGAATTCGTATTATGTTTTATATAGTATTGGTATTTCCGACAACAAATTCGAAAATTCGACTCACGATTTTTTTAACTGTAAGAATGAAACATTCCAAAATATTTTAAAGAGCCTGTCTTCCTCGAACATTTAATAAAGGTGCTAATGTGTATTTTAGTTAATCTTAATTTAATGCAGATCTGTTTTCTCTGTTAGAAAAGTAATATTTTAAAATATGTAGCATTATTTAAATACACCACTGGCTTTTATAACATATTACTATATCTCTAATAGACTTTTCTCAAGTCTCTGGTCATTCTGATTCATTTTTCTTTTATATCGTATTATAAATGTATTATTTTTAAGCGTCCAAAGACCGCAGTGGTCGGAGTCATGTTTATTGTACTTAATAGGGAGTTGTATTGTTTTCATGTAATATATTTAAATTAATCGATGTTTAATGCGAAAATATTGTAGATATCAATAAAGATTATATTTTTATTATTTTGACGTTTTAATGTTTTATCCATAGTATTTTCTTTAAATCAAAGTGTGTAATTGATAACAACCAAATGCACCTTGAGATCAGCATATCTTGCAGCTCTGTGTCTATATTGTCTATATTCTAAAATAATTCAAATCTATTCACTTATCTATTACATAATGTTGCTGTGGTATCAACTCAAATTGAAAATACATATCCCTTTGATTTATTTAGTGTAAACACTGAACTTTTCATTGCATCCAATGAAATGAACAAACAAATGAAAAGGCAGTAAAGCGGCCTTCTGCCGATTCCTTGTCACAACCTCTACAAATAGCTGACATAAGTTGGCATCGTGGGATTGTGTTTATTTACTATTTGACATTGTTTCGTCGGAGGCGCATTGTGCTTTTTTCCATACAGGATACATCATCTGGCTGTGGCGATGTGCGAAGGTTGGCGACGTTCTCACGCGGACTGTCCCTTTGTTTGCTACTCTGTGACGACTGCGTCCCCAACGCTGCCAAGGCCTTCTATTATACAGTGACCGCGCAATCGCTACTTGCAAAGTTTACCGAGCAGCTGCAGCTGGTTTAAAAGTCTTTTTTAACATTTTATTTTAATTTCTTTCACATATAACACTATATTTTTTTTTTATAAATTTAGTATATCGTTAATATGTGTATCTGTGAAGATAAATTATCAAATAATTCTGGCACTGCGGGATTCGAACCCGCGCCTTCGAAAATCAAAAAAGTCAATATATATTAAAGTAACGTGGTTTTCGAGATTTTCACATCACGAGGTCGTCTGCCGCTTAGCTAAGTTATTAAAGCACCTCTAAAAACGTAGGTTCGTATCCCAAAGGTTTGACGATTTATCTAGAAAAAATCACGAAAGTGTGTCAACCATTAACTAATATACCATTGTTTTCTAAACTGTTACAATTTCTTTCGACTATAATTATACTTCTATCCCTTATAATAAATCAATAAACCTTTGTAAGAAATATGTAATATGTTGTTGATGTTGATCTAAGTTAAGTAAAAAAAGGATGCTAACGTTTTAATTGCCCACACATGTTTTTATTGCAATTAAACAATAAATTCAATGATTATGTCATTGAAATCAATTGCGCTATACTATTATAGGTAATAATCCTCTATATGTACATTTGGATCAAAGATATAAATGTATACAGTTAATAAGAAATAATACTTTAAGTATAGGGTTCGCTGTCGATTCATTTTCAATTCATTTTTTAGACCACTTATAAATTATGAAAAGTTATTACGAACTATTTAAAGGTACACAAATCAAAACGCATTGTCCTTTGCAATATAAGCATTGTTCAATTGTATTCAGTGAACTATTAATTAATGTATTCACATAAATTGTTTCCAATGCATCGAGACTACAATATCCAATGGTAACTCACAGGAATAAGTCGCCTAATATTTCCGCCCATTCTTTTAATGGTTAATAATACAAGGATTGCAGTAGCTTACACCTGTTTAAAAAGTAGGTACCTAGGTTCGACTCCAACTTGTACCAATATACAGCGCAACCATGATATAACGAAACTCAAGGGAATTCAAAAATATTCGCTATACCGCGTAATTTGTTACAATGACGCCCGGTGTCTGAAACACTGATCATCGTAGAAGTCAACTAATCAGCAGTCAAATGGCTTTTGAAATGTTGATCAATTCAATGAGTTTAACAATCCTTTTGGCAAATCAAATAACAAAGCCATTTGACAGCTGATTAGTTGACTTCTACGATGATCAGTGTTTCAGAAGCCGGCCGTGAGGTTTGTTGTAAAGAGATTAGACTGGACTACGATTCGTTTTAATAAATGCGTGCGTTTAACCGTCGAGGTTGCGGTTCGGACCGAAACCCCGATGGCCGTCGACTGTGCAATTAGCTAATCGGTGGCTGGGAGCGGTGAGAACCGCCCTGGAACGCGGGTGTACCTTGTGTAAGCGTTGTGTTGGTCTCGCCGTGCTCGGAGGCGAGGGCGAACTAGTGTGTTTGTTGTTGTACTAACTGTGGGTGTAGTGTTATCCGGCGGGACCCCCGGTGGTGGGTCCGGCGTATCTAAGTCCCCTTCCTCGACCGGGTCGATGAAGACGTTTCGCGAGCGACGCTTGTTGACGTTCGCGTTTGTGTCGGGTTGGTAATTTGCTGCGCTTACCACCAGAGGATTGGGACGATGTTCGGCTCTATCGAAGAACCGTTTGGTCAGATAAAATTTGATCACTACTCAAAACGGCGATAAGCATTAAGGCCCGGTTTCTGAAACAATAGATGAACACATCTTAGATGTCAACTATTTAGCTGTCAAATGGCTTTTCAAATTTCATTTTAGTTTCCAAAAGGATGGTTAACCTCTATGAATTGACCAGAATGATCTCCTTAATGATCAGAATGATCAATTCAAAGAGTATAACTGAGTGTTACAGAAACCGGGCCTAAGAGTTATGGAAGTTATGAGTGTTGTCTCAATAATCAGGCACCTATTTTTTACGAACCTTTTTTGTTAAGATAACTTACAATATTATAGAATAGAAAACAACATTACATAGCTTTAAAACAAAAGTTATAATGAAAAATGTAAATATGAGCATTAGTAACACATATGTATTACTGAAAATGTAATTTTTATTTTACTTAAATATTACTGCGTATGGAAATATGGATGTGTCATGAACTTAAAAAACAATGAAAACATCGAGTTTCCTTTATGGTAAACGTACAACGTACGAGTATGAACTGAACTAATACTGCAAAAAGTTCTAAATAAAATACATCATTCGTAATTTTATTTAAAATAACTATGCTATATGACTGACATATTTAAAACCGTGCTTTATTGCGAGGCGAGGCGAACAAAAAAAGCCAAACTTGTTATGACCATTTGTCAAGAGTGAAACAATTCGTCATCTTCAAATCGCAGTGTCACACGGAACTCGGCCAATCAGTACAGTAATTACCCGTAAAGATAATTGGATATCCAACAACGATTTAGATCCAAGTGCGAAGTGTATAATGACGCAGTTCCTTCTCCGATCACGCACAGCTTTTATAGTCGAGGACTTTTGTTTCCCACAATATTGACGATATTCTTAAATGAAGCCACTTTATTTGAACTTTAAAAACATCTATCTAGCTAAAAGTTAACAGCTTTTTTGTTTACTCATTCATAACTAAAAATTTTAAACAATTTTTTGAATTACCGCGTTTTCGAGCAGCATTGCAGTTTCAAAAAAATTGAGTTGTTTGACGCCATAATGTCAAGACTAACTTAAACTGCCGTCAATTATTTTTTAATTTCATCAATTTTATTATTCCAGTCGGGTCGACTCACGACTAAATAGCATTTAAACTGCGTTGTTTTAAGGAGAAGATTATTATATTAAATCCTGTTTTGTGCTATTTTTTTTTATTTTATGGCCCGGTATCGAGGACCTTTAGGTGCTATATCAAATGTGTGGTCACATGCAGCGGAACTTATTTTTCTTCAATACAGATTATATATAAATTATACAGCAAATAGTTTATGGACACGTAAGTTTATGGAACACAAAAGCCAGATATTAAATCAGGGAAACAGACGATCAAACGAATTGTCTTTTGATTTGGCTCTCCAAACTTGCACTCAAAACACTAAACACACTCACGAGAAAAAGAAGTGGAAAAGTTTTGCGGCCGCTTTTCCGACAGATTCAAACAAGAGTTAGAAACAATTCAATAAAAAAAACGCAAAGACAAGAATGCAAACTCTAACCAAGCGACGATATTACCCACTCACCACTGACCATCTCATCGATTTACCACTTAAGCGTATGAAGTTAAACCGCAAGCCTTGCATGAAGATTGGTGGCTTTCCTCGCAGACTTTAAGGTCAGTCAATTCTAAGGCAATAGCTAACGTCTCCATATCCGAGAGGTCAAGAGCACGCTAGTCGCTAACAGCAGCCCAATAATGAACAGTGTTGAAACATTCGTTAAATGAACCGTAGCGTTCATTGAGCGATATTGACGGACCATCCTATTAGCATAGCCGTTTGAATTGAACGACCTACGATTTAGCTGAATAGTGTCGAGTGCCAAATTCATTGGCTAAACATCCTTGTAAACGATCGCGTGCGGTTTTTCTTGTGCCAAATTTTCAATTTTAAGCATAAAAATAAACAGCGTGTAAGCTCAAACCGAGCCTTACTCAGTCATTACAATTTATGTTTTTTTTTTTGTATAAATCACGAAATGATATTGAATTAATTATAGCGTTAAGATGAATTGAAACATAATGCTACTGATTGTTAACTGCTTATTCGTAAATCCAACAAGTCTATAAATTTATTATAAAATTAATTTTACATCACATATGACATACATCCTAACAATCATTTAAAATAATTTTCAAACGTGTATCCATATAGTCGGTGTCGTCGACATTGTTCTTTTTTTAAATTCTCGCTTTTGATACCAGGGCGATATGAAAAGATTCAAAAATGACGTCTTCGTTAATTTTAATCCAAGTCTTAAGTAGCATTAAACACTTTCCGGAATTGTTATTGAATTAATTCTTATCCTCCGCGCACCGGACGCGGTCATGGGTACTGAAGTTTTTATTAATGTGTAATATCGTGAGAAAACTCTTTGTAATTCGGCAAATGGGAAAATGTGTGCACAAATCCGTAAAGTGTTTAGACATCGTGGGGTAATTAAGTTCTAATAAAGGTGTTTAGTTCAAATTTTCGCGATTTATTTCACAGTAGCAGTCATTTACCCGCACACATTTATGATTCACACTACGCGTTAGTTTGAATAATAAAATTACATATTTTTTTTATTTGAATTTTTGGCTGGAGACAACGAAAATCGTCGAACTCGAGAACATTAAACTTCACGAATAAACGTTCATACCAGTATTTCCGTAAAACAATTCGTTGTCTGTCCATCCGTCAAAAGCATGGTTTTCTTTCATCGAAACACTATCATAAGCTATGTACATAATTTTTATTAAAAGCGACTTCTTATTATAATAGCTAAAGCTATATCGTAATGGTAACGTACTAGTAGCTTAGTTGTTCGTAATAATTTACAAAACTGTCCACGTAGTAGGAGAATTAACTAGGTTAGCTTTTGAGCCAGGGGTGGAGTTTAAGTGGGGCTGTGTCGCGGAGTCCTGATTTCTCTCTTCTCCGGCCACCTGCCGGCCGTGTACTGGACGTAGCCGGGGTCGGTGGGAGTGCCAGAGGCGCGGCCCTCCACCTCCGCCCCCTCCCTGTCTCTCTCCTCGATCGGCTCCATTGGGAACAGCGCCGGAGTCTCCGATCGCCTGGACCTCGTGGAGCCGCGGAGATAGTCCTCCAGCTGCTGCAGCGTGGGGCTGGAGACGGTCTTCGCTCTCGAAGGGGACTTCGACTGCCTCTTCTGTTCGTACGTCGGCGACACGTCGTCGTAAAGACTCTTCAGCCTGCCGGTCTTCACCTTCGAGAAGACCGGCGTCTGCAGCTCCGGCAGATAGTCCTCCCTGACGGAGAGCTTTCCGTCTATCCTATCGAGGTAATCCCTGAAGTATCTCTCGTTGAATTTGGCCAGCTCCATCTCGTAGTGCAAACGATCCGGCTCGGCGAGCGGCTCCGAGAGTTTCACATAGTTCTCGTGTCCCAAACTGTTGCGCAGTGAGCCGTACTTCGACTTTTCCAGAACCCTCTCGACGGCGTCCTCGGTTTTCGCGAAACCGCCGTCGGGCTCGTCGAACAGATCGGTCTGGTTCGCTTTCTTAAGCTTCTCTTCTTTGTCACTCTTCTCGAGATCTAGGTCTTTCGGTCGGTCGACGGGAACGTGGCCGTTGGACTTTCCGTTGGCCAGGCCGCCGTTGACGATAGGCGGGGTCGCTATGGAGACCTTCTTCTCCGGCCTCGGCGAAGTGATGGCGTCGGTCTGAGCGTGGTGGCTGGCGAAATAGGCCCTCGGCCCCATCAGGTCCAGCAGGAACAGCGCGGCGACCGCGAGAGAGAACGAGCCGAGGACCGAGGCGTTCACCACCAAGTTCCTCGGTATGGAGTCCAGCGAAGCCAATTCCAGTCCGCCTATCAAAAAAAAAAGAAAAATAACTAGAATTAAATCGGGGAACCTTTTGACTTTGCGTAAACATTATTGTAACTTCTGTTCCTGAGGTTTAATCTACAGATAGATTTGGTTACTGGAGATATGAATTTTGACGTAAGTATTATGGATCTTATGTCAATTACCTATCGCTAGTAACCAAATCTATCTGTAGATATATATGAAACCGGCCGTAAAACGACCACGGAAATAGGAATGGGCGGATACTAATGTGTTCATTTATACTCAAAGAAACGACATTACTGCACTAGCAGGTGACGATCTAAGGCTTGCGTTATACAAATGCAAACGTTTGTGTTCGCTTCTTGTATTGAATAACAAATTTGCCGTTAATTCACTATGTTAATTTTATAAAAAGAAGTATACTACAATTGGACATGGCGAAAATATCTTTGACCGTTACAGTAGACGACTTACCCAGGACAAGGAAGAACAGCATACCGAAACCGAGGAAGATGCCTTCCAGAATGCGCCTCCCCCGCGGGATCTCTTGGAATACTCGCGCCACTATTAACCCGAATGTTATAATCACATAACCTGTCAAAGAAATATCGTTATGTATAATTTTACATAGTAATTTATCCTAAAACAAATCTACAAGATAGTCGTCACGTCTTCAACGATTTGTTAACATCAAGAACAAAAAGCTGCCATGTCTTACCTAAATCTCGGATGAGACTGACACCTAGATAAATTTATAAATTTTAATGGCACTACATTAAACAAAATTGACAACGAAAACATAAATGAAATGGAAAAATTTCCCTCACTTTTAAATCGGTATCTTTAATGTGTCAGATTACACATGAGTACACATATTATTTCGTGCGTGCAGTAAAGGCTTTTGTTAGTACCTATAACTAGGAAATTAATTAACATTCAGTACTAGTCAGAACTGTTTAGATTACAATAATGTACACAATGTTGTGATGTCGCACGCAAACAAACATATCGAACCATTATAAACAAACCAGACTTATTAAGGCAACAAAAACCCTAATTTCGAACATTGCAATGACGAAAATTTTCTCAGCACATTCAGCCGCCACCGCTTTCCGTTCTTCAGACGTTTCAAACAGTATGTATTTGTATAACTGATGTTACGCTTTCAGTCCTTAGACTATCAAAGCTTCATCGAACGCAGAACCGGTGGGCTAGCCAGAACCCACGGGTTTGAGGCCCTCCTCAGTGGGTGGGCCGCGCACGTACTCATGCGTGCGTTAATTATGTGGCAAACAGTAAAGCAGTTAGCGAAGTTGACATTGGAATGACCTCCGTACACGGCGTCGGCGAAGGCGCCCCCCACGGAGTCCCACGTGACCGAAGTCAGCAGAGACCACTCCCTCGACAGCTTCTGCAGCAGCAGCGCCAACCGAGCCTCGTCGTCCGCGGAGATCCGCTTGGCGACCAGGCACGCCACGCACATCGCCTGACGCCCAATGAAATATTTCAATTCAAACAAGCAATAAAGCATCTCGCGTTTCGTTTGCCATAACGAAAAATTTAAATTGATTGCGACGCTAAATTAAATTCTTTAGTACTTTCAGAGCGCTTTAAGGTAAATTTTTATATGTACGGTATTTCTCTACTAGCGGACCCAAAAAAACATTGTCCTGTGCACGCGACTTAAATCCGACAACAGCTTATAAATAAAAACAAAAAAACGAATTGTGAATCTAAACTATTCTCGAATCGACCTGAAGACACACAAAAAAATTTATTAACATCGGTACAGTCATTTAGCAGGAGTTCAGTGACATACACACGTATAGAAGAATTATATATATAAAGATATTACCATTTGAATCTGATGATAAATTGTGGACCATTTTAATGTTATCTACATACATACTAGTCATCTCATGACTAGACTGTATGCTTTTTTTGGCTTTATTTTTTATATTTTTGTTTATATATTCGCGTGAATATGCGCGTATTAAGGAAACTGGGAGATTGTCGGCTACGGGCCGTCGAGGTCCGTATATACACCGTGACATCGGTGACCGTTGAGGGTCAACGGAGACCTTCATATGCGTGTGTTGTATGTTAAAAGGCCCGAGTCATCCCAAAAACATAAGTACGGATGCGCTCTTTAAGTCATTCATTCAAATGGGTCTGTATCAACGGCTCTACTAGCTGTTTGCACTCGTGCCAGAGGTAAGTGCATATTATCCGCCCTTCCTACCCAATCACTATTTTCGATACAGAATAGATGGCAATATTTCTAGGAGCCACCCCCTTACGTCATCGCGTCCAGAACATGAGGTACACAAGGTACACCCTCGTTCTAGGATGATTTTCCCCAGCTTAATCGTTCTACGGACATCGGTGCCATGGTCCACACCGATCCCTAATGACCCATAGTCTTTAGTAAGAAAACACGAAAGACATCGATAGTATCAAAAGGAAAAATATCGATGCAATAAAAACAATTCTATCAATAGCTTAAAAACTAATTAGTCTTTTATAACGTTCAAAAGTGAACGTCATAATAGTTTTCTGTTAAAGTGGTAACTTAACTTTGGTAATAATTAAAATATTTCTTCGTTGTGAATAACATAAAATTAAAAGTTTAATAACGATGAGAACGAGGGTTTTTGCGCCACGTTAATTCTATACACAAAAATATGTAACTGAATACCTACAGTATTTCGAGGAAGTTGACTAAACCGATATTAAAAGTTTTTACTGCATGGGTAAAAATATATTAATGATACACTAACAATCCGGTCATTACAGTATGAATTTAAAAATATTTTGGAAGTTGATATTTTTTAATAAGGGTCTATCGCCTAGAAGCACGCTTAGTGGTTCTACGATGTTAAAGCACACTATTTAGAAGTAGCCGGTAACATACTTGTATATAATAAATATAAATAAATACGCAATCACGCTTGTATTAGTTTCTTTCCACATGGTTACGTCACAGTTTCGTCTGACAAAATTGGCAAGTATTTACTAGATTCGAAATCCCATTTCTTTTTAATCGCGATGTTTTTCGGCGACCCGAGGTTGTTTTTCGCGCACTCTTAAATCATTTTTACTAGCCCCGGACTCTTTCTAACGACTCATGAACTCGAGAGGTTCGTATGAACACTTCTTTTTCTTTTCTCTACGAAAAACGTTAATTTATAATGTTCACAGTCACAGAAAGGTAGGTAACGTGTACAACTAAATTATATATCACGTTCCTTTTTATACAATGGATAACATTACAGTACAAGGACCTAGCACGGTAGCCGTAAGTACAACCTTAGAACGTTGTCTTTCCGTGACGTTACTGTCCACCGTGGGAATGTCATTGAACAAATGTTTCACAACACACGTGTTTTCCTAATTTAAATGTTAAACGAAATTATAATGCACCATAGAAGAAAAAATTGAAAGTTCGGCCATAAATTAGGTAACATTATAGTTACATAACGAATTTGTTTTTCTCCAATCTCCTACACATTAGACCTCTGTGCGTACAAACAATCAGAATTTAAAACCACATATTTTGGCATGGTTGATTAATATCAGAACATTAGAAAATTTAAACTTCTTTTCGAATCTCCATACGGCGCGCGGCGTAATTAAAAAAAATGTAAGTACTTATCGCTTTGAGGCACTAGAAAATTTTAATAGGTACTTAATAATTATCATTGTAAGTATTTTTAATTTCTCATGGTAATAAGAAACTATTTTGTTTTCAATATCAAATGCCTTAATTACCAAAAACACCTCCATACACTTACAATATAATTTTAAAAAATATTTACACAAAAAATTGTTATGACAGAGAAAAAAAGAAAAAGTTAAACCGCCATAAATGTTAGTAGTACAAATGTAGGTACCCGAATGAAATTGACAGTCTTGTATTAGGTAATAAGTGTTGAAACAACTCGGACTATTGTATCTGGCCGCATACATTGATAGAAAAAGAACGACAAGAATTTTAATGACCGAAACAGACTACTCAACAGATACTTTCCTTATTTATGACATTTTTACTTTCAGTCTGTAAATCAGCTTCATCGAAGAACGCAAACTCGTGGGGTAGCCAGAACCCGCGAACTATAACAGGTCCAATATCAAATTCTCTTACTTTTATGATTTGTCGTAATTATGCAAAATTAGGTTTAGATAAATTTATAGAGGCAATGATTTAACTGCATTGCAATTTTAAAATTATCTTGCCCACATTGCAGTTTACCCTAGTGCATATTGGGCAGACTCAGAGCACCTAGGTTTAAAGGCTCCAGACAGATAGAAACTTAGCGCTTGTGTATTATTTTTATCAGTTGTATACCACAAAATTTGTACGCAGTGTAGTAATGTATCAATTTAATGTTACAATATTTTAATTGATTTTACTCCGCAATTAGTTACCACGAGCCCCTACGTAGTTAAACCGGCCGTTCTCTGTTCTTTGGTGGTTAAATCATCGCAAAAACTATGAGTAATGAGAAGCGCTATTCAAATCCTTGGAAAAATCAAGAATCTATATATCTTCCACCCAACCCACTTGTGGCTCATAATACGAAACTGAATTATATGCAGTTATTCAGTGGTGAATTTTATATTTTACGAACAATACCACTTTACGTAGGCCTCTTCAGTGATTTAGTACTTAATCGAGTCATTATTTGGGTACCAATAGGTAAGATTTGTAGGTATTTTTATAAAACTAAATGAGATACTGTCACACAATTGAGGAAAACAAAGAACAGCATCGCATTTTTATTGTGTGAATAATGTTCAAAGTTTTTTATAACAATCAAGACAATTCGCAGTAATTGGAAAAGTTTACATAGATACAATTTTTTTTCTTATATTATACCATTTTTGTACCGGTATATATCAGAATATTGTTATATACAAAATATATTTCTTTGATGAAGTTTAATAATAAGTAGTTTATCCTGATGAGAATGTATTCATTCACCAATCCATCGAATTTCTATTTAGGTGAAACCAAGCATTCCTTAGTGTCGTTGTCCGCTTAAGATAACGGCGTCGATAACAAAAACCGATCGTTTTAGGATTCCATACAGCGATGAAGTTTCAACAACTACGCTTTATAAGATAGCTACTCTGACGACGATACGTCATTGACAAAAGTTCATTTTTAAAAGATCAAAATAGTGATAGAAAATAAAAGAGTTATAATAAAATTATTGAGTTTTGACATACATATAGATCTTAACGATCCAGACATAGAAGTGTGAAGTTCTAATTTTATAAGTAAATTCAAAATATAGGTATTTTTATTATTTTCAAGGCAGTTTAGGATATTAGAGATTCAAAGTATTTCAAAGATAGAGCCCTTCGATTCTCGAACTTCCAACCCTTAAGATATTCATTCTATGTCGCAATAGACTATTTGTGGAAACGTTAGATTTAATATATTCCTCTTATACGCGTCCGACTAGTAATTCATCGGATGTTTTAGAGGATACGCCCAATATTATTTTAAAAAACAAACTAATTAATGTCAATAATCAAAAATTTCAATTCAGTGGTCAGAATGCATGGTCAAGATGAAAAACAGCGTTAGGTACTATTCTTTACAGTCCTTGCATACCTATTGGCGAGGAACAAACTATATAGGTACCTACTAAATTTGTCAAAACTTTGGGGTCGAATTGCCAAAAATACAATCCTTCAAAAGAAAGATGTTATTTACTACCCTAACAATGACATACTTGCATACCTATTAGTGAGAACAACTATATACCGTAGGTACCAAATTTGTCCTCCATAAGAAAGTGATGTTATTTAATACCCTAACAAAAACATAAACACGCGCTTAACTGGTGGTTGTTTGGTTCTGGTGCAGTACCAAATTATTATATAGTATTTAAATACAAAGGGTCAGACTGCTTGGCTTCCAACCTCTGCAACCTCAGTGCGTTACTCAAATCAAGCGAGTTGGATGGAAGTTAGTTATACCATTGCAGTCGATTGCACTACACTATACTTACGAACTCTACTATCTTGAGCGCGACCCACTTGTCGCATACCGCCATGGCGTCAGATAAGGTGGGCACGGTTACACAACACGATTTGCACTCGACCGTCCCGCCCAACTACTTACTACCAGAGGCCGGTGCGTCGGAATACAAACATGCCGCCGTAAAGCCAAACGCACGGACACGGCTGCGCCACTCAAACGCAGCGTCGCGTTTGACACCATGCTATATTGCTTCGCTGTGATGCGACATTGAGCGAAAAACCTCCACAACATCCCACAAGCGGTTAGCGAGAAGCGTCGGTCAAGCAAACAAAGGGCGAACAATAAAACAACACGGGAGGACACATTAAAATATTATACTTAAATTTATTAATCAATACTGGCATGCAATATTATCGTTTTTAAAAACTCATAAAACATTGAAGGATAAATTCATTTCGCAGTGTTGCAAAATGTTTTAGATTTTGCCAATCGTAGTAGATAATTTCATAATGCTGCGCTATATCAATTGCTGAGAAAACAGATCCAAATTGATTTACGTACTTAAAACCTGATTTTAAATAGACTTATTCATACACAGAAAGAGTATACTACAATAACATGAATATTCTCGTTGAAAAAACTTCAAAAAATGTGGATCGTCGCTCTTTTGTGCGGTAATCCTATGCGAATGGGAGCCGTTTCGCCCCTCCGCGGTTGCCCTTAATTCATATTCTAAACAATAAAACAATATTGGAGACACTTGCTTAAATATATCTCGATACCGCTTTACAAAAATCGTAGAATTTAATACATTTAAAATTGAAACATCCAATTAGATTCTTAATTAAAATACATTTACGTTAAATTAAAAGGTTCTAAAATTAAAATTCTATATTTACCTTTCCTATGTTTTAGCGTTAATGCAAAAGGCATGTGTTTGAAGATTTAGAGATACAAAACATAGAAAGTAAGCAAAGAGAAATAACTGATTCTATTGAAAAAAATTTCACCCAAACGCACCATTACGTAGTAAATGTCGCAATCGATGTCTAAACTGTCGCAGCATAAAAATCTTCAACGATTCGAAATGATAAAAGCCTCACACAGTTGTTAACATTTGCCAACTCTGAGAAGGAATAAATGGATTTGTAAATTTCCAATCGGTTTAAAGATTACAATTTAATTTTCGACATTAATTATGTAATTGTGGTGACATAACTATCTCAAAGACCTTAAAAAATCCAATAGCATTCTCCTCCATTAATGTCCTCCCCTAAACATGCAAGTACAAGCAATAAACATTCGGCATTATTATTTCATACAATAAATTAATCAACATTCAGAAAAAAAGCAAAATGATCTGCAAAATATTAAAAACCAAGATAACTGTGCAGGCTAATCTCAAAGTCCAGTAAAAGCTAAATGTTTTCTGAGTCTATTAATGATTTACACTAGACATTTTGCAGAAGTGTAAGAAAAGCTGTAGAATAGTTAAGATACCAGGCATATGGTTATAAAATGAATGAATTTGGATATTCTGCTAAGAGCTGTAGAGCATTGTTAAGCAGTAATTAAACAAATAAGCTTAGACATTCCACGAGTGCTCTAAACGCTTCTACAGCTCGCATCGTTCAGAGCCAATATGCTAATAAAAGAAATAAGCTTCCAGAGCCGTGGCACAGTTATCGCGTCCCGGACTCACTCGTGCTTATTGTGAGTGATGAACTCCTGCAGCGGGTGGCGCGCGGTCCAGGGGTTGAAGTCGCGCGCGCCCCCCGCTGCCGCCGCAGCGCCCCCCCCCCCCGCCCCCAGGCCGAGGGCGCCCCCCGCCCCCGCCCCTCCGCCCGCCATCAGCCCCGCGCCGCCCCCTCCCGCGCCCGCAGCCAAAGGAGACCACACGGCGCGCTCGCCCGCCTCCAACCCCATCCCTGCGCCCAGGTTCAGCGACGCCATCGACGACATCAGCGACTCGATGCCGTTGCTGATGCGGTTGGACCACCTGACGGAGAGGGGCAGTCAGTGTACAACATCGATCGCGTTCATGCCCTCGCGTCTATTTATTTCATATACGTACCTACTAACTGACAGGGCCACGCGTTACTCTAAATTTAATTTTAATAAGTATAATGAGCAAATAATCGAGTAAAAGTTACATATTTTAATTCATTATTAAAAACGATAAATACGACGTCCTATAAAAGTTGCAATAAAAAAATGGCATATAAGATGGAGTAGGAGATTAAATAACTTCTTTAACGATAGGTTACCGCTGCAGTTGAAAACGACGGTCAGACTTACAAGGATTGAAGACGAACCAAGTGCAGTTATTCAGAATTAAAAGTAGCGTCGGAAGTAGATTAAAGGAAAAATCTGCACAAGCATTATTTTTATTTTAGTCGACAAGACCTTTCGGCCGGTAGAAACAGCGCATAACTAGTGATTTTATGGCTGACACTTGATTTTGCAAGTTCAATGTCGAATCGATGATGAAACAGAGGTTCTTGGCGCTTCAACAAGCATGCTCAATATAAAGGTTACATGCAAACAGCAGTATCCCAGTTTATTCAGGCATCTTTTTTTTTTTTTAAACTGGCCATTCTACGTTGGTATTGAGCTTACCAATGAGCCCATTTACGCAATAACAAAATGTCGGCCCTACTGCAACTAAGAGCAAACAGTGAACATATAGCCGTACGTAAGACAAGTAGGACACGACACGTAAAAAATCCGGTAAACTTAACTAGTATGGTGTATGCTGCGAAGGATTCGAAATTATAACCTTAATCCAATCTACTAACGTGTTTTATATTTTTCCTATTTCTATTCGAGGCTTTTACTATAGATTTAGAGTTTATAGCGACCACGACATGTGCTTTGAGCACTTTTGCTCATCAATCGATTCGACCCGTCATAAATGTGTCGCCGTGGGCACTGACTCGGTGTGGGCGGCGGCGCTGCGCTGCGCCTCGTGGATCATGCGCAGGCGGCGCGCCTGCGACCAGGGCTCCAGCGTGTAGGAGGCGGCGGGCGGCGGCGAGCCGGCGCCCTCGTCCGGCGCGCGCGTCAGCTCCACGCCGCGCTCGGGGCTCCAGCGCCCGATCTGCAATGCCACGCGTTGCAATGCAATGCGACGCTACACCGTTAGCCCTTTCGCGCCATTTTTAAAAAAAAAGTGAACCCAAAAACGAAGCTACCGTTGGCTCATTCTCGACATTTTCTCAAAAAAAGTGAACCCAACAACGAAGCTACCGTCGGCCAGTTCACGCCATTTACCCTAAAAAAAAAAAGTTGTCGAGCAGTACCTCGCGGTACTGGCGCAGCAGCTGCGGCGACTGCGGCAGCGACCAGTCGACGGCGGGCCTCGCGCCGCCGCCCCACGCGGCCGCCGCGGCCGCCACGAGCGCCTTGCGCGCCATCGCGGCGCCGCGGTGCGACCGGTACTCGACGATGGCGGCGCACGACGCCACCGAGCGGCGGATGCGCACCTCCTGCACCTCGTCCGTGAGCGCGTACAGCAGCCGCACGATCTCCGCGGACGGCGTGGTGGGCGGGATGCGCGAGATGAAGATGCGGCAGTTGTTGATCGACGGGCAGACGCCTGCCGGGTACGGTGGACGTTAGCTTTACCTTTCACCTTTACCCACTGTGCCCCAATTGTACTCAACATGCATCCAGCATAGGTCGTCCATTGGTCATGTGATTTTTAGGCAAATAATTAAAAATTATATTATATAAAATTACATAAAATTTATTACATAAAGAAGCTAGCCGGCGAGATCCGTAGCAGAGCGAAGGCCGAGTGGGTGAAGCTACACTCAGGGGTGACATAGCGAGTGTTCTGGTGAAGCACGTGGAAGAGTCAAACTTTACAATGAAGTAATAAATTTTGAATATTTCTTATATTTTTTTACATAAAATAACAAAAAAAATTAAAGATGTAGATTTTAAAAGCTTTGTAATTTCAATAAATGAAAGTCAAAAATATAAGAAATATAAAAAAATATGACTTCATTATTAAGTTTGACTCTCCCACGTGCTTCGCCAGAACACTCGCTATGTCGCCCCTGAGTGTCGCTTCACCCAGGACCTCCGACGCGAGGTTCTGGCTCCGCCTTTTTATGTTCACCCTAGGGGTAGGGACCACAAGACCACATGGAGTCGGGGTGCACTGTGTCGGATCTGTGACTAATTTTGAACCTACCTAATTTTATGATAAATAAATGTAGAACTCAATTTATCTTAATTAATAACAAGTCCTGATGACATCTTCAAGGCTTGCCATAAACAGAGATAAATTATTTATTTTTTTTTAAATTTTAATTAAACAACAAAAATTTTGTAATTTATTTAATAATCGATATAAAATCATAATAATTAATCGATACTTAATTGATTATCTGTAGTATGTAGTAAGAAAGAAAGAAAGAAAGATTTTGATTTGATTTTAAGGGCGTTTGCGAAATCTCGCGGAATCTGCAAAAATAGGGGGTTTTCAGGTACATTTTGCGGCAAAACGAAACGAATATAATGTAAGTAATAATTATCACATATAGATCCCTCCTTCATCTTCAAATGGTAGATAGTTTTTAATCGAAAATTTTGGTTTATAATATTGTAAATGAGAATTTTCGTGAACCACTCCACTCAAAATGGACGATATCCTGTTGGGTTTAGGAACATTTTTCTCTTATTTAATAACATATTTTTTTTATTTAAAAATATTTTATGTAAGCACACATGTTCAACTCAAAAAGGTAGCTACATTACGTATCAAAATTGTTGAAATTAGTTTCAGAAAAAAATAAAGATTAAAATCTATTTCTTTCACATTTATATCTTACGCGTGAATCTTAAGTGATTGACATAAAGGTTATTTTACTGGTCACTTTTTTGATTTATTCCACAAAAAATATTTAAAGAAATATTAGTCGGCGCTCGGCTGCCGTCATGAGTGGTCACTATGTCGCTTATAAACAGCAGCTCGTGAGGAAAAAGATCGCTGTATGAATACAAAATATTTGTCGTAACAAAGTTGATACTTTACACATCATGTTCGGACTTCGGACTACGAACGACAAAAGTAAACTATAATTCACACTTTGTCATATTTTTACTAGAAATTAGTAGGGGTTAAAAATTCATATTTCGTTACGGACTTGATGGAGTGACCTGAAGGTGTACTTCGAGAACTGCTACTGGAACTAACAGACGAGATGAGCTATGTGTGTCGAGTTTGGGCTTGTTTTGTTAGGTATGGTGAGACCTTGCCTTCTGACTAGATGGAGTGACCTGAAGGTGTACTTTGAGAACTGCTACTGGAACTAACAGACGAGATGAGCTATGTGTGTCGAGTTTGGGCTTGTTTTGTTAGGTATGGTGAGACCTTGCCTTCTGACTAGATGGAGTGACCTGAAGGTGTACTTCGAGAACTGCTACTGGAACTAACAGACGAGATGAGCTATGAGTGTCGAGTTTGGGCTTATTTTGTTAGGTATGGTGAGACCTTGCCTTCTGACTAGATGGAGTGACCTGAAGGTGTACTTTGAGAACTGCTACTGGAACTAACAGACGAGATGAGCTATGTGTGTCGAGTTTGGGCTTGTTTTGTTAGGTATGGTGAGACCTTGCCTTCTGACTAGATGGAGTGACCTGAAGGTGTACTTCGAGAACTGCTACTGGAACTAACAGACGAGATGAGCTATGAGTGTCGAGTTTGGGCTTATTTTGTTAGGTATGGTGAGACCTTGCCTTCTGACTAGATGGAGTGACCTGAAGGTGTACTTTGAGAACTGCTACTGGAACCAACAGACGAGATGAGCTATGTGTGTCGAGTTTGGGCTTGTTTTGTTAGGTATGGTGAGACCTTGCCTTCTGACTAGATGGAGTGACCTGAAGGTGTACTTCGAGAACTGCTACTGGAACTAACAGACGAGATGAGCTATGAGTGTCGAGTTTGGGCTTATTTTGTTAGTCATGGTGAGACCTTGCCTTCTGACTAGATGGAGTGACCTGAAGGTGTACTTCGAGAACTGCTACTGGAACTAACAGACGAGATGAGCTAGCTATGTGTGTTGAGTTTGGGCTTGTTTTGTTAGGTATGGTGAGACCTTGCCTTCTGACTAGATGGAGTGACCTGAAGGTGTACTTTGAGAACTGCTACTGGAACTAACAGACGAGATGAGCTATGTGTGTCGAGTTTGGGCTTGTTTTGTTAGGTATGGTGAGACCTTGCCTTCTGACTAGATGGAGTGACCTGAAGGTGTACTTCGAGAACTGCTACTGGAACTAACAGACGAGATGAGCTATGAGTGTCGAGTTTGGGCTTATTTTGTTAGGTATGGTGAGACCTTGCCTTCTGACGTGATGGAGTGACCTGAAGGTGTACTTCGAGAACTGCTACTGGAACTAACAGACGAGATGAACTATGTATGTCGAGTTTGGGCTTGTTTTGTTAGGTATGGTGAGACCTTGACTTCTGACTAGATGGAGTGACCTGAAGGTGTACTTCGAGAACTGCTACTGGAACTAAGAGACGAGATGAGCTATGTGTGTCGAGTTTGGGCTTGTTTTGTTAGGTATGGTGAGACCTTGCCTTCTGACTAGATGGAGTGACCTGAAGGTGTACTTCGAGAACTGCTACTGGAACTAACAGACGAGATGAACTATGTATGTCGAGTTTGGGCTTGTTTTGTTAGGTATGGTGAGACCTTGACTTCTGACTAGATGGAGTGACCTGAAGGTGTACTTCGAGAACTGCTACTGGAACTAAGAGACGAGATGAGCTATGTGTGTCGAGTTTGGGCTTGTTTTGTTAGGTATGGTGAGACCTTGCCTTCTGACGTGATGGAGTGACCTGAAGGTGTACTTCGAGAATTCCTACTGGAACTAACAGACGAGTTGAGCTATGTGTGTCAAGTTTTGTCTTGTTTTGTGAATTTTTTTGAGACCTTACCTTTGAAATTGATGTATTGACATGAAGGTGTAAGAATACATTAAAAAAGCTATTTAAAATATGGAACTGTGTATTCTACATCAATTCTGTGTATAAATATTTGTGAAACATGTTAATATAAAAAAATTGAAATTAAGATTATAATTATGAGTCAATAGAGTATAAATATAAGTCAAAGTAAATCACAAGTCAAAGTAATGAATTTTTAAAATAAACATTCTAGATTACTTAGACATGATTTAATATTTTAAATGTCTAATTTGACAGTGTACAGATTTGATGTAGATAGTCTTGAATACTTTAAAATTTTCGTTTAAATTTAAATACTCCGGGAGGCCTAATAAATTCTTATTTCCATGCAGCCAAATGTTGGCTCAAAGTACACGACATGTAGAAAAGTTGTATGGATAATTAAAAATACAAGTAATACAAAACAAATTTGCACACTTGCAAATTGTAAGATTAGGGATGTCTAAAAGGTCATTTTTTTGTATATTTCAATGAATAGGTGTAATAAACATGTACAAAAGTTTCGAACGACAGCTATGTGGCAAACTTTTTGTTTCAAGTTTATGACCCCATTTATCGTTTATTGTTTTGTCGTTCGCACTGACCAACTTTTATGATCATGGATTCTGCCTAAAATAATACTTAATTTTTTAAATGACTTGCAATCTTTTGGAACAAATGGTATCTATAGTAAGAACGTCTTTAAAATAGGCAAAACACGAAGAAAAATAGTTATGTAAAAATGTAGTGGGTCTCAACTTAAATCATCAAAGACTTATTTTTATGGCACAGTTATCACATACAACATTTATACCTCTTATAACTCAATTGTTGTTTCAGATGCCAAAGCCTAAAACGATAAAATTTTAGCAGGCTACTACTTCGATATAGATAACAAAAATAATTAAATGATAGAGAACTATAAAGAAAAATCACAAAGATCCGACAAGCACCCCGACTCCGTATGGTCTTCCCTATCCCTAGAGTGAACATAAAAAGGCGGAGCCAGAACCTCGTGTCGGAGGTATAAATTGACCTCGCGGGCTTGCTCCACCCAGGATCGACATAGCGACAATTCTGGCGAAGAGCATGGAAGAGTCAAATTAAAAAAAAACGAAACAATATTTTTTTAAGCTATTGCACAGCTTTTATCGCGCGCTTTGAGCGCGGCGACGGAATCAATAAATTCCGTAACGAAAATAAAACCTAACACCACCCACTCCGCCTACCACGCAAGAGGAAAGATTTGATTGTTTGTATGCATTGAATAGGCTCCTAAACCACTGAACAGATTTGAAAATTTCTTTCACTGTCTGGAAGCTACATTATCCCCGGATGACATAGGATATATTATATTTTCAAAAAACTAGGAATCCTTACTAAAACTTGAATAATGTAACCCTAAGTGTACAAAAATTACCTAAAATATTGTTTGCATCGCGTGCGCTGCTAAAACTTTTGATAATAGAATAAAATAATGTACTACGAATTTGCAGAACACATCATTATTTATAAAAAGTGTTGCGACAGTATATTCTAACTATTATAGTTATGCCACAATAAGTATTCTTTTACTTTAAAATTTTGATTGAAATGCCGCCGCTAGAAAAGGCTCTTTATTTGTATCTTGGTATTAATCCTTATAAAAATAAATTACTTTATATTTAAGAATGTTTCAATATCTTTATATAACTTTTTGAATGATTAAATTCGGACATTCCATTCGAAAGATATCACAAGTTTAAAAATGTTAGTATATTGTAATTTAACTATCCAGAGCTTAGTGACTGACTTAGTAGTTCTAATAATTTTTGTAAATAATATAAATAAATTATATATTATTAATTATAATATATATTAATATAATATATTATTAAAATATTATTATTTATTAACATAAATATAAATATCAAAGAAAAAAATACTGCATAAATAAATAATTATAATCGCATAAGTTGATAAAAGATGCTATGCTATAGCTTTACCCCGACAGAGCCGAGTGCGACAGGTTTTTTTTTATAAAAATGTGTTTTTTAATTTTTACTAGTTTGTTTCCTTCGTTTTATTATTTTCATTTTTAGTTTCTAGATACTAGCCTGGCTTCGTACGCCATGCTATTTCCATTTCATTTACAGAAAATAATTTTTTTTTAACATTTAGCATGAATATTATTGAATCAGCAAAATGCATTCAGAATACCATACAAAGTATTTTACTCAATTCGTTAGCGGGTTTTACCTAATTATCTGCCTACATAGCGACCTTCCTACGTACCCTACTATTACCTACCTATCAAGCTATCTACCTACCGCACGCATAATCAAACATGTATAAAACAAGCTTCTTTTTCTTCATAAAAAATAATTAAAAACATAAAATTATATACATAATTAATTAAAACGCAAATTATCAACAGCCACGAACTTTTAAATTAAATTAAATAAAATTATATCTAGATATATAAAAAATATTCAGTTTAAAAACTTGTTGAAAACAAATTTAACGTAATTTTAAAAAATAAATTACTTCAAATTAAATAAAAGTATCAAGTTGCGTCAGTTACATAAAGCTTCGCCGCTTCGCGCTTGTCGCAGTGTGCGTGAGCCGTGCACGTGTAGTAGTACACCTCTGTACCTAAAATTGAAGCGCGTGAATTCGTAAACGCGTCCTTAAGTATACTGTATCTCTGTATCATCCAATAAAGTAAAAACGTGAGTTACCACTTGTATAAAATTAATGTTATTAGCGTATTAATGGCGGTTTTCTTTAGTGAAAATAATAAATTTTAATTATGTTTTTTCTCGAAAATTATTAGTGATTAGCCAATTCTGCTTATTGATTTATTTTTTAAGGTATTATTATCTATATTTCTCTATCATTAAATTTTTATTTTTCTTTGCTATATAAAAGTAGTGGGCTGCTGAAATTTTACCATTTTTAGTACCGAATTTTCGTAATATCTTAAATACAGATAATCTAATAATCTAATAGAACTCCCTCCCCCACTTTCGAGCCTCGCATGATAAATGGACGACCCCTTACAGTACAAGTCGTTCATTTAACACAAATACGTTCATCGCTTGCGGTGGGAAGATAGAACACATTATTTTTCTCTTTTTTATAAATGAGCAAGGCTTTAATGGGAAACAAAATCTATACTCATAATCTATAATGACAAATGGAGAGCCGGTTTTTTTGGTTAATGGTTATACTGCGAAAACTACTGAACCGATCGGAATAAACGGTGTTTAGGTTTTAGTACATATAATATGTAATTCTTGTGTGGGACAGCTAGTCTACAAATAAACAATTTTGACTTTTATCTGATAGTTTGAGGTGACGGCTCACCTGATGTTATGAATACCGCCGGCCATGGACAACAAAATACCCGAGGTATTGCGTTTCCAAACTAAAAACGTGGACCCCGATTACCGATTAAAACTTTACTTCTCGCCGGTCATTTGTGAGACCGTCGTACATCCGCGGACGAGCCTGACACTTGCAAAAACAAAAGCTGTAGCTCTTGTTTTTTCTCTTTACTTTATTATTGCTGGACACGTAGCTAACCTTATTCCTTTCTTCCCCGAAGACATTGATTCTCAGGTCTAAAAAGTTCATAGCCCCGTGGTACTTTTTATTATTGCAGGCAAATTGAGACTTTTCTTAAGATTTATTTAAATACAAGGAATGCGAAGCGCCTGTACAAAGCAACAAGTCTGCATAGTAGTTATCGTGTACAACTACGCAGAGATTGCTCTATTGTCGGATGTGGCCAAAACAGACGAAAATCAAATATATTGTGACAACTTATTACGAAACAACTAGAAAATACATACCCAGTTGCCAAGATGGTCTTATCATGTAGTTGTTGAACATTCTAATGGCATTGCACGCCTCGGCGTCCGTCGTGTACATTGCAAAGGCATACCTGTATAAATTTGTATCGTATTTATAATATTTAAAGTAATAATTTTAATATTAAGTATGTATAAAAGCAATACCCTCGGTTCCAACCGGAGAAATTTATCATAAGGCGAAATTCGAACAATTCGCCCGCTTGACGAAAAAGGGGTACCAGGGTGTCTTCGAAGCAGTCATGGGGAATTCTGCCGATAAATACCTGCACAAATTAGAAATTCCATGCCTTCAATTTTTGAAAATTAGCCACATTTTACAAAAATGTGTACATTTCCAAAATGTTACAATTTGATAAAAGGTTACGACCGTATATCACTCGCAATGCTACTATAGGTACAACCATGTATGTAAGAAGAATTTAACATCTGTTTATTTAGGTTTTTAATAAAGTTAATTTATGATAAGATCTTTAAGCTCAATTCTATTTTTAATTCTTAATCAGTTCCCTAATTTTAATACAATAAATATTGCAATAATAATACTTATCATGATGTCAAAATTGTTTCGAACATCTCTTAGTAACTACGCCATTTTAATACCTACTGAATACAATTTGCATAAAAACAATAATCCAATAACAATATTAATTCCAAAATTGTAAATATAATATTAATCCAAAATTTAAGCCTGCGCTCAACGATAGAAATAGTACGTAAAATATATTTTGGCGGGCATTTTAAAACCTAAAGTTCTAGGCGCATTTAGCTTGTTTTAAGAAAATATGCTCAGTTATAGTTACCTCACAATTTCTAGAAGGCTCAGGCCCATTCCATGCATGAGGAGCTTTCCTATAAATCCTTTGTCCATTGATTTGTGTTAAAGTATAAGATGTATTATTTTCGGTTAACGTCAATAATCTCGATGATAATTCATACTGATTCACTTCACTAGACGAATAATGTTTAACAGGAGGCATTTTCATTAAGTATATAATTTTAGGCTTATAAAATATTTTAATATATTACTATAATAGACGTATGCACACCTCGGACGAACCCCAAAAAAAGAAATGGTGATTTCGTAAACAAAATGGTGGTTAGATGTTATGACCTTGATAAAACAATCAAAATGAAGCTCTAATTATTTTAAAATATTGTATTGTTGTAATATTTTGATATATATTGTAGATAATATTAGTGAATAATATTATAGACATGGTGAAATTTTATAATAATAAGAAATATTATGTTATACGAAGAAAGGAAGGAATTTTACGGATATTATCAGCATAAGTGATTTAAATTTGATTTTAGAATAATACTCTTCCATTATAAAAATTATATTCTTTTACATCAATGTATATGATAGACTGTTAGTTGGTTTAGTGTGCTAAACACATGGTATGCTATATTGTAGCAAAAATATATAACTTTATTCAAGAGATTAAATTTCTGATAAGGAGAAATATTCGGAATATGATTCGGGGATATAATCTAATCCGGAAGTTATCAAATATAATGTAATGAATTGTAATGTAATATGTAACTCCTTGAATCAAATCAACCATTATGTTCGTTTGTTCAAGTATTAATAAATAGTTATAGATCTATATCAATAAGGACTATATTTTTATAAATTTATTTGTAAGAACTCAAATATTTAAAATAAGTGCCCTTAATTAATTATTATTATTTACTACGGGTTACTTTGATATATTCGATTATTTTGGATCAATATACCTATATAAAGGTAAGATATTTTTAAATGTGAAGACGACAAAAACAATTCGGAATTGCTGATACAGTACGATAATGAAAAGTATTTTTACCCTTTTTAAACCTTTCTAACCTGATCACTAAAATGTGACAATTACTTGGTGCACATACGAATTAGCTAGCTTCTACGAAGAATGTGGGAAATAAAGATTTATTTTTAAATATCGTGTAGTTATTTACGTATAGGTATATAGAACCTTTACGCATGGAGCTTGAAATGGCCGATGGTTATGGGCGAAGTTTCGAAAAATTAAATTTGACTAGTTTTTATATCAGACTATTAATCTATCTTTATTTAGCCGGTCTACAAAAGTTTGACAGATATCGCATTTGAACCGTATTTATTTTTTACTTTTCATTAACGTTTTACTGATATTGCATTAACGTTATCAGAAAAGAAATGAGAGACGATCCAAATTGATATGCTTATTTATAACCTCGTTTATTCGTCAAAAACGAAGTCATTAAAGTTATTGATGTACGAATAATATATTGATTAATTGATTACTGGCTTAAATCGCCAAAGATGTAAACTCGCAATTTCATTGATAGGTTTATGTTATTAATGTAGTATGCGAATATTTAAACGTTGAAAATTCTATTAGTTTACAGTCAGAAAAGTCCATTAAATTAGGTTAGGTATACATTAGAAAATAATTTTGTCGTTAGTAATGTATTTTATTTCAAAGTTTATGTAATATATGAGTTTATGATTTTTAGTTCTCCAGTAACCTCCAAAGTAAAACTTCTAGTCTCAAAAAGATAAAATCAGCTTTTGGCTTGTAAGAGCGTACGTTCTATCATTGTATCGTTGATGCAAATATTAAAGGTATTAACAACTGTTTAATGGCAACGAATTAATGTTTATTTTAACTTATAAAATTATACAGTGCTCAGGTACATACATTGAATATTTTACGGATAAGGTGGCAAATGAATAAGTGGCTTTATACAGTAAGTAACCGACGTTGCCATTTCTTAATTTAAATTATTCTCATACAAATATGTAACAAATGTGAGAAAAATTACAAAGAAACTGAAAGATTTTTTGCAGACAGCACTTTTTTTTGCTATTTGACTCATGTCTAAACTGTTTCTTAACTGCATTCTTAATATATAAATACGTCGAGTAATGGGATTCATTCGTAATATTTGCGGCTTCGTAAAATACTCCAGCTTTTTCTGATTCAATAATCTCATTATTTTCGGACTGATGGCGGGAATAGACTCAAGTTCCAAGATACTTATTTCTTCCTTTGGAATACCTAAAAGTTATGTTTCCTTACAATAAATTAATTTTTCAATTTTATAAAAATGTACCTATACATAATATATACATATTTACATTTAATATTTTTTATATTATTATTTGGCCAGTATTGAAATCCTTTTCACCTAACATTAGAGACTATTAATCCGTATTCCTTCATGTTTGGCGCTTCAAAATTCAATATATCTATGATTCAATTAGAAAAGCGGAATTAATATATAAATTCATCTTTTAATTGGTGTGATTCTGAATAATTATGATCTCAGTTCTACAACTAACAAAGATACTTACAAATAAATAATTCATTAAGGAGGCTAATTTCATGAGAAGACCATTTATATGGCTCACCGTAGGCATTGGGGTGAGTGGCAATTCCAAAAAGAGTCTGAAATATCGGTAAAGTAGATAACAGAATCAATATTTCTTTCGAATCAACTTTTTACATCAAATAAAGAAAGTACATTTCAATAACCATTTTTTGTTGCACATTGCAGCGGCCAAGTTTGCCTAAAACGTTAAAATTTAGTTTTTTAAATGTAGCGGGAGAAATTTTCTCGAACTCAAAGTTTGGAAAACCACATAATAAGTAGCCCAGTTCATTAATTCGTGTCCCATTAGAATACCAATCGTGTCCGAAATATCTCCTATATGCAGCAACCAGTACACCAAACTTTAATACAATAAAAAGTTATATTAATCAAGAAGTCATGGCAGTTATAGACGAGAAGGTTATATAAAAATATAAATACCTTTCTATTATCTAAATTAACATAGTGATTGGTAAAATATTTAAAGACAGAATAGTCTCCGAAATTGACGTAGTATAAATCTTCCTCTGGTATAACGTTTAAAAGACTACCGAATGCAAGGAATTCGCGGCCCTGCAAAAATGCAGCGGTTTTTCCATCTGAAAAATGAAATGATTGGAAGTTTGTGAAACTCAGAAGTTGATCGATTCTTATTTGTGGCATTAAAGAAAATCTTACGTGCCGTTTATATACAACACTAGCAACCCGCCCCGGCTTCGCATGGGTGCAATGTCTTATACGGTGCAATGTATTATATCTAACGGTGGTAGAGCCACGCAGCAGCCTCGGTTGTTGCACGAATGGGCAGGCTCGTCCGGGTAAGTACCTCGACCTCACAGAAGACCGGCGTAAAGTGGAAGTATGAGAAATACTTTCGCGTTTCGTCTGGTGAGTGAGGTAGCCCGAGCCCAATTTCCAAAAATGTTGCCAACGCAACTGCAAATCCTCGGGTGTAGCAGATATCCATGGGCGGCGTATTCACTTAACATTAGGTGATCCCTCTACTCGTTTGGCAACTTATCACATTAAAAAAACATATAAACCTTCCTCTTCAATCACCGCAGTGAAAAAACCGCATCAAGATCCGTTGCGTAATTTTAAAGATCTAAGCATACATGAGGACAGACAGACAGCGGGACGACTTTGTTTTATACTATTCTACAACATAAATAACTAATATTGGTGACACATTTTTTTAGGAATTAAAACCCAAATATTCAATCAAGACCCCCCTTGTAAAATTACGATTTGTTACAGGGGGCGAAAGTTGTTACGTAGCGAATTCGCAGATAGTAAAATGCCAGGCGAATACTACCCGCAGCGAGCTTTCGCTAGAATTTATATATGCTTATTTATACGCAACGAATAGGCTGTCACTTTTGATTATATACTTGTCTATATTGAGCAATGCTTAACAAACGATCACTAAAACTGTCTCCGATTGCGTGACATGTGTGAGTGCCACTCGATTTACACTTGTTAAGTATTGAAGTGGTTAACTAAATCTTAATTTAATTCATTTGTGTCAACAGCCTGTTAGGTACAAGTTTCAATTTCATATTTGTGTAACCAAACAAATAACATAAAATTTGTTCTGATATTTCTTTAAATTGGTGACGGAGCTATCTCTTGACATTGGATAATATGCACTTTAGTTGGTGCATTAATCTGAATCAATAAAAAAAACCCCTAACATATATACTTATCGATTAAGCAACGCCCACAAATTTACAGAAAAATAGATCAAATTCTATTTACTTGCAACTAGATTTTAACTTTTAACTGTCAAATGGCTTTCCAAATTTCATTTTAGTTGCCAAAAGGATGGTTAAACTCTTTGAATTGATCATTCTGATCATAAAGAAGATCATTATAGTCAATTGACAGCTGATAACTTGACTTCCACGATGATCAGTGTTTCAGAAATCGGGCGATAGTAGGCAATACGTGTAAATCGGACATAATAGATGTTTTTACCTGTGATGCCGAAACGTGGAATATAAATTATCTTACCAACAAAATAATAAGTTTCATTTTGTGCTCATGATTTCATCCAAAAAATTGGTTTTATATAATGATTTAAGTTTTTAACCATAATTATATTAAAGAAATAACATACTTTTTCAATTAATAACACATTAATTTCACCTGTTATTACATCCCAAGCAAGTAGAGCTCTAGTATGTGGTATCAAATGCTTTTTTGTATATGTAAAAATGTGTAATATTGTTTCAGCATCGAGTCTTAAAAATGAGCTTGGAGGTCCAAAAAATAGCATATCCATGGAATGCTCTATTCTTATATGATTATCCATTTCTTCGTAAAAGTCTTCATATAATTTTTTTTCTAAGTAAATTAAAATACTGCTTAGGATATTTTTATGAATTAAGTTCAAAGAAGTAGCCAACATTCAAATACTTAGAAAAAAATATGCTTTTACACACCTGTATCGAAAAGTGATATCATTGAATTTTTTTCATCTTCATATTCTAAAATCATTTCTTCAATAGATTTTCCTGCAGCACGCATTGATTGCATGCATAGAGCTTTAATTTTGTATTAATTATGATTTTTTTAAAATAAACTTATCAGTAACATTTCGGGGATAAAAATACTAAGAAAAACACTAAAAAATCTACTTGTGATATCGCTACCTATCCACTATGAATTTAAGTAAAAATATCAGGCAGTAACCATATCCCATGTTTTATAATTTTGGCAAAAAGTAAAAATGATTGTACTGAAAATTATTGTAAATTTAATTTACATTTATTTGATAGTTTATTTTTGTACCTTGCATACAATAAATGTAAAAAAATAACATTTATTCTACTTCTCTAGTACAATCATATGTTCTATCTCTATATCTAGTCAATTAGATATTTATTATCATTATGTCAAGAGCTAATTTATCCACAACTATAAATCTTGTATTTCTTAGAAAAGGCAGATAAACTTTACCCGGGAAAGGTATCAGCAATAAAATATAATTGATCATATCTTCAAATCTGAAATTGCTATATTCAACTATTTCCAGATGGTTGAATTTTAAAAGATAGGAATAAATATATATATATATATTAGGAAAATTATAAATGAAATCTTTGTAAAAATATAAATATTAAAAATAATTGAAAGAACTGCATAAAGTCCACCCTATAATTGAATGGAATAAAATTTTAAATCTAAAATGAAATTGATCCACTGACCAATTAAAGTTAAAAGTAAAAATGTCGGATTTTCATTAACAGTTTACTGTCAAATTTGGCTTATAGGTCCTTGATACCGGGCCATAATATAAAAAAGAAATTACTGTCAAATCAAAGTATTCATCTGACATGTTGACATCACTAGTTAATAACCTAACTTCGGCATCAGTATTTTAAAAAAAATATATTTATTTAAATGTATGCAACTTTTTGCAAATTAATATAAATTTGATTTCCATGAATTATTATATGTTGTCATTGGGTTCACATTTATATTAGCCTAAAAGTTTGACGTGAACGCTAAAGATGGGTATTCTAGAAAAGATATCAGAGATTGAAAAAGAAATCGCCCGAACGCAAAAAAACAAAGGTAAATCTTCAATAATTCAAATCATTGATTTGCTGATCGAGTCAGGAAAATTTAATAACATGATAATTAAAAAAGAAAGTAATGTTAACGACTTGTAACATTTTCTTATAAAAATAGGTAACATTAGCTTACAATTGTAAACAAAAGCATTTAATTTATAATTACTAATTTCATGCTATCAGCAAATAGTGGATTGTATATGATTCAAATTACTTAACTTATCATTTTTTATTTTCAACATTTTGCCTACTGAGTTTTACTAATTTTCAATAATCGATTTTAATCTAAATTTTACATAAATTCTACATTGTTTCTGCAGCCACTGAATATCACTTGGGGCTACTAAAAGCTAAGCTTGCCAAATATCGTTCACAATTGCTTGAGCCGTCAAAGAAAGGTGGTGACAAAGGAGAGGGTTTTGATGTCTTAAAGTCAGGCGATGCTCGTGTAGCACTCATTGGCTTTCCATCTGTGGGAAAAGTGAGTATACTAGAAATTATATATCTTTTTTTTTATGAGGTTTATCAATATAAAATCTATACTTAAAATTAATTACAGAGAAATTTATTTCTAATGGAACTCAGGGCAAAGGAAAGATTCAACAGGAGATCTCAAATGGCTTAAAGAGACACAGGAAAGATACAGAAAAGTGTTTAAAACAGTACAATCTATGTTAAAGCTACTTTACTTTATAAGATATATTTATGTAAAAAAATTGTTGTAGAATCTTTCTTAAATAGGCCTCAAAATAACCAAATGTTTGATTTTATTTTTATTTGTTTAATAATCAATTGATAATTTTTTCCAGTCAACACTACTGTCCACTCTGACCCATACTCATTCGGAAGCAGCTAGTTATGAGTTCACAACACTGACCTGTATTCCTGGTGTTATTGAATATAGAGGGGCCAATATACAGTTGCTAGATTTACCAGGTATCATTGAGGGTGCAGCACAAGGCAAGGGTAGAGGTAGACAGGTAATGACTATTTATTTAACAAAAAGTAATATAGTAACAGCTTATGAATTATATGTCTAGGGCAAAGGCCTCCTTTGTGCAGAGTGTGTTAGGGCATAGTCCTCGTGGACTGGTCCCGACCCCTTTCATCGGGATTGGCACACTTCATGTATCTTTGAAAATGTTTTATTATTATTTTCCTCTTGATGTTTGAATATGATGTTCACATGTGATAAGTCAACTTTGAAATTGCAAATAATTTCATTGATGCCAATGCTGGGATTTAATCTAAAGTTGCTTGAATATATTGAATTAAATATAGCCATCCAAGGACACTGAGCTATCACAAGCTTCATATTTGTCAATAACTATAATGAAATGAGTAAAGAATAAGGGTCAGTTCTCTTCAGTTTTTAACTAATTTTGTCTATTTTTAAAAATGAGATTTAGTTGTTAAAATGAAATTTCTGTAAACTTAAAAATTACTATGATATACTTTTGTGGTACAGTGGGTATTAGGGATACCCCATCCAGCCATATTATGCCGTATTGGTGCAATGGACATGGCACCCCTTCCTATTCCTCCACAGGACAGCAGTTCTGCCACCCCTGGGATTGCTAACATCAGCCAATCCCTTATCTAACCCATTACCAATTACCCTATCAAGATACTCATTAGAGTTGTAAAAACTTGCAGTAATAAGTAAACTACTAAGTTTAAACTACAAATATACAATAAAAATAACAATAAACATAGTATTAAAATTTGTGCATCTGTTCTTGTATATTAATTTTTGAAAGTGTTTTTCACATATTGTTATTTATAGATTTGCATATTATAAAATATTTTGATTTTTACTAGGTTATTGCTGTGGCTAGGACAGCAGATTTGGTACTGATGATGTTAGATGCCACTAAGCCCTATGTGCATCGTCAACTGCTGGAACGGGAGTTAGAAAGTGTTGGTATTCGTCTCAACAAAGCAAAACCGAATATTTATTTTAAGGTATAACTTGAAATGTTTCTTTGGTTTTATTAATAATCTTTTAAAGTACATAGACATAGTTTGATGTTGAATAATTCCATAGTACTTAGAGAATGAAAAGTTTTCCTTTCTGTGGAGAAGCAACCAAGTGGTAGGTTCACTTGAAGTTTAATAAATACCGCGTTGCAGATGGTATGCATTACCAGTTTCCAAACGCCACGTGAATCACAAAGTATGATACTTTTTATTCACCAGTGTGAGGGAAAATTATCATAGTTCTTTGGGTAAGCCTAGGGCTTTTAACAGAACCCCACTAGCAAAATATCACACTACCCTGAAGGAGGTTGCAAATTTTTGTTACAGCAGACCTGTTGTGAGCTCCTACCACACCAAAACCTCATAACTTCAGGTCCACTCTAAATGTCGGTGTATAGTCGTCAACAATTCTGTTTTGTTAACATAGATTATAGGGTGCATAAAAGTTTTGGACAGTCTTTATGTTACTTCAATATTACTTACAGGTTAAGAAAGGTGGTGGTTTATCCTTCAACTCTACGTGCCAACTCACTAAAGTTGATGAAAAACTGGTGCAAATGATTCTTCATGAATATAAAATATTTAATGCTGAGGTATGTTTTAATACACACACTATTTAGTTGCTAGGCTTTATGTGTGTAAATTGTCAATATAATTTAATACTCTATTCCTGATTCTTGAGGATATAAAGTATCACTTAACCAAAATGATAGTTTTGTTCTATTAGTTTAAATTATTAAGATGCCCAGTAATTGGCTGCCTACTTCAAAGGGACCAAAAAATATGTAGGAACTTCATGCAAACTCAAGCTTTTATTGAATTATTACATGCTTATTAATATCCTACAATTTTTATTAATATCATAGACTTTCAGATTAACTATTGCTTTAAAGTTACAAGCAGCACTTGAAATAGCAACTTAAGATTTATTTGTTACTGCCATGGGGTCCAGAACTAAAGCTTAGGTATGCTAAATTAAAAGTCATGAAAGGCCACAATTGTGGATCACTATTTCTCCATATAAAGATAATTTTTAATGTTAAATGAAAATTCCAAGCAATTCAGAGTATAATTCAGTTAGTAGTATAATTATAACCATAAAAAAATTACATACAACTTTTTTTTTAAAACATTTCCCAAAATGGATTTAGTGTAAGATAAATTACACTAACCTGTGTTGTAAGGACATTTTACATATATAAATTTGGCCCGAACAAACCAGATACAGAACAATTATTTGTGGGTCACATTTAAGTCTAGTGCGGGAATCCAACCCAAGACCCCTGTTGTTAGCCAATACCTTGGCAACTGCGCAACGGATTCATCAAAAACGTCAATTTAAACAGCTACTGGTCAATTTAATGCTTAAAGTCTTATTTGCCATATGACAGTCAAGAAATTACTTATCAACAGAGAAATTGAGGGTAAAAATAGTAATTTGACTAAAATTAAAATGTTTTTATCATATTAGGTGCTGTTTCGTGAGGACTGCTCCGCGGACGACTTGATCGATGTGATTCTGGCCAATCGCGTGTACCTGCCCTGCATATATGTGTACAACAAGATCGACCAGATCTCCATACAGGAGGTGGACAGGATAGCCCGCGAGCCGCATTCCGTCGTCGTTAGGTAGGCTTAAAAGTAAAATAAAGCATTTTTTTAACAAAATATACGTGTCCCACTGCTGGACAAAGGCCTCCTTTGTACAGAGGGTACAGTCCACGACGCGTCCCCACTGCGGATTGGCGGAATTCAAATATCTTCGAAATATTTTTTTAGTATTATTTCGAAAATAAATAGGTTTCCTCTCAATGTTTTCCTTCACCGCTGAACATGGGGGATTGAACTCTGATTGCTCGAGTATACATATTCAATTAAAAGCTCGAGCGCCCAGAAAATGTGCTATCACGGCTAGGTACGCTTACGACACGGCATGTATAAAGCTCCCAACCCTTTTTACATATTTTAAATTGTAGATTTTATGTGCATAACTAAACAAAAACTTTTGATGCTGTCGAACATGCACCTTGTAGTTTCGCGCCGAGAAGACTTAGCTTAGCTTAGTTGGTAAAAGCGTCTGAACAAAAAAAATTGACAATTTAAAGTTTTACGTGCAGAGAATAAGCACTTTTATTTTGAGTGCAGAGAATAGCACTAAAATAGAAGTTAATCCTAAAAAAAATTACTTATTAACATTATTAAGCTTGGATTAAATCAAATTTTATAAATTAATATGCTTTGATGTGGTAGAGCAACAGTTTCTCTTGAATGCACGGACTGACTTGTCATGTAAGTTGTCTCTAAAACTCTGATAATTTAAAATTTAACGAAAAGTCTTCTGAATACTAGTTACAAGATACTTTCAATAAAGTATTTAAAGTTTCAAATATAAAATGTATTCAGCGTGTCTTTACAATCGCGACAATAAATGAATACACATATAGAGGATAACTTTTTAAAATTTTGTATTAAACATTTACATTCTTTAAATATTAATAGTTACAGAGTTATTAAATTTTCCAAAACAAAGAATTTTAGAACATCCTTACGTATAAAACTGTAACGTAAAGTTCATTTGTAAAGATCACAAAGCATATGAATGGTTTAATTGAATTTAAAAGAGACAAAACATACTGTTAGAAGGAGAGGCTTGTAATGCGACGCTGTGGCAACGAATGAAAAAGACTGAATGTATGAATCAGTCAGTTGTAGTTGTATAGGATGTTAGATATTTTGTTTCTTTTTTACTTAATTACTTTGTTTGAAAAATATTTTTTTTTAATTATGGATTTTTTTAACGTTAATATTTTTTTATGATTATTGGCAAGTAACGTTAGACGTGCCCCCGAATCTACGCACATAGTAAATTTCATGAAAATTGAGCCGTTTTCGAGATTCCGATTATATGGCTCGTTTAAAGGATAAGATTCAGATGCAAGATGAAAATAGGTGCTTCAATTATATCGACATACAATTCTAATTTTTGCAGCTGCAACATGAAGCTCAACCTTGACTATCTGCTGGAAATACTGTGGGAGTACCTTTCGCTCATCCGCGTGTACACCAAGAAGCCCGGGCAGCCGCCAGATTTTGATGAGGGGCTCATCTTAAGAAAGGTTTTTGTTTCTCCTTTTTATACGTGACTATACTTCTTTTTTTCTTTAAAAAATATTGCCCTTACTTTAGAATAACATTATCCTGTGAAAGGACATTTTACAAACAATCCATGCCGAAAAACATCGTATAATAAATGAGATATATTAGGATTTTTTCAATTGAAGCTGTCTAAGCCTAGATATGTCGTAGAGATGAGTATTTATGCTTCATTTAGACATAGTAAAATGTTTTAAATGATTATGCTAGTTTTTATTCTTTTTGGCGACTTGTTTGTTTGATCTATAAATGGTTGTTCTGAGTCTGCATTTTGTGATTTCATAATTGTTAAACACACGCGTCATCATCCTGCCAATCAACTGCCAATAGTTAATATGAATAAAAACCGGTATACATTGATCCGTCACCGCAGGGCGTTAGCATCGAGCACGTGTGCCACTCCATCCATCGGTCGCTGGCGGCGCAGCTGAAGTACGCCCTGGTGTGGGGCACCAGCACCAAATACTCGCCGCAGCGAGTGGGCGTGGCCCACGTGGTAAACGACGAGGATGTGGTGCAGCTGATCAAGAAGTAGCGCACCGCCCACCAGCTCCATACGGTATTTCACTTCTTTATAAAGCGGCAGTAGTCGGTTGTAACTGATGACCGCCCCCGTTAATCGCAAACGTTTTGTGCGAACCCCAGCAGGTGTCAAGATCCTTAGGTGTTTACTTTAGTTTGCCCCTTGCCTAATTGATGTGTAAGGGGATTTTTCACAGATCTCTTAGTTTCCCTGGCCATTTCTTCTTATCCTTTGTTAAAATCTCAAAAACTATATAAGTCAAAAGTATCTCAGGCCAGGAACGGATTGGCAGACTTCACATATTATCTCCAAATATATTTCTTTATCAGTTATCTAGTACTTATAGTACAAGCATTTTTTTTTAGTTTGGGACTAGATTATGTTGTGTAAAAATGTGTCATAAAAATATTTATTTATTATATATTGAAATGTGCCAACTCATAACTTAAATTGCAATCAATAGATAGGTTTTTCAGTGTCTGCTGTGAGTAGTTACCTATTTTTTTTAATATTTTGTGTTTATTTTTAAAACTTTATATTCTACAATTTTTATATAAAAAAAATTATTAATGATATTATTTCTTATGCAGTTAAAAAGAAGCAGAGCATGGATGGGTTACACTGCCGCGTTATTTACAGCTTGAGGATGTTGAAAGTTTAAAATTCATATAGCAATAATAATAAGTTTGTAGCATCGACACACTACACCATTGCAACTTGGTAACTGTTTGAATTATTTATTCTAATTATAAAAAAGGACGAGTGTAAACTCTTTCATATTATAACCATTATAAATCAAATTTGTGTTTGATTGCGTTATTCTATGCTAATACTGCTAAGCAAAAGTTTTATAATAATGTCAAATAAGCTTTTTAAAAGTAAGTTTTAAAGACGATTCTTCCATTCGAATTATTTCGATTATTCAAAAATATTTTAAGTGTTATATACCTATGTAATAATTTAAATGTTGTAGTGTGTTGCGACCATTTTTAATAACTGTACAGGAAAGGGACACCGCCATTTTGTATATACCATGGTTTACATTTTTGCATTGTAATAAATAACTTGAATGCAACCATTATTTTATTTTTCAAAAAAAACCTTTTTTTAATGGTAACATTATTTATTACTTTATATCAAAAGAGGATTACAAAGGGCGAATTTAATGCCTTTTCACTCACTACATAATTTGTCTATTGCTAATATACAGCGTATCGTTACCATCACGACAATAAATGAACACACGTCTAACGCTACTTGCCAATAATCATAAAAAAATATTAACGTTAAACAAAATCCATAAATAAAAAAAAAATATTTTTCAAACTAAGTAATTAAGTAAAAAAGAAACAAAATTTGTAACAGCCTATACAACTCGCGTCACAGCGTCGTATTACAAGCCTCTCCTTCTAACAGTATGTTTTGTCTCTTTTAAATTCATTCAACCCATTCATATGCTTTGTAACCTTTACAAATGAAATTTACGTTACGCATTTATAGATAAGGGTGTTCTAAAATTCTTTGTTTTGGAAAATTTAATAACTCTTTAAATATTGATGTTTTAAAGAATTTAAATGTTTAATACAACTTAAAAAGTTATCCCCTATATGCGTGTTGATTTATTGTCGCGATGGTATCGACACGCTGTATAATATGTACCCACGAATAAATAAATATTAAGTAGTTAAATGCATACATACATGAAAACATATGTTTGTGCACCTACCTCAACTTGTCAGTACCACCCTAAGGTTGACTGGCAGAAAATGCTGTCAGCATTAAGTCCACTTATGTACTGTGTTTTGTGCATGAAGTTTAAAAATAAAATAAATACAATAAATATTCATGAACATATTTACTTACATAATAATACAATCATACAAACGGTAGTGGCGTAAAATCATGTATTATAATGGACGCTTAAGTATAATTTGCAGACCAACCGCTTGAATGGTAAGTAAGGGACAGCGTATATCAACCTATGTATAGCAGTGCAGCCTGGGAAGAACGATTTACCTAAAAAACTAGTTTAATGAGGAGCAATAATAATCTTTTGGCTAGATGAGAAACCGAGACTATTTAATATATTTTTTAATACAATTACTTAACTTTATTACCAAATAAGGGTTAAGGAAACAAATGAATAGATTTATAATGTAATAAATACATTGATTACATAATTCTACACACTCTTGGGGTGAGATATTTATAGGTTCCCACTATGATCCACACTTGCTAGCAGATCCGCCTCAACAGTAGCTAGAGACCACCGATGCTCAGTAATCTCTAGTGCCTCCCATTCAGCTTTGAAGGCGGCTTTCGGGTCCGGTGGCATAGCCATTGCTGCACCAGACATCTGTTCCTGCATCATCTTCGACTGATCAGCAGCTATTTAATTAAATTAATGTGTTAATTTTTTTGTGATACTTGTATGTATATATAGCACTCACTATTGCATAGAGTGACTTATTATATTAAAAATAAGTCTGCAATATTTTATAGCTAAAATGGTGAAACGGTATAATAGTTTTTCTAATTAATTTAATGAGCACATCATCACTTCTCACATACATACTAAACTACACCACTGACTCATTCTTCTTTCCCTTTTTGGCAGTTTTTCGTGAATGCGCCAATAACAGTAGACAAGAAAATGGTTAAAGGTTTTGTCTGTATCAAGTAAATTTGACATAGCAGACTTGGAGAGTAATATATTGTATTTTCTCTAATATGTTAAGAGAATCTTCACTACATTGCTCTAAAAGAAAACATTCATTATAAATGTGGTACTGACCACTCAATGTAGTGACTTAATGCATTGTATATTAGCTTCTGAGAAAATGGATGAGAGCCGGCAAGGTAGTAAATAATAGTTATATTTTTTCTTCCATTTTCCCTAATAATAATCATTAAATTTAACAATCTTAGTTGGTAAGTTCAGCTGTAACATTTTCTGTCATAAGTGTGCTCAGGCTATCCATCATGCCCAAACATTTTTGTAAACCAAATTACCTTATTAGGTACTCTTGCATAATTGATTAAAATTGTATTTATTTGAAAGTGTTTTCATTTTATTGGTAGGTATTCTAGAGTACTGTAGTTTGAACAGTAAAAGAAGAGAGTTTGTGGTTTATGGAAAAAGGTACTCTGTAAGGAACAGAGTAAACATATTAGAAGGTATTCTTAAGATAGGAAAGGGAATTAGATTTAGATGATACAAAATACATTAATAATGAAATATTGGAGCAACTATGATGACAGAGACTGAATGAGATGAATCTCATCCAGGCCATATTTATGTAAACTGAAAATTAATCAAATGTAGTTGTATGGAAGGTACTTCAACTTTTCATTTTTAAAAGGTTGCCAATGCCTCTACAACCTCAAAGTGGTGCAGATGTCGATGGGCAGAGGTGATCTCTTAACATTATGTGAATTATGTGAAGAGGTGGCTCAATAGACTTTTCACGAAAAAAAATTTTGCATTATCTGTGCATTACATTCAATCAAATACATACATTCCCGAAATTGGTATAAAAGATAACTTAAGTGGTGGAAATGGATGTAAGATGCTTCTTGATGTAAACTAATGAAATCTTTCAATAACCATAAATTATCATTTAGTCACTATAATAAATATTATCTTTACTACTTAATATCAGCCCATTTTTAAATTATACATGAATATAATTGGTACATTGAGATAATATATAAAGACATACCATTATTCTCTCCCAAAACTAATGCATATATAGTTCGAAGTCCAAAGACGTTGAGGAAGTACCAAGATGCAGATGATACCCAAGATGCATCAAGGTATGCCAACTCCACACCACGCTGCAGCATTGGTTTGAACCTCAGAGTTAAAGGAAATGGCACCTTTGCTGGAATAAAAATTTAAATATCAAAATTAAAATTAACTCCCATATATATAAGTTGAATATATGATGAACACATGCTGTTAAAATACTATATGCTTTAAGAAATCACCTCAATTTAGTAGACAGGTCTGGATTTTCATTAACTAAGATAGTTATGAAATAAACAACAACAAAGTTACTCAAATATTCTTAAGAATATACTTCTAACATGTAAAGAAGGATACTTTTCATGATGTTATTCTACATGATTAACAACTATGTGTGTATAAAGTATATAGGGAAGAATTAGATGGTAAACATTTTTAAACAATGATAAAAGTACTACAAACTTGTAAGGAATCCACTAAACATCCAATTGATCCAGCCTCCTATAACAATCATTGGCAGCACATTTGTGACATTTCCTTTCAACATGTCAGTCATCATACCAGGATCAGTCATTGGATTCTGAAAACAATTTTTGTGCTGATTAGCAGAGCTTAACTTTTAATTTCTTCATTAGCTCAAGTGATAAGGTTTTTTAAAAATGCTATGTTGTATTACAATTTTACACATTAATTATATCAGTAATATGGACAAATAATTATTGTAACTATGCAATATGCAATACCAAAAATATTTTCGTTAGTTTCACTTCTAAACACTATAAAACTGGTACTTAAGATTTCGTTTTAGATAGCAACATACCAGACAAACAAGATATAGCAATAAATAACCTGTGAAGTTGCTGCTCTCTTTTGAACTTTGAAGTAACCAGTGTCTTCATTATTGAACCAATGCCTGCGCATAGCGAACGACTGCCGTGGCAGATACTTTCCGTTCTCACGAAGCAAACGAGCTCTTATCATTACTTGGCTGTGAAACAACGTTAAAAGCAGAATGATCAAATATTTTTGTGATAAATCAAAGTTTTAAACATCTCATTAAAAACACCTCTTATTACCTGTCTTGAACTTGCAAAAGTTCTATTTTCTTTTGAGACGATAAAATTATAGATACATAATGCCTTACAATCCCAACTAAGAAAGTGATGATCACAATGGGCAGGAAAACCCAAAGTCGTATATTGGGATCCAAGAGTAATTCCGTCATTTTAACTTGCCGAACGATTAAATTATGACTTTAAAATTGTTCATTCATGAACTTCTCATACATGTTAGCTTTTCAAGAATAAACTTTGATGAAAATTAAGCGAATCACAATTTAATAGTTAATGACATTGACAAGTAGTAAGCAGTGCTGCCAAATCTCAAAAATATTCTTAAAACTAAAATGGAGAAAATAAAATAAATTATTTAATACTTAAATTAAAGTTTATTTTCCTTCTGATTCAGATAAAAATTGTGACGTGTTACAAGTGACTTCTTTTTTTGTGAAAAAATGTCAAGAGAGCAATGTCAGGGTGGTTAACCTGAGGTTAAATTAATACCGCAGCTCATGGACATCAATTACACCAGATGGCTCTCGATAAGTTAACAACCTTTAAAAAAGTGGGCCCCAATTACCTCACACACCAGATGAAACGCCAATACTTCCACTTGAAGTCGTTTTTCATTGAGGTCTTATTATACATATAAATTAATACATCGACCAAGAATCAATTTGCTAGTTTTAGATCGCCTAAGCGTCGGCTTTTCCATAATTTCATCACAGCCCCGACGAGATGTGGTTTGTTTTTTGTAAAACCGTGTTTAACTATTTCGTACACACATTATGATACAAGAAATGTGGATAGTACCACGGCCTCACAGAAGACCGGCGTAAAGTGGAGGCTTTATGCTTCCGCGTTTCGTCTGGTGAGTGAGGTTGCCGGATGCCCACTTCCCCCCCCCCCCCCCCCTCTTCTATAACATGCTAGCGGTATCGGAAAAAACCTACCCCAGGGGGGTACCAGTCCCAGTGGTTCTGGAGAATCCCCCCCTGGGCGGCTGCGACCAGATGACTATTCCCTTTCTGAGTATAGGTGCTCAGGCTGCCCCACGTATTCTGGGGGGGGCCAAATACCGCTCTCAACTTCCATTGCTCGAGGCAAACGTAGCAGGCTCACTTCGGCAACCCCTTCCACGCTCTCCGTAGATTTGTGCAACATCAGGGGACTTCTCTCCAACCTTAATGCCGTCCACTACCACCTAGAGACGGCAAAGCCGGCCTTGCTGTTCCTTACTGAGACTCAGATATCTTCTCCGGCTGATACCTCTTTCCTTGCCTACCCCGGGTACAAATTGGAACATTCCTTTGTACCGCGGGCGGGGGTGTGCGTGTACGCCAGAGAGGATATCTGTTCTCGTCGCCTCGGCAGTCTTGGAGGACGGGACCTATCCATCCTCTGGCTAGGCGTAGACTGCGACGACCATCCGCGTATCTACGCGTGCCTATATAGGTCCCATAGCGGTAATGCCAAAACTGACCAACTCATTGAGCACATCCAAATGGCTACAGACTCCGTGCTGCAGCAGATCCCATCCGCAGAAATGATGATTCTTGGCGACTTTAACGCCCATCACGCTGAATGGCTCAGTTCACGCACCACCGATCATGCGGGGAGATCTGTTCACAACTTCGCAATAGCTTATGATCTGACACAACTGGTCATCTCACCAACGCGAATCCCAGATGTGGAGGATCATACACCTTCCCTGTTGGACATTCTGCTGACCTCGCATCCGGACGGCTACCTGGTTTCCGTCGATCCTCCTCTTGGTTCGTCGGACCACTGTCTTGTCAGGAGTACAGTGCCCGTTGCGCGCTCTACACGGCCTCGCTTCGCAGGCTGCCGCCGCGTATGGCACTATAGGTCAGCAGATTGGGACGGGATGCGGTCATTCTTTCCGTTCTACCCATGGGTGCAGATTTGCTTCTGGTTGGATGATCCAGACGCCGTTGCTGACTCTGTCACCGATGTGGTGCTTCAGGGTATGGAAATGTTTATTCCATTTTCTGCAATACCCATCGGTGGCAAATCCCAGCCATGGTTTGGTCTTTCCTGCAAGACGGCATTACGCCGTAAGTGGGAATGCTACCGAGCCTGGGCAGAAGCTTCGGCGTCTAGTGATGTAAAGACCAGCGCATTAAAAAAGGAATATAACTCTGCTTCCAGGTCCTTCAAAAGCGTTATTGCTAAAGCGAATTTGGAGCACATTAGCAGAATTGGCGAGAGATTGGCGCGTCTCCCATCGGGAACATTGCGTTTTGGTCTCTCGCCAAAGCTGTCTTAGGGAATTTCTGTAAGCCATCTTTTCCACCCCTGCATACGGAGGATGATTCGTTGGCCCATGCCGCGAAGGAGAAAGCCGATCTTCTGGGCTCTCTCTTTGCGTCCAACTCGACTTTGGATGACCGAGGAAACTCACCACCATCAGTCCCCCATTGCGACGTTACGATGCCGGAGGTAAAATTCCGGCAAAGTGCAGTTCGCAAAGCACTTCTTTCCTTGGACATTCACAAGTCGAGTGGGCCCAATGGCATCCCTCCGATTGTGTTACAGACATGTGTGCCAGACTTGGCGCCGGTTTTAACGCGTCTTTTCCGGCACTCCTATACTTTAGGCGTAGTCCCGAAATCATGGAAGGCCGCGTTAGTGCACCCGATCCCTAAAAAAGGCAACCGCTCTTATCCGTCAAATTACAGGCCAATAGCCATCACCTCCTTGTTCTCCAAGATAATGGAGTCTGTTATCAACGACCAGCTCCTGCGGTACCTAGAGGAGCACCGGCTGATTAGCGACCGCCAGTATGGCTTTCGTCGGGGTCGCTCAGCCGGTGATCTTCTGGTCTACCTTACACATCGATGGGCAGAAGCAGTTGAGAGCAAGGGGGAGGCGCTTGCAGCCAGTCTGGACATAGCGAAGGCCTTTGATCGGGTATGGCACAAAGCGCTTCTTTCGAAGCTGCCTTCCTATGGGCTTCCCGAGAAATTATGCAATTGGATCACCAACTTTTTGGCAGATCGGAGCATCAAGGTCGTCGTCGACGGTGCATGCTCCGATCCTAAATTTGTCAATGCTGGTGTTCCACAAGGCTGCGTACTGTCTCCCACTCTGTTTCTTCTGCATGTCAATGACATGTTGCAAATCAGCAACGTCCATTGTTATGCAGACGATAGCACTGTGGATGTCTCGTACACTGGCCGAGCTAACATTTCTCGGGAAAACGTCTACGAGAGTCGGAACAAGCTTGTGTCTGAGGTCGAGACTTTGTTAACCAAAGTCTCAGACTGGGGTCGACTAAACCTAGTCCAATTCAACCCCAAAAAGACACAAGTATGCGCGTTAACCGCTAAAAAGTCCCCATTTGTCGTGACTCCTCATTTCGAGAACACTCCCCTACCTGCCACAGCTAGTATCGGAATGCTTGGCGTCGAAATCTCGAGCAACGTCCAGTTCCGCGGTCAATTGGAAGGTAAGGCCAAATTGGCCTCAAAGAAGCTTGGTGTGCTCAGCAAGGCGAGACGGTACTTCACGGCTGCCCAACGCCTAAACCTCTATAAGGCGCAAATTCGGCCCCACATGGAGTACTGTTCTCACCTCTGGGCGGGAGCCCCCTATTACCAGCTTCTTCCATTTGACCGCATTCAACGTAGGGCGGCTAGGGTTATCGACAATCAAAGTCTTTCCGATCGTTTTGATCCTCTGGCTCTGCGTCGAGATGTTGGATCACTCTGCATCTTCTACCGCATTTATCAAGGGGAGTGTTCTGAGGAATTGTTTGGATTGATCCCGGCGGCTGAATCCCACCATCGGACATCGCGCTAGAACCAAAAATTTCATCCACACCACCTAGATGTCCAACGTTCCACAACAACGCGATTTTTAAGGCATTTCTTGCCTCGCACAACCACTTTATGGGACCAACTGCCGCCTGCGGTCTTTCCGAACCGTTATGACCTGGGAACCTTCAAAAAGAGAGCGTACTCTTTCTTAAAAGGCAACCGCCGGCAACGCATTTGTGAGCCCTCGGGTGTTGCAGGTGTTCATGGGCGGCGGTAATCACTTACTATCAGGTGAGCCTCCTGCTCGTTTGCCCCTTTTCTTCGTAAAAAAAAAATCTTGTATCTTGTATTAACTGATGTTTTTGCTTTCAGTCCCGAGACTATTAAAGCTGCATCTGACGCAGAACCAGTGGGCTAGCCAGAACTCACGGGTTTGGGCCCTCCGCTGTGGGTAGGGCCTCGCATGTGCTCATGCGTGCGTTTAAGTATGGTGTGTCATCTAAGGGCCATCGAGGTCGTGGTTCGGACCGAAACGCCGATGGCCGTCGACTGTGCAATTAGCTAATCGGTGGCTGGGGGCGGTGAGAACCGCCCCGGAACGCGGGTGTACCTTGTGTACGCGTTGTGTTGGTCTCGCCGTGCTCGGAGGCGGGGGCGAACTAGTGTGTTTGTTATTGCACTAACTGTGGGTGTAGTGTTGTCCGGCGGGACACCCGGCGGTGGGTCCGGCGTGTCTAAGTCCCTTTCCTCGACCGGGTCGATTAGGACGTTTCACGGGCGACGCTTGTTGACGTTCGCGTTTGTGTCGGGTTGGTAATTTGCTGCGCTTACCACCAGAGGGTTGGGATGATGTTCGGCTCTATCGAAGAACCGTTTGGTCAGGTCTTTAAAATATTCGTGAATCGTCGGGAGTCTGCAATTGCTGTGCAGGTCGACGTTGGGTTGATACCACTGCGCACCGGTTGCGCGGCCGATGAACTTATTTTGTACTATTTGCAACTTGTACAAGCGAGTAGGGTTCGTGTGGGCGAAGGTCATGCATGCGTAAGACATAATAGGTCGTACGCAGGTCTTATATAATAATAATTTGTGCCTTAAGGGCATTTTACTTTTAGCGTTAGTAAAATTGTGTAGCCGGCCGGAGACGAACGCGGCTCTATTGCGAACGTTATTAATGTGCGTAGTAAATGACATACGCGAGTCGAAAGTGACTCCTAAGTATTTGACCTTTTTCTCCCAGGGGAGCGGTTGGCCATAAAGGGATATTTGCCCCAACTTTCTGCATTGACGAGGGCCATTATAAAGATGTGACGAGTAAGTACTTCGTGTGAAGTGAATCGCCACACTCTTTTCGGGATTTATTTCTATTCTCCATTTGCGGAACCAATCGCCGAGGCGGTCGGCAGCGCTTTGGAGTCTAAGTGGTTAGTTGTCTAAGGTTGCGGTCTGAATAAAAGAGCGCCGTGTCATCCGCGAAAATCGCGAGATTGACGTGGGGGTCTTTAGGTATATCGCTCGTGTAGAGCGTAAAGAGCAAAGGTGAGAGGCAGGAGCCTTGTGGTACGCCGGCCGTGAGGCGGCGGCTTGTGGAGAGGGTGCTTTCAACTCGATATCGAAAAGAGCGGTTCGACAGGAAGGCCCGGATGGTGTGTACGAGCTTATCTGGCACTTTGAGTGTGTACAGCTTGTAAAGCAAGCCGTTGTGCCAGATCTTGTCGAATGCTTTTGCGACATCGAAGAAAAGAGCCCCTGTACTAATATGTTTCTAAAGTACTGTTATGTACTCGTGTACACATTTGTACACGAGTACGTATAGAGATGGGAACGATAAAAACTAAATGCGGAACCCCAAAACACTATATAACATAATTCTGTAAAAATAAGCATAATAAATGAATTTAGCTGTTGCTTCATTGGATAGTTGCCTTATCTTGCGTATAGCAAAGGCGCAGTGTTCAACTTCTTAGCTAATTTATGTAAATAAATCCTCATTGCCAACTATCACGAAGCACGTTCCTGAGCCACCTGTAGCCAGCGACATTCCGCACACTTGCACAGGTCGTCACTCCATCTAGTTAGGGGTCGTAACACATTGTGGTGGCCAGTACGAGGCTGCCACTCGAACCTTTCTCCCCCAACGGTTATCGACTCTACGAGCTAATGACCTGCCCATCACCACTTCAGCTTACTAAACTTCTGAGCTAAGTCGATTACCCTTGTTCTACTGCGAATATTTCTGATGCGAGCTCTATCACGTAGAGAAATACCGAGCATAGCATGCCTACTCGCATACACGCCCCATAGCTTGCTAAGCGACTTCGAATTTTTTTTCTAATTAATGTAATTATTTATTAATTTTAATAATTTTTTTCAAATCAAAATTTCAAGGTATATTATTGACCTTCATTGGAATATCAAACAGCTTATTTAGTAAGATAAATCAATTACCTTAGCCCTGAATCGAATCAAAACAAAACTAATAAAAAAAGCCATGTAACTTAATAAAAAAAAAGAATTGTTTAAAACGTTGATAATAACAGGGAGGAACTCGCTCTAAAAGATAGGCCTATGTTATATAGCAGACACTTTTTTTTTCGTTCATATTAATCTCTTACGACTTTGAATCTATTAATATTCAGTTGAAATAAATTTGAACGAAATATCGTTTTTGTTACGATTTCGATTTTGTATCGATATATTTAAACAAAATAAATTGGTTAAAAATATCGCTATATATTTAAAATTTATCGATATGTCGATATTTTCTTCTCTAAACTTACAGTCCAAACCAAAGAGAACTAAATAATTATCTGCTTGTGTTTTTTTCAGTATATATGTCTTATCTACGGCTTTAGTTACGGGAATCGTTTGGTTACAACGTAGTGATTACATTCTCTTTGGTTTGGTTAATCTATGGTTTAATAATTTTGGTTACTTGCAGTTACTTGGTTTGTTTTGAAACGAAATTTGTTGACTGTAAATGTATTTTTATTAATTAATGGTATTTAGAATAATTAATTTTGTTACGCTAAGATATACGAAGAAAATATATGAAAGTGTATCAATAGTTTATTCTTACTTTAAAATGCCCCGCAAAAAAACGAAGCCGATCAGATCACTTGAAATTGAAAATCAAGGAGACAGCGTTAAAATAAACCCTGAAAATACTTTAATATATTGCGAAGAGAACATAAAGCAAGAGCCGTCAGATAATGAACATGAAGTTGGGGCAAAACTAGATCTAAACAGATTTAAATATCAAAAGAAAGTAAAAATTGAATTTGAAACGGATGAAACACCAAAGGTAAAAGTACAAATTTCAAACCAGCCATTAATCTTAAAATAAAATACGTTATATATTTCATTTCTATTTTAGTATAAATTTGAATCTAATTTAGTACATGGATAAAAAAGTTATTTATTAGCATTTTTTTAGGAAGCAAAAGGTTTATGGGAACCGCCTCAATGGAGAATGTTTTTGGAAAATTTAAAAATGATGCGTTCTAATAATGATGCTCCAGTTGATTCTATGGGCTGTCATATGACAATGGATGAGAATGCACCACCACAAGTATGGGCAAAATTGTTCCTTTAAATTTCTGTTTACTTTTTTCTTCCTCATGTAATTTACTTATGTAATAAACTTATAAATTATTTTAATAATATAATTTAAGTAATATATAAAACATAAAGTTTAAAAGTTGCATTTTTGGAATACCTATTTTATATTTGGGATTATCTACATTTCACTCTTTCCAAATGGTATTAATAAATGTTAATACATTTACATTAACATTCTTTAAAATACATTTCACATAACATTTACATTTATTAATACCATTTGGAAAGAGTGGTTATTATCTAATTTTACAGGTAATTAGATATCAAACACTTATTTCCCTGATGCTATCAAGTCAAACAAAAGATCAAGTGACTTTTGCTGCCATGGAGAGACTTAAAGAGAGAGGTCTGACTGTGGAAAATGTGCTCGCATTGAGTGATGAAGAGTTAGGTAAATTAATCTATCCTGTAGGGTTTTGGAAAGTAAGTGAAAGAAAGAAAGTACTATAGTGTTATAATGATATTTTATTATTTTTGTCTTGCATCATAATATGGTCATCAGTACAACATCAGTCTTTTTTAAATATCACAGTAAACATAAATTGCTCACATGAATAACAAAGCTATTTTGTTTTCCAAATTTTACTACTTTCTATGGTCAGTAAAACTGTTTGACAACTATGATAATTAAATTCAGATCTCACGCCAAGATGGGAATAAGACAAGTATAGACAAGTATAACTATAGCTTTACAACAATTTTTCAATAATTGTATTTTTATTATTATTAAAATTTTTACACTAGAATTAAATTTTGTTTTAAATATTTGTAATATCTCAGTACAGAGGAGGCCTTTGCTCAAGAGTGGGGACATATTATCTTCTTCTTTCCCCTGCCCTTATCCCTCATAAGGTGGGGTTGGCACAATGAGTCCATCATTTATTTTTGGAACCATGTGGTTATTTCAGATATTGACTTTATTTTTATTACCGGTTGCCTGCCCAGTGTGAAACCGTCCTTCGGATTTTATATTCATCTACGCTAATATATTTTATAACTACTAGATATACTAAGTAGTACAAGTAGTTATATACAGTGCGGACATTTATAGGTGTTTTATTTTGCTAACTTTTACTTTGTAATGAAGACGCAAATTTTAGAATTAAACGTAATCAGCCTAAGCAGATGGAGATAATAAAATGTTTCTTATTAATTAAATTTAGATGTCCTTAGTTTCATTCAAAAATTTTATTCAAGAAAAATATAACTGAATTGCATTGATCTATTTACAGATAAAAGTGAAATACATAAAAAAAACTACAGAAACACTAAAAGATCAGTACAATAGCGACATTCCAGATTCTGTGGAAAAGCTTTGCAAGCTTACAGGAGTGGGGCCTAAAATGGCACATATTTGTATGAAAGTTGCTTGGAATAAAGTAACTGGTATTGGTGAGTTTCACAAAGTTGTTTCATCTTCAGTAGCACAAAAAATTTTAATTGATATCTATTAGGTTCTGTTTTTAATTTTGGGCTACTATACAGAATCATTTAAATGCTTGCCATGTTCCATGCTGTTTATTTACTTTTCAATGATGTATCATATCATTTATTTGTATAATTATTGAATTAAAGAAATATGTACCTAAAAATCCAATATATATTAAATTTAAATAATAAATAAATAAATTTTTTAGGACACATTTGTACACAACATTTTCTAGTCCCAAACTAAGCAAAGCTTGTACTATGGGTACTAGAAAACTGATAAATATACTTAAACATACTTTTCGTTTGTAAATAAATACATATTATACATATATAAACACCCAGACACTAGAAAAACACCATGTTCATCACACAATATTTTTCCAGTAGTGGGGATCGAACCCACACCCTCTGGCGCTGGAGGCAGGTACACTACCAACTATGCCATTAGGGTCGTATTGAGTTGTGTATAAACCAATGATGGCCTAGTGTGACAAATGGTTTTAATTTAAGTTCAAGACCTGACTCTACTTTCGATTTTTTTAAATATTGAAATTTCTAACAATTTCTACAGTTCATGCCAGTTTAACCCCATAATATGAAAAAAAATACTGTGATTGAGGCAATTTAAAGTTATCATTAGGTCTTCTGCACAATATTTTTGTTATGTATCTTAAGTATAAACAATTTACTTTTTTAGGTGTTGATACTCATGTTCATCGAATAAGTAACAGAAATGGCTGGGTCAAAAAAACAACTGCTAAGCCAGAAGATACTAGAAAAGCTCTAGAATCATGGCTACCTTTTGATTTATGGAGTGAGGTCAATCATTTAATGGTGGGATTTGGTCAAACTATTTGTTTACCAGTTGGACCAACCTGTGATAAGTGCCTTAATAAAAACATTTGCCCATCAAGTGGAAAATTAAAAAGGTCTCCCAACAAAAAGTCCCCAGTTAAAAAGAATCCTGAAGACATAAAAATTTGTTCGAAGTCCAAGCTTCAAAATGAATTATTGATCAGTGAACAAATGCCACAGTTCTCAGAAAAAGAAAATGATTTGAAACCGACAGTAAATACTGAAAGAAGTAACAATCTTGCTTACAATATGCTACAGTCTGAAATTCAAGCTCAACATGCTGTTGAGCAAACAGCTGAAAGTGACCATTGCAGTAATACTGTCCCTGCATCAGAGACTATGCACTTCAAAAGAAAGTCTACCCCAAATAAGAAACAAAGAGATGAAAATGATGGGGCATTAGAAAAAAATAAAAAAAACTTAAGAGTAAAGAAGAAAAGAACCTAATGGGTAACAATTTTGAATTTGATTTTTATACTTGTCTTTTGAAATAATTGTTATGAATGTTAGATTATGTGTTATTGATATTATTATAAACAATTAAGGCTACAAAAATTGTTTTTTTTTTATTCAATTAAGTGGGATTGTTATAGAGGATATTTATTTATTTTCTCATCTGGTTGGGTTTATAAACTAAAAAAACTTGTCACAGGTAGGTTAACCTATTATACCCTGGTACATATAAGGTATGTTAATCATTAATTATTTATTAATAGCAATAAAATTTCTTGTATTCATTTAAATTTCTAGGTTATTATCAACCAAGGCAACAATATGTGAACCAAGACCTTCATTGGAAAAAATCCAAATCCAAAAATCCGGTTTAAAGGTAAATCAGTTTCTTTAGCGTAACTGATTACAGATCAAAGTTCTAAAAAGATAAAAATGAAAGGAATAAACGTTGCTATGTACTAGTAATAGTATTGTCGCTGTTTTTATAAATATATAATTTTGATACGATTTCAATATTCAATTTTTTATGTCGATATATCCAATCAAAATATATCGGCTAAAATATCGACATATTTAATCAAAGATATTGTTAATTTTTCGACATCCAAAATTTATTTCAATGGCAAATTAAGGATGCCAAAAGTGAAAAAATATGTCGATATTCGGATATATCAACATCGATCTCGATATATTGGTCAAATTTTCGTTTTAAAAAAATCTATTTTTTTGTATCAAATTCATATTATTTTAATGTATGAGAAATCTTAACAAAACGGAGGTACGTAAATCATTTATTATATTCTAATTTCATTTACTAATTTAATATTATATGTTTATAATTGACCAAAACCTTCATTGGAAAAAAAGAAACAGCTTATGTAGGAAGAAAAATAGTTTTCTTTAGCTCTGAATCTAGTATAAACGATAATTTACAAAAAAACATGTACGTTTATGAAAAACAAAGAATTGTTAAAAACGAATTTAATAAAGGGTCAAAAAGGAACCCGAAAAGACGGGTCGGCAATTAAAAAGTTAGTAGTTAAATGATAATAATTTTTATGACGTTTAAGATTTTTTTTATGAAACCGTGATATATTATAAATGTAACATTTAATTGAGAATTTGATTATAATTATTTTTTTTAACTTCGTTTAAATATTAATATAACTTTAGTTGGTACCATTAATATTTCGCATGCTTGCTATTTACAAATTAGCTTGTAGTTCAATATTCAATATGATTTGTAACACATCTACATACCATGTTGTACTTTAGATATGGATAGTATAAAGTACGAAGCATGAAATTGTAGTATATCCATAGTTATAGTACAAAATCCAACATATCATCCGCAACAATACTAATTATTTATTTCCGTTCATTTTTATCTTTTACGACTTTGAATCTGTTAATATTCACCTGAATTGAATTGGCATAAAAAATAATTTTTGATACAATTTCTTTATTCAATTCTTTTATCGACATATAGAATAAAAACATATCGGCTTAAATATTGATATAAAAAATATCGGTATCTGTATTTTTTCATCATCCGTATGTCAAATGTACGTCAAGTCGTTAATTTCGTTACACCATACCATAGAGTAAAGTAATACTACAGAAACACCACACACTTACATTACAGATATCTGTATTCTGTATGTTATATTTATATATGTGTTATCTGTTATCTATGTTCGTTACATTAAGATTTACTATTAATAAACATAAAACTGTATCAATAATTTATTATTACTCTAAAATGCCACGCAAAATCAAAAAGCTGATATGTTCACAAAAAATTGAAAATGAAGAAGGCAGCATAAAAAACAAACCTGAAGATTCTCTTAACTATTTTGATGATGACGTAAAAAGAGAGCCTTATGATGAACATGAAGTTAAGGCAAAACTAGATCTACTTAGATTTAAATATCAAAAGAAACCTACAGTAAAAATTGAATTTGAAAGTGTTGAAATACCAAAGGTATAAGTTTTTAAATACAATTTTTAATCCAGATATTAATTTTATAATAATATAACGTGTTTATATTTATTTCAGTGTAAATTTCTACTATTATATACTTTTTATTTATAAGTTTAACTTAATAAAGTATTTTTAGAAAAAAGTGATTTATTAGAAATTTTGTAGGAGGCAAAAAGTTTATGGGAACCGCCACAATGGAGACTGTTTTTAGAAAATTTAAGAACAATGCGTTTTAAAAACCACGCTCCTGTTGATTCTATTGATTCTAAGGGCTGTCGTTTTACAACGGATGCACCACCACAAGTATGGCCAAAATTGTACCTTTAAATTAAATTGTATTTTTAATGAAGAGATGTTTAAATTACTTCAAATTTTTCCTTGAATGATCTCAGTAATCTTTAAAACATATGGTCGTTTAAAACCTTTGTGCCCTTTGAAATAAGAAATATGTACACTTTACTCTTTTCAAATGATATAAATGAAAGTAATAGCATTAACTAATTTTATAGGTGGTAAGGTATGAAATACTTATTTTTCTGATGTTATCGAGTCAAACAAAAGATCATGTGAACTTCTCTGCCATGGAAAAGCTTAAAGAGAGGGGCTTGAATGTTGAGAACATACTCACAATAAGTGATGAAGAGTTGGGTAAATTAATTTACCCTGTAGCATTTTGGAAAGTAAGCAACATTTACATATAAGAAATTAATATATTTATACAGTGTTGTTTTCATTGTAGCAAATCTCAATGCAACACAGGTGTTCTTTTTGATATCACAGTTAAAATTGCTCATATAAATTACTTGAAAAGAAGTAAAATTTACTTCTTTTGCTTGGTAAACAATTTTTTATACGGCAAACTGATATTGTGTCAGGATCATTTAATTAGAGTCCTCTGCCAAGAAAGCAACAAGCCAAATCATAGGCCAAAACTAAGCACAAATATTTTACATAAACAATATTTTTGGAAATAATAAAATTTGACAATGGAGTTAAAATTGTTTCAAATTTTAAAGTTTAACCTATTTCTGGCAGTGGATGATTATGAAATGTTTCTTTACCATATTTAATTAATTAATTTAGTTAATATTATGTTTAAGAGTTTTAATGAAATAATAATATTGTTATGTTTAATTTAGTTGTAATTTATTTCATAAAATCTTTTCAAGAAATATTCAACTAATTGAAGTATTTAATTATTACAACAACTTATTTATAGAGAAAAGTGAAGTATATAAAGAAAACTACACAAACACTAAAAGATCAGTACAATAGTGACATTCCAGATTCTGTGGAAAAGCTTTGCAAGCTTACAGGAGTGGGTCCTAAAATGGCACATATTTGTATGAAACTTGCCTGGAACAAAGTAACTGGTATTGGTATGTTTTCGGAAGTGATAACTTCTTAGCTTCAAAAACTTGTAAAGATTATTATATTTTTAAGAAATATTTTAATAGAGTTTATTACATTAAATATAGTAAAAAACTGGTCTCCACTTCATTAAAATGTGACAATGCATCTGCAACCCTATGGGTTTTGCAAATATCAAATAACAGGTGAATCACCAGCTACTTTGCCACCTTCTACCATTGAGATATTGGGCTTGCAATTTATAACAAAATTTAAGTACACAATCAGGGTTATCTGCTTCTGCATTTTTAAATCAAATATCTCAATTTGTTATCATTTACACAGTCCGCTTAGTTTAAGCCTAAAAGATGACAAAATTCAACACCTTTTTATTATTGTTAAAATAAATATTAACTTGGGTGATTCAAAATGAACTTTGATTTTCTGCAGTGTTTTTGTGATTAGTCTTAATTTAAAAAAAAATGTTTTTAGGTGTTGATACTCATGTTCATCGAATAAGTAACAGAATTGGATGGGTCAAAAAAGCAACTGCAACACCAGAAAAAACTAGGAAAGCTCTTGAATCATGGCTACCCTTTGATTTATGGGTGAGATCAATTATTTAATGGTGGGATTTGGTCAAACTATTTGTTTACCAGTTGGACCTACCTGTGATAAGTGCCTTAATAAAGACATTTGCCCATCAAGTGGAAAATTAAAAAGGTCTAAGAAAAAGAATCCTGATGACATAAAAGTTAGTACTGAATCTAAGCTTGAAAATAAAAATGAATTATTGCTGGGTGAACAAATGCCACAATTTTCAGAAAACGAAAATGATATGACCCCGACAGTAAATATTGAAAGAAGTAACAATCTTGCTTACAATATGCTAAAGTCTGAAATTCAAGCTCAACATGCTGTTGAGCAAACAGCTGAAAGTGACCATTGCAGTAATATTGTCCCTGCATCGGAGACTATGCACTTCAAAAGAAAGTCTCCCCCAAATAAGAAACAAAGAGATGAAAATGATGGGGCATTAGAAAAAAATAAAAAAAACCTAAGAGTAAAGAAGAAAAGAACCTAATGGGTAACAATTTTGAATTTGATTTTTATAGTTTGTCTTTACAGTAATTGCAATTAATCTTAGAATATGTGTCATTAATAATTATATTATTGAATGAGGATTATTGAAATACATATTAAGATATGGGCCTAGTGCTCCAAAAAGTGCTTTTTATTGAAATAATTAAAATTTATTTTTACAAGGACAAGTAGTAATAGTGTATTGTCATGGTTATTTTAATGGTTTACATGACACTTCACAGAAACACCAAATGGGGTAATCTGGGGATAACATTAAAATGTAATCAAATTGTTCTACCCCATTGAACTTCATAGTGCACATACACCTTTAATTTATTACAATAAAAAAATGTGTATCTGCGTCCAGTTATCATTTATTTTACTTTTTTTTATGACTTTTCTTCCTTGATTTACTTTTTTTGACATCAGATTTTTTTTTCATAATATGACCCTTCTTTTGTTGTGATTTTTTCTTATTTTGAATTCTGTCCAATTTACTCTTCATTTGAAAAACTTTGCTTTTTTGTATTTTCTTAGTAGCTTGCCTTTTGAGCATTTGTTTGAGTTCCTTTTTAGTTTTTAAACTAGTTTCATCACTTGCACCTTCTGGTTCTGATGCTTCATTGCCACTTTCTTCATTAAATCCCATTCCAGGAACTTTTTGTGTCATATCCTCTTTCTTTTTCTTAACTTCAATAACTTTATTGGTATTCATTTTTGGCTTGTTGTCTCCTATAACAATATCTTTTTTCTGTAAAGTATCAGACGAAAGTTCAACTATTTTTACATTCACATCCTCATCTTCGTATTCTTCTTGAAGCAACTGTTCAATGTCAGGTATTGGGCGACTGGACACAACAAGCTTTTTGTAAGATTCTTTATTCTGTAATAAAAATGATGTAATGAAATGTTAGGTTTAGGTTTTCTTGAAGTTGAATGTATGCAAATACTACACATTGAAAATAACACTATTTTGCAGATTGATTTGCGCACACATAATTAGTTTTAAAATTTCCAGTTTCAGTCACTTCTGCATGCCTGATTTATTTAAAAAAAAAAGACATCAAATTACATTATGAATAAAAAATAAACATTAAAAAATTTATTAAAGCAGCTATTATACCTCTTGTTTTATACGTTTTCTTTCTTCTTTTAACATTCGCTCCATCTGTTCTTTAGCCTTCTTTTTTCTCTCAAGTTTACGTTTTCGGAATCCACACAGAAAGTCCCTAAAGAAAGAGAACAGTAAAGTTAAAAAGACAACATAGAATTCACAAAAGTTTACAAGTACGAGTAATTTTTACCTCCTTTTGTTTTCGTCAAAAACTAAACTAATCTTTTTCTTTTTTTCTGCATTTTTATTTTTTCTTTTACCCATTTTTATTATTCAAGAAATAAAAATCAAACACGAGTGTTGTATATGACACATAACCATACCAATTATCACAAACACTAGGAATGCCGAAAAATATATCTTTTATGAAATGTATCGATATTTTAAGGCGATATATTTTCATCTGATATATAAAATGTACAATATCGAAATCGTATCCAAAAGGATATTTTTTTCAAATTCGAATCCGGATCAGAGTCCGTACATTGAAATAATTTTGACTTGTCTCAATAATAGTTGGCATACAGTTTTTTTTTGACAACTGTGCCTCATAGGAAAATATCGATATATTTCTTCACTAAACATACGGCCATTGTGACATTTGATACGGAATAAAAACCATCTGATTTTTAAAATTTTTGGTTTTCACAACTGGTAATATCCGATTTCGACTAGATATACCACTAGTGATGATCTAAGACATACTGAATCGGAGACTGGAATCCTACAAATTCAATGTAATTAGAACTTTTAAACGACTATAAAAAAATTGTACCAAAAAAAATGAAATTAAAAATTGAAAAATCAATAAATTATTTTATTTTAAGAATTAACTACCAACTTAACAGAACATATTATGCTCCAATAATGCACTGTTTCTAGTGAACATATAACGCAATAATGACATGTGACAATTTACACAAAATAGCATGGAATTGTAAAGAATAAAGCTTTCTGATTAACTATTATTTTTCTAATATAAAACTTTAAAAACAAACAATACATCTGGTCTCCTTTTTTTTGCCATAAGCATTATTGAGTATTATGATATTTAAAAAAATAACTCTAGTTAGAGTATCAATTACTTCTTATTTCTGGCAAGTGTCCAACAATTTCTTAATACTTACGTTTGATTGGCGGACTCTTGGAATGACTCTTTTTTATGAGGCATAGCCCGTCCAATCAGCACGCAAGTGCACAATAAAGACGGACTCATCAGCAGCATGGCTGTCAGTATAAATTTGAAGCTTGAACGATGCGCTTCCTTTCGTCACGTTGGTTTTTTTTGTTTGTGCAATTTGACGAATATGTTATCGTGTGTGATTTTGCGTGGCTTAAAAAATGGATCGATTTGGGTGGCGTGACGTGATATCTGCCTTGTTACGCAAAGTAAGAAATGAAAAAATGCATTTAAAATATGTCAAATACTTATAAAATATCTATTTTATTATGGAGATTAAACCGTACCAAAATCATGACTTCAAAAAATCAATCAAAAACTCGCTACGTGTGAGTGTCAACCTTTCTTTATGCTTAATTAACCAATGCAAGGTCAAATTTAGCGGTTCTAGTGAAGTTGCGCCGAAAGTGCATTAAATTGAAATAATCAATACTATTATGTCGCACGGCCATATGTTAACATGAGTGAACGGTTCGTGTTACATATTACCGTTACTATTTATTACATTTCCTAAACTACTTTAAATGTGTTGAAGACCATATACCTATTAAAAACGTCATCGTGTTTGATTTCAAGTCAGTTAATTCCAGTTATTTCATTTATTTTCATACAAAGTTCAACTTATGATAGCCTGTTAAAGCCCGTGATTTTGACATTTTATGGATTTAATTATGGAAATGTTAAGTGTGAGTACTGCAATTTTTATTAATATCAACAGTCAAATTTTCGAAAATGTTTCTATCAGCTCAAAATATACAAATATATATTCCCATACTTTAATGTTTTACTGTATATTAATGTATATATTTAATACCAGAAAGATTCTAATAATATCAAATAGTATCATAAAATTGATAATTATTTATTTATTTATTGTATACTGTATTGTACACCACAAATCACTACATAGTATAAGACAACAGGACGACGTTGTTGTCTGTCCCTATGTATGCTTAGATCTTTACAACTACACCAACAGATCTTGATGCGGTTTTTTTTTTACTAGCTAGAGTGATTCATGAAGAAGGTATGTATAATACATTGCACCTTTGCGAAGCTGAGGCAGGTCACTAGTAATTTAATACAATAAGTATAAAATAAGTCTTAAAAGCTAGGTACAACAAGGCGATCTTTTCGCTAACAAGCGATCTCTTTCAAACAGCTGGTGGAGGTGGTGTGCCTAATAAACTTACTTAATAATACCAAACTACTACTGAGTAAAATATAATAAACATCCATAAACATAAATACATAATTATAAATAAAATAAAATATAATGGATTTGCTGAGGAAGTTCATTCCACTAGCAGCCTTGGCCTTGACTGTAACATGTGGTGCTAATCAGTTCTCCAGCAGATCACAGAACTCGTTCTAGACGGTTATGGCCAAGAAACTTTGTTTATTTTTTTAATAACTTGGAGTCCTAGGGTTAAATAATACACAGAATTATATGTGTACTAGCTTTTCGCCCGCGGCTTCACTCGCGCTGAAGCCCTTAAATAAATATTAAGAATTTTCACTGCCTTACAACACTTTTTTCCAATTTAAAAATAGTCTATGTCCTGGCCCAGGCTCTAGACTATCTGTGTACCAAATTTCATTTAAATTGGTTCAGTAGTTTTGGTGTGAAAGTGAGACAGACAGACAGAATTACTTTCGCATTTATAATATTAGTATGGATTATATGTCACAGGTTTGGTTGCAATATTATGAACAATCTTTTTTTAAGTAGCTTAGCCAACCTTATTAGGAACTATCTAATTGCAATATTGATTCCCATATATAAGGTCAAATATAATATCCTAAATATTTAAATGCCAAATCAAGATATTTGAATTTGGTGCAGTCTTTGAATCACTTTTTAAGTGAATCTATGGACATGTGCTACACCTGAGGTTTGCAGATGCGTTGACAACCTTGGTCCGGCTAACTCACTCATCAGACGAAACGCAAAAGTATTATACTTCCACTTCACACTGCTCTTCTGTGAGGTTGTGGTACTTACCTGGACGAGCCTGCCCATAAATGCAACAGCCGTGGATGCTGCGTTCCCCTACCACCGTAAAAAATTGAGTTGTATTATTTATCAATTCTGCTTGTAATTCTCTCCTAATGGTTTTTTGGCTAAACATTATTGCAAGATTATAAGTACATTATTTACTATTATTCTGAAAAAGTGGAATTTGTTCAAAGAGTAGAACCTCTACCTGGGATGCCACCATAACTTATTCTATGAGGTTTAGTTACTTTTAGGAAAGTGATTATTATTTAGAATCTAAGTATTAAATAAGAAAACTTGATGATCTAAGTATTAAATAAGAAAACTTGATGATCTAAGATCTTAATTTAATTAATTTTTATTTCAGCGTATTAGCATATTCTCAATCACATTCGCCTGGCACAGTTCTCAATAAATAATGTAGATTATTATTAGGCGCTTACATAATTTTATCATTCATATCCTTTTCCAGTCTTTTCATTATTTTCCTAATTATTTGCATGCTAATTGCATTCAAATAATTATTCTTTGGCATCATTAAAAAAATAAAACTTTTTTTAATGATCCCAAAGAAGTATAATTTTTTTTTCTACCGTAAAAATAATTTATGTGGCAAAATGAAGTTTGGTTCAGCTAGTATTCTTTTAAATTTTAAATATTGTTTTGAAAACTTATTTATTCTATAACTGAATTTTAATTAACTCAGTTAAGACAAAATTGAACCAATTAATGTTGATTGCATAATACATGAATACATATGTGGTTTAATTGGATATGTATTATTTATTACTAGCTGCTGCCCACGACTATGTCTGCGTAAAATAGGCTGAAGGCGTAACATTCAGACAGAAAGACAGATATACATATAATATGTGTATAAATTATAGCCTATGTTTTATTCTGATGTATAAGCTATATTGTTGTAAAGTTTTATTAAAATCCATTCAGTAGTATTTGCGTGAAAGAGTAACAAACATCCATCCATACATACAAACTTTCGCCTTTATAATATTAGTAAGGATAGCTATGATTTATTAAAAAGAAAAATGTGCATAATAGCTCCATTATACCAAAGTTGTTATGTCTGAACCTTCTTTAAGACCCTGACCCCTATTGTAACAGATTATAAGTATGCAAATATAGTTTATTTCATCTATCGCCATAAATCAGTAATAATTATTTGTGCATAATAATATAATTCTGATCAGCTGCTATCCCATAAGTATTTTCCGTATCACGTTGTACAGACGTTGCGATAAAGCATCGTATTCATCCTAAAATAGAGCTGACGCGTATAAAATGCGCTGTCGGCGGCACCAATACATTTTGATTTTTAATGTGGCGTAATACCCCGATATCGTATGGGCTCTACATATCTTTTTTTTTATATATCTTAACTGTCCCATCCCGGGTCGAAACTACAAACTAGGATGGTGCCTTTGCTCCGTTGTTTGTCTAAGTTGTTGAATATTACTTTTTAATTTATATATATATACAATATATTACGTATCGTAATGAGATTTAAAATAAATCTTCTTTATCAATTACTGGGTAGAGCATGACGACCACCTGATAGGGTACAGATATGATAGCTGAAATTCGAGGCAAGTCGATGTATGTCTCTATCATATCAAACAAAGAAGCATATCCTTCGGGTGTGGGGGAACTTAGACGTTAAAACTAAGTGAAAAGTAATACTTTTATTACTTTATTGTTAACATAATTATAATATAGACAATAGGAACACATGAAAATAAAAACATGTACAAAGGCGAGCTTAACCCTAAAAAGAGTTCTCTTCCAGCAGACCCTTGAGAACACGGCTAATTTGTAACTAGGCGAAGGTGTGTACCTAGATTATTAAAGATTTTTGTACGAGTAACTAGCTGACCCGGCAAACGTTGTTTTGCCATATAAATTAAAAAATGTTTGGTGTGGACCACCCTTAACATTTAGGGGGATGAAAAATAGATGTCCGATTCTCCACCCTGGTCGATATGCAAAAATTTCGCGAAAATCAATTACAAACACCATGACACGAGAATTTTATACATTAGATTGTTTTATGGCGGAACACCGTAACAGTCTCATTTCATTGCAATTTATACTAAATTTGGTTTGGTTCGTTACTCTCTCAAGACTACTACTAGATGAACACTATTAACGTCCCCGATCGAAATTTCCCGCTCGAAAATATTGTTTAATTGAGCGTAATTTGTATACATAACAAATTATTGAACAAAACCCGAAGCGAAGCCCGCTGATAAAGTATTATTATTCCGTTGGATGGTCTCTCTTACGCCCTAAGATACCTACATGATAAAGGCAATAGGAAAAACGTTATATTAATACGGAATAATTAAAACATCTAGATAATACCTACATTTCATTTGTACTAATAAGGAATCGCGTTGGCACGTGTAAAAACTAGAAAAACAAAAAAAATATCGTTCCAATTTTTTTTGGGCGTCTAAATTAAGGTAAAATCTTAAATGCACCGCCGTGCGTCTTCAGAAACCTCAATAAACTATTAACTGCGAAGAAATTCTTTAAGTTCAAACTAATTTAATGTTAGTTAGGAGCTAATCGATGCCTCGGAATGTGCACGTTTGTCTTGTTGATTGGCAATGTCGTCCAGTTGGTAAGATTAGATTACCAGTATTCATAAAAAAGTAAAGCAACAGCCTATATACAGTCCCACTGCTGGGCAAAAGCCTCCTCTGTACAGAGGGCATCGAGGCATAGTCCATCACTCGGCCCTAACTTCTCGCGGAATGGGTGATATTGTGGAAAAAAATCTTTTCGTTCATCCTTTTCAAAGATGTGCTCACGGTGTTATCAAATGCTAGGATATACTATGGAATCTTTTAGCGAGACCGTTATGAAAGTTATTCTTTTACCTAAACACGAAAACTAGCGACCTTCACCCAGAAGGAGGTGGTGATTAAGGATTCTGGAGCTCATGGAGAGTATTTCTTTCTCTTTTGCGCCGTGGTGCAAATCGTTTTGTCTCACTCGCACTATGTATATTTGCGAACAACGTTGTTATTAACGGTTTCGGAAATGTGTCCCTCTTCGGTTGTGTTTGCGAGGGAGGCCTATATTCAGCAGTAGATTCAAACAGGCTGAAGTGATGATGTTGATGATGACCTATTCATTTTTCTGACCATAATTTGTTTTTAGATATTTGTTAGTTCTTTCAAGCGATAATTCGACTTCTGTACTAGACCGTACATGCGTAGAGCTCTGGGTCCAATAAAATTTTGCGCCAATTATTCTAGCGCCTGGTTAGATAATTACATGTATGTGGTCAAAATAACACATGACTTTGGGACCTTTAAAAAGAGAGCCTACTCATACCTAAGGCTGTGTACTTAGTTGTGACTTCTCCGATGTTGCAAGTAGCCATGTGGTGCCGTGACCACTGCTATCCGGAGACCCGCTTGCTCGAATATAATAATTTCCAATTAAAACTGTGCTACGGCCATGTGTCCTATGCATTAATTGTTGCACGAATCGGCAGGTCCGTCCGGGTACTTACCGGAGACTTCTGGGATTTTTATTATACAATGTGGAAATTGTAAATCTCATCTGGTTTTTTCTTCTACGATGTTTGATGTTTTTTTGTATTGGATTGTTTTAGGAGAAATAATCGACCTGAAAGGCGCTAACAAATCCCGGCAACATGACGTCCAGGTAAGCGTTCTAATTTATAATACCATCAATAATATTTATAAACATCTCGGCGTTGCTTTTTTCATAAAGAGTAAATCCGCATTTGGATAATTTCATATAGCGAAATCGCATACATTTTTGTTGTATCAGTAGGCGATCATCCAATGGCAATAATGTAATAATTAAATATTCATGAGATAGGGCCATAATGGCAGTGTTATTGATTCGTGATAAAAAATGTTTTGTATCTTTCATAGTGATCATGCCTGCATAGAGAGACAAAAAAAAGAGAAACCTGATATGAATACAATATTTTATCCAAACCACAACATAATCGTATAAACTGTGGACTGAGATCGGTATAATAAATTTCAACAGTACGGTGCGCGCAAAACTAACATGCACCGCCGTATTTGTTCCTAGAAAAAGAAAAATAATATAGAATTCATAGTATGGTATTAAATAGATTGTGTTCAATTTCGCAATGGATTCTCACAGTTTCGAAAACTTTCCGTGGTCACGAAAGGGATTACATTTAAGAGTCTAAATACCTAGATGAAATATATCGAAGATATAATTTGATTTTTGTACTCGACTGTACTCGTGGTGATAGTCACGGGCACTATAAGGGTATATAATAGGCAGGCGGATGCCAACATTCATTTCATATTATCGTTTAACTTCAAGGGTTCAATTGTCCAAATGTTTAAAACACGCGGGCCCATTAGCCGACAATGGCCGAGAAAAACATTGTAACACGTTTTCCACATTAGGTTCCATTGAAAACATTCTTTCCAGTTTTTTTTTGTTTAAATTTAATTCTCCGCGGCCAATTTAATCTCGTCATTTTATGTTAAACTTAGACCACGGCTAAACCGTGGAATGTTAGTCTTTAATATATCGCTGTCCATTATCCTTGATGATGTTATGAATGTCGCACCCAATCTTCTAGAAATAGAATGACCGAGTAGAATAATTGAGGAATATTGTTCCAACTGCTAGTAGTATAATAGGAAAAAAACATGGTCCTTTGTTTGGTTGAAATGTTACATCTGAAATACGGCCTCGTAAAAGGAGAATGTTTCTCATGTAAGCATTAATAAAATATAAATACACCTTTGAAACATGAAATTAAAATAATTTAATATATTAATTCCTCGATGGCTTGGTTTTATTAGTTCCGGGCAACTGTAACCGGGCAAATGTTATGTTTTTCGGATTTGTTGCCTTTTGTAAAAAAAAAAAAAAGGAAACGTGAAATCGGTTTGTGTGTTACGCAGACTGGACCGTCTGTTCGTGTTGCTGGAGGCGGGAGCTGGGGCGGCGACGCGGCGTGCAGCCGCCCGGCAGCTGGGCGAGGTGCAGAAGGCCCATCCAGAGGAGTTGCACCGGCTCCTGGGCAGGCTGATGAAGTACCTGCGCTCGCCTGCCTGGGAGACCAGGATCGCCGCAGCGCAGGTGAGCTCCAGGAACGCGCGGCTCGTTTTTAGCAGTCACCAATGTCGCACTGGTAGTCAATATAGATGCTGTTTATTGTCCGAAAACGGAACTTGTTTACCCCCTGTACGTGTGTTCCAAAGGCCAAACGGAACAGAACGGAATTTTCGAGTATGTATATAGGTACTATATCGCTGCCAAAATGAAAACATATATCACTGTATGTTTTCATTTTGGGAGCGATAACGTTTAAAACAAAATGAGATTACACAGCCGCCTTTTTTTTTAAACTGTATTCTCGCGTATTTGCAAATGATTTATTATTCATCAACAATTATCGTCAAGCTATATTATTGAAGAACGACAATGATACATACAATTGTGACAAATACAAGTTGCGTTTTCTTCTTTAGTACAACTACAATCTACTACACAAAATGTCTTCTGTTTTTTTTGTTTTATTTTTAAATAATAACTTTTAGTTCAGTGTCCTACAACAGAGGTTGTCTTGTGTCCTATGTATTGATGAATAAAGGCATCATTATCAAATCAATGTTCTTTTGTACTCATATACAGGTTGGCTTTTTTAAGTGTATCTATTTTTTTTATTAAATTCTAGACATACTCTTAAGTAATTAATTACATTCATTTGAACTTATCTCAAAAAGTATTTATGAATGACTACCGCATTGTCAACACGTTCTGTTTTTTAGGGAATAGAATGACATTTTTTTTTAAAAATACTTTATTTTTTATTTCAATAAACGATTATACCACGAGTCTGAACCTCCTGTGTAAATTTGGGCACTTCTCAAAAAATCTCCCTGTATTTATATTTTTTAGGAACATTTTCCCTATAACTGAATTGATGTTGCGATGCGAAGTTGACTATTTTTTTTTTTCATAACTTCCGTAATACTTAAAGTGGCGAATTCACAATAGGTCTGTGATTATATGAATAATTTTTTTATTTGAGCATCCTCGCATAGCTTGCCAGAAGTTATAAAAGATGGGGAAGAAAGGTTCTCGAGTGGCAGCCTGGTACTGGCCATCGCAGTTTAGGGCGAGCCCCCGTCGATGCACGTACGTAGGAAGTCGATGGATGCAGTTTGCTCAGGATTGCTCTTCGTAGAAATCTGTGGGGTAGAACGTAGTTCTGCAGTCGACTACTGGGCTGAAATGATGATGATGATCCTGGCATTATTAAATGAAACATTAACATACGATACGTGATTTGATAATGAGACTGAGAGCTTACACCATAGTATTCGCAATCGGCTTGTGTTTTACTTAATATTGAAGTGTTATAAATTAAAAATTTTATAGTGCTAATCTCTCCACTTAAGATTAAACATTAGATTAGATTTCGTCGGTGTGGCAATCGGCCGTTTAGCTTAGTTACTAGGGTTCCGTTCCCACAGCGGGGAAAGACTTTTTGTTTCGTTTTTTTCTACAAATTTTAATTGAAGTATTATATTTATGTTAAATACAGGGCAATAAGACTGTGGCCTAGGTTTACAAATTTACAGTGTGCCTAAATAGACCTTAAAGGAAGTTAGTGTCCAACGTATATGGATTGAGGTTTATTTAATTACAATATTAATTAAGCAATTAGAATGCGGCCACCTACGTTAGCAAGGCGGCACGGACACGATCGTATATGAAACCTGCTTTAGAGGAGAGCCAAGAAAAGCCAACGATAAACAATCCTACTATTGCCAAAGATGCCATTAACTTTTAACAGTAATTACGCCTATATTTTACTATATGTAACGGTACTTTGCTTTTCAACAGTTACATTAGTAACAGGTCGGAAAGATCGAATTAATTTTGACTAATTAACATTTTTATTACAATTCAATATTAAAATTGTTGAAACAGATTGTCGGCCCCATTTGCTATGACAGAAATCGAAAGGGAGTAAAAACATCTTGGCAGCAAAGTCTGGGAAAGGGAATGAGTAGACATTTCGTTCTTCTACTTTGGTATATAGAAAATCCAAAAAGTAAAGTATACCTAAAATGTCCCTGGATAAGCAAAAACCGGCCAAGTGCGAGTCGGACTCGTGTACGATGGGTTCCGGTCCATTATCTGTAAAAACGGCAAGAAAAAATAATGTCTGATGTATTGGAGCCCCATTTAAATATTTTTTTTTAATTGTTTTTTAGTATTTGTTGTTATAGCGACAACAGAAATGCATCATCTGTGAAAATTTCAACTGTCTAACTATAACCAGGTCACCAGGTGACAGACGGACAGACTGACAGCGGAGTCTTAGTAATAGGGCCCCGTTTTACCCTTTGGGCACGGAACCCTAAAAATGGCTGTTAATTCTACACTATTCGGAGAAATTTACTATCTCCGAATAGTGTAGATCTATTTTAGGTTTTTAGTTCCTATAGCGTAAACACCAATTAGTTAAATAAAAAGGGCTTTTGGAACTGTATCTATGCGAAAAACGTTGCACGACAAATCCTGCATCGCTTTGCATTTGAAATGCAAATAAAATCCCACCACCATATTGATTTTTTGGTTTATATCGTTGTATTAATCCACTACGAAACAACATTGGACATATCAGGTTCGAAACTTGTACAAAACTACTGTTATTTACGGTTGTAGCAATATTGTCGCAATACAAACTTAATACGCAATTATATCTTACAAGTGAAAGTCTGTGACAGTTTACATTCTCTCTGATAATGTATGTACTCAATTGTCTCTGAATTTATTGAATGGAAAGATTCTATATTCAAACTATTGCAAAATAAACTAAAGAGTCGTAACATCTCGCCATTGTGATAATACTGAACCGGAACCTACGTCTACAAATTAATAAAAAAAATAGTTCAGTATTATTACTTTAAGTATCTATATTAAATATGGTATTATAAATTGGGTAGAATGTTCAATGATATTTTGTTGAACTTATTTAAAATTGTTTATTGGACTAGTATGACAGTCTCCGCATATGGATTGGCACTCTGTGGGAGAGGCCTATCTATGTTCAGAGGACAATCTAAAATAATTATAATGATGACCTTTTTTTTCCCTTTGATACAGGCCGTTGAGGCGATACTCTCAAACGTTCCAGAATGGCATCCCACGCCAGCAGCTGTCAAGAAAGGTATTCATTAAATAATATCTCTTAATCTGTAACTGCTTTGATAATCTCAAGACTCGGATGCTCGATTAAACGACTTTCGAGTTATATATTAAACGTTTTCGTTAATAAAATATAAGTTAAATATCTATTAAATACTTTCGATAACTATAGGATTTAAATATGCAGGCTACGTTCGCGGCGCCATCTAGTCACTTGGTACAGTATGTCCAGGTACGTGAAGAAGTGGAAAACGAGCAGGCGATTCACCTGGTGTTAAGTGATAACCGCCGCCCATGGAAATTAGCAAGACCCGTAGGGTTGCAAGTGCGTTGTGACCTTTAAATAAAGTGGGCCCCTGCTACCTCACTCACCAGACGAAACGCACAAATGTAACGCTTCTACTTTACGCCGGTTTTCTGTGAGGTCGTGGTAATTACCCGGACGGACCTGCCCATTCGTGCAACAGGCAACACTTGCGTGGCCCTATCACAGTTAATACATGCCTCGTCCTCGTAATCCCTTCTTGACCTTTTCTCCAACACTTTTGAGCCGAGAGTTCATAAAGTTTATCTATGGCCATGTGACGCATAATTTTCTTGTCATAATTTCCATAACTATTTCACACAACTAAAAAAAAAGACACCGTCACAAAAAAAAAGATAAACAAAACATGAACTCTACTCAAGGGTCATCTAATGAACTGTCAAATGGCTTTTCAAATGTTATTTGAGTTGCCAAAAGGATTGTTAAATTCTCTGAATTGATCAGAATGATCTTCTTAATGATCAGAATGATCAATTCAAAGAGTTTGACATTTGAAAAGCTATTTGACAGTTGATTAGTTAACTTCTACGATGATCAGTGTTTCAGAAACCGGGCGTGAGTGTAGGCGATGAAACGGTCCAATGATAACACGAAATGGGACATTTGCGAATTTAGGTTAGAACACAATATAGAGCTCTTCGCTATAAGTGCTTTTGCCACGCCCACATTCATTAGCCGAGTGCCCCAAGCGATCAATAAGGTGACACGCCCTTGCTGTTAATATTTACGATCCATTTTTCCAATGGATCTTAGTGCGAAATGACGTTAGTTCAATGCTTTATTCGGGGGTATATATATATGGGAGGTCAATACTGGTAATTCATTCATTCAACTTACTTTAAATATAGTATTCATTGCAGGTATTCTTAAATTAAATTTTATGTGCTCACTAATTTACTACGGACGATATAGAGGTGTCTTTTTGGAGTGTTAGACACTTGCGCAGTAAAAAAACGATAATACCCGTTGAACAGTTATATTTCACCATTATGTAGCATTCTTGTGTATACAAAAAAACGTTGTATTAGATCAAATCGCTATTTTATTGTTATTACTTGCGATATAATTATAATCGGTTGCTTATGCAGGGTGCTGATAACAGGACAGAACTGAATCGGGCTTACTGTCGATAAAGTTTTGTTTATTTATTTTATTAACTATGGTTCATTACGTTTACTTGTACGTAAAAGGTCAAACTTGTTCCAAAATTGGATATGATAAGAAAAAGAAGCTATGATAATTCAGGAGCAAAGGTTGTACAGAGGTTCAGCAGTGTAGGTCTTTGCGTTTTCTGCTTGACAGAAGGATTATGTTTTGGGACAAATAACACTGATAGTTCAGTGGCTTATATGCTCACCATTCCAACCACCGCTTCACGTCTGTTGTGAGTTCAATTACCACATGGTACAATAATGGTACTATTATCTACAAATAATCATTCATTTAGTCGTTCATAAAGATTTGTAACGCAATATTCCGAGCTTCAAAATCGAGAGCGCGCTTATGACACCGTACGATATAATATGATTTTTGAAGTTATACTTTTTAAGCGCGTTTTAAAAAAATGATGAGAGTGAAATTCCCACCATTGAAGCTGCCCGCTAAACCGATTATTATTTTAATGATGCCAAAGAAGTATAACTTGTCACGCGCCATTTTTTCATTGCTCGTTTTATAATGATAATGGAAGTAACAATATTAGGTCACATAACTATTTGAGAGAAGCAATCTTCGAGGAGATGTGACGCATCACTTCTGTAGAGGTCAAAGGCACAAAAGATTGCCACATCTGTCACGGTGACACGTGTAAAACGTCCGGCCTCGCGGGAACGGATGTCCCGGGCCGATAGGATTGTGCGGACGGTTAGTTTTAAACGGGGATATCTGCGCCGTTTTAATTGACATCGTGACGCGGGAAACGCGCTCTACGTACGCCTGCGTGTGTCAGTATCAATCCACTTCCGCCCCCGTCGCTTAATGCTCGTTGAATTTCAATGTTTGATTCGGAGCGTGTCATTTATTCGTGCCGAATTTGCTGTTTCTACAAATCATTTAACCGTGGTAGGGCCACGAGACAGTCTTCGATCTTGTAGTGATGGGCAGGTCCGTCGGGGTAAATAACACGACCTCACAGAAGACCGGCATGAGTTGGAAGCACACTTATGCGTATCGTCTGTTGAGTGAGGTAACCGGGGCGCGACTTTATTAAAAGGCGGCAACGCATCTGCAACTCTACGGGTGTTGCAAATGTCCATGGATGACGGTTATCACTTAACATTAGGTGAACCGCCAGCTCGCTTGGTTCCTTCTCTAAGAAAAAGAAAATATAAAATTGCACATTAATTAAAAAAGATAATTAAATGAAGCTACGCTTCGGATTCTTCGAGTCTCGGCCATACATCCCGTGACAATAAATAAATAACCGCTGTGGAGTGTTAGCCACTTGCGTAGTAAAAACACCAAAACAGTTTTATTTCACCATAATGATTTCTTGTATAAAGGAACAGCCTATAAATGGGCTAAGGCCTCCTCTGTAAAGAGGCTATCAGGTCATACCACGCGTCCACCACGCGACTCCACTGCGGATTGGATTTACATTCAATATCAGCCTATTGCCGTCCACTGCTGACCGTAAGCCTCCCCCAAAGTGCGCCAACTATCTCGGTCCTGGGCTGCCCGCGACCATCCGCTGCCCGCCGCCTTAAGTCCATCTTGCTGCAGGGCGACCCACACTACGCTTCCCTAGCCGTGGTGTCCACTCTAACATGTGTCGCCGGCCAAGCGTGGTGACTAAGGCAGATTTCCCCCAATGAAAACCAACTCAGACCACATATTTTTCGAAATATTTTTGTTTTGTTATTATTTCGAAAATACGCCGGTATATAATAAAAACTGTATGAAAATGTTTTCCTTATGTCGCATGTCGCGTCTTCAGTTCGTGAATTAGCAATTGAAATAATGAAATGTAAGTCGAGGCCAAAGGTATCGAGCAACGAGTCTCGTCTCGACTTGCAAAAAAAACCGGCCAAGTGAGAGGCGGCCACGCGAACGAAGGGTTCCGTATGTGTGTTGTATGGGAGCCCCACTTAAATATATTTTTTACTAGCTGTTGCCCGCAACTACGTCTGCGTAGTATAGGCGGAAGGGGTAACATTGACTGAAAGACAGATTTAAAAATATGTACATATATTATAGCCTATGTTTTATTCTAATGTATAAGCTATATTATTGTAAAGTTTAACGGTGGTAGGGCCACTCAGCAGCCTCGGCTGTTGCACGAATGCGCAGGCCCGTCCGGTTAAGTACCACGACCTCACAGAAGACCAGCGTAAAGTGGAAGTATGACAAATACTTTCGCGTTTCGTCTGGTGAGTGAGGTAGCCGGAGCCCAATTTTCAAAAGGTTGTCAACGCATCTGTAACCCTCGGGTGTGGCAGATGTCCATGGGCGGCAGCATTCACTTAACATCAGGTGAACCGGCTGCTCATTTGACAACTTTTCGCATAAAAAAAAAAAGTTTCATTAAAATCCATTTACTAGCATTTGCGTGAAAGTAACAAACATCCATCCATACATACCAACTTTCGCCTTTATAATGTTAGTAAGGATTCTGTTTCTTATAGTAGTTTTTTGTTATAGCGGCAACAGAAATACGTCATCTGTGAAAATTTTAACTGTCACGGTTCATGAGATAACCTGATGAACCGTGATGAACCGTGACATAGCCTGGTGACAGACGGACAGACATATAACGGAGTCTTAGTAATAGGGTCCCGTGTTACCCTTTGGGTACGGAACCCTAAAAATTCCCATGTAAACATGTAGGCCACGAATGCCGAAGACGTGGGTTCGATTCAGCGACGACAATCTTTTCGTACTTTTTCTACATATTTTAACATGATAAAAGCTCGATAAACCGGTTAAGTTATATTGTAAAAATATCAATTTATAAATACGGTATTTGTCAAATGAATGTGTAATTAATGACTTGTATTCAATGTAATTAATTATAACTTATTAGTATGACTTTTTTTTTTGCTTCCAATCTATAGGAAAGTTTACTGAACTAAGATTGGATGTCATAACCTTTCTTATTTCTCTTACTGATTGAAAAAAAAATCAAAGAAATACAACTCTGTCTTGTGACTATGGGGGCATTATACAGCGTTTGAGACCACCGACGAATTTAAAAAAGATACAAAACGCATTAAAACCAGTCAAATTATATTATTTGTCAACGCGTCGTATGCGCGTAAAACAGTCAATCTTTTATCACGTAATTGTTGTAATTAAATTTTTACTGTCTCTGCGCTTGCGATGAAACCTAAATATGTGTAAATAAAACTGTCCCCCTGTGTTCATTTTACAATCCTTGCAGTAAACCATTGAAAGATTTACAAAAAACAAAACACAGTCATATACCGAGTTACTGTACCGTTTGCAATACTTACTACCGCCGGCCACTCCGTGCAAGCGCGGGGGCACTCAGACTAATGCGAAATCTTTCAGAGTAAATGATACTGTTACGTGCCCTATAATGTACATTGTGGCTTGCTATTTTTGCTTTTTTATGTGCCAAGCGAGCAGACGGTTCGCCTGATGTTAAGTGAACACCGCCGCCCATGGACATCTACTACACCCGAGGCTTCCAGATTCTTCGACAACCTTTTGAAAATTGGACTCCGGCCACCTCGCTTCCAGACGAAACGCGAAAGTATTATACTTCCACTTTACGCCAGTCTTCTGTGAGGTCGTGGTCGCTTACCCGGCCGAGCCTGCCCATTCGTGCAACAGCCGAGGCTGCTGCGTGGCCCTACCACGTACGTACGTATTCTTAGTACTATTTTTTTTGAGAAGATGGCAATAAAGCTGGTGGTTAAGCGATAACCGCCGCCAGTGGACATTTGCAACACCCGTAGGATTGCAGATGCGTTGCCACCTTTTAATAAAATGGACCCCGGCTACTCACCAGACATATCGCAAAAGAATAACCCTCCCACTTCACGCGGTTCTTCTGTTAGGTCGTGGTACTTACCCGAACGGTCCTGCCCATTTGTGCCCAACTACAGTATAGACGCCGCGTCCTTAAACGGCTTGGAAATTTGTTTCTCTAAACTGTTTATTTATTTATTTATACTTTGAAACATCCACACCTAACTCCACCAGTAGGAGATCGGTGTAGGGGTTCGCTCCGGCTGACTCAATCGGACCGATCGAGACCACAGGGTGAGGCTCGGTGACCCAGTCACGGGGACGGAGAGAATTTATTTTAAATAGGCACCAGCCCGACCCGTGCAAGACAGAATAATGCTTATTCTAAGGGATTTACTTAGTGGAAATAAAAGATACATTCCTTAACAGTTTTAGAGTTTATTGATACAAGGTTTGAATATAAAACTAAACTATATCAAGTTAAAAATATAGAAGGAGTGAGATCTCACCAATCAGGCATAATAATAGTTACATTAAGTGTTAAGTATACATTAAATTAATCACTGTCACAAAGCAGTATATAAATATAATCATGAGTTTAATGGCTAGTTAGATTAGAGCAAACACATACCAGAAGGAAACATAACTAGGCTTGCCTTCCCACTTTTCAAATAAGGGTGAAGACCTCAGCTCAGCAATGCTCACATGCCACCGAGGGGCATTCAGCTAGTCCGCGGCTTCAAGTTACACGTGGACAGCAGGACCTCAGATTCTTAATATATATGCAGTTGCATATAAGGCGAACACGCGGTTCGATATCAAGCCATCAGAGAGAAGCAGATCAGAGTGATACGAGGTAGCATTAAAGAAGAAAGAGAAACCAATAAAAAAAAAAACCCTGTAACAAAATACCAATTGTTAACAAACGAATGATGGACCGAAAACAGTCAGATCCCAAAAATATATGCACAAAGGAAACTTACCAACGATGTGGGATTTTTATATAAAATACAAAGGCCAAGAAGCCATATACAAGTAGGATGTAAAAGGATGTGGCCTAGGATGCCACATACTCCTTTCCTACATTCTCGAACTATGCAGAGGCGCTGCCGCCAGGCGGCGGCCGCCTCAGAGCTCCAACAAGAAATGATCAAGACGAAGCTGACTGCCGTTATCGCATGAACGACAGATGATGCAAACAACAGACTATGCTAAACAAGACAATGTTTCTAATCGAAAATTATGGAAAAACAAATTTGCTTGATATCAGTTCAACATAATTAAAATGATAGTATTTTATATTTATATTTTATTGTCTTAAATAATCTAAGGAAATAAACAAAGACAAAACAACAAGGTGACCTAACGCCATCTATGATAAATGAAATATAGATTTTCTAAGGATCCCATTCAACTAAATTATATTGTTCACGATAGATATCGCTATACGATCCACTATGGATTGCCAATATAAGGCACTCGAATCTTAAGGGTACGAGGCGTCGAAAAAAAAGTGTTACAACTTTATACACACAAAACACGTACATAGGCGGACTTGACAACATTATTTTTTTATTTTATTACACTTACGCACACCACTATCATTACAGGCTGAACCAATGCTATAGTGTTGTCAAAAATTATAAAATAGTCGAAACAAAATATAAAAAATAAAAGCTAACAATTCCATAAAACCAATTATACCCAGTAAGAATGTAATACACAAAGAAAAAAATCATCCTAATAATTTTTAGAGTAACATATCACGTAATGGGATACTATTATAAAATCATTTCTGTGACATGAAAACAGGTCAATTCTGTCGGCAACCTCATTTAGAGTGAGCAGTGCACGTGTGAATGGAGCCCTAGCCAGCAATTATCTACTATCTCTCTCTTTCCAGAGGAGAAACTTGAGCAGGAAGATAGCGGGCGCCTCCGATGCGAGAGCTTCGACATCGAGCGCGTCCTGAGGCACGGCGCTCACCTCATGGGCTCCGAGGGTCACGAGTATGACCTCGACGAGGAGGCCCTGAGTGCCGGAGGTGAGTCGTGTTAAGTCTTAACCCTGACGGGATAGAGAGACCTGGCAACTAATAACTGGGAGAACAGCATTAAGAACTTACAAAACTCATATAAAAATTATTTGAACGTCTGTATAAAATCTCGACGACTCCGTGCCGCAGTTGGAAGGAATTGGTTTCGGCGCCGTGGGTCGTGGGTTCGATTCCCACTCAGGACAACTATTTGTGTGACACACATATAAATTGTCCACGTGGTATTTATGTATGTAAAACGTCTTTATAACACACGATAATATTATCCTTCTACTGAAAGGGCAATATTTTTAATGTATAAAACGAGAAAACATCGCTATCATCGTTTATTTTCTAACAGTGTCATTCTAAACTCTATACTCAAGAAAATAAAATAAATAATACCTTGCGACTGACTCATCAAGGTACAAATTAATCCGATAAGGTCTGAATATTAAAATTGTGAAAATTTTCAAAAGGTTCTAACCTCTTCCGTAATAATATAATCTACAGTTGTCGGGGTCACGACCACATGCACTCTTACGACACGTAGTCGGCTACCCATTCACATAACCAGTGAACTCATCCATATTCATGACTCCATTAGCTTAGAGTCTATCTCTAGGATGCAGAACTAGATAAAGCTTTAAGTAATCTCTAGACTGAAAGCGTAATTTCTTTAATACAAGTTACCTATCAAGGTTCATAATAAGAATTTTTTTTTCTCGGGAGATAAATACCGATATATTTTTGTGCGGTTTGCGCATTTATTCCATACAAAAACCGAACCTAAGTCCAAACCATTTGTAAGTTATTTCGGTTAACATAGTGGTACCTATTGTACGAATAATTTCGCTTAGCAATTGCTCGCTTCTATGATATTTTGAATTTTCCTCGTATGATATCATAATAAAAATTCTTTCCTTGTCCTTTTACGACTGGCGCGAATGCAAATATAGAATGCTAAGTAATACTCTCGACTTTAGAATGAGCTTTGCTAAAGATGAGTACAGGACCAACGCTAAAAGGCTTACGAGATTTATTAACGTGTTTCCTAATTCGATCTCTACCGCTTGCAGTATTTTCTTATTTCTTTGAATAATTTCTAAAAATCTGAGGCATTTCATTCTCAGATATTAAGGAGCGGTTGGCAAAACAGAGGCAGCAGTTAAACGCTCGCTTGGGGCTGGACGTCGCGTCTAAACTGGGAGTAGACCTCACGTCGGTCTACTCTAATGAAGACCTGGTGCCGGCCAAGATTCAGATCAAACAGGATACTTCGCGGGTAAGACCGTCTTTGTGATGAAACGTTTGACCGATACCTAATCTATAGATGTGTAATATATTTAGATTAAGTGTGTGGTTATATTATGTTTCCATAAGGACACCAAAACGACAAGGACGACTTTAGTGAAATTTTCAAATAATAATCAGATTAGTCCAGTGGGTGACTTGTGATAATAAGCGTCATTGAATGTGAATATAGCTATCGGAATCGATTTTTTTTTTCGAAGATAAGGCCCTCGGAAAAAAAGACTATATTTATGAAGGATCGATACCAGTATATAAACTTAATTGTTGTCCGAATGCTTCTGCGGTGTTTCGAAATACATAAACACCAAAATCGCTCAATTCAAATTCAATATTGGGTCAAGTATAAGTCGGGGAAGTTATATCAAGTGTATTCGACCACCAAGAGCTCCAAAATTAGCGTCGTGGGCGATCAATTAAAATTCGCTTTAGTAATCGAGCATCCCGTCGGCAGAGGCACGTGCTGGAGCTGGTGCCGGTGCCCTCGAAGCCGCTGAGCTCGCGGGAGATGAACGTGGCGAAGAGGCGGGCGCGAGCAGCGCTCGGCAAGCAGAAGTCGCGTGACTGCGATGAGGGGGGCGCCTCCGCCCCCGCCCCCGCGGGGATGGCGATCCCCTCCCCGACCTGTGTCACCCCGGCCCCCGCGCCCCCCTCGCCCCTCTCGTTCGAGCCCGAGCGCAAGAGGATCAAGCTCGAGCCCATTGACGAGTACCCGGGTAAGTGCCCGTATACCACTTGGTGTGGAAGGTATTTTTACGTGTGGTGCCAAGCGATCAGGCGGCTCTATGGATACTAAGTGATTATCGCCGTCCCGGGCTCCTAATTGTTCTGAGGTATCTGCTTTGTATTAAAATATTTGGAGTGTTCAAATTGGAGAACTCAGATTTTTTTAAATGGCAAACATTGGTGTAGCAGAAAACAAAAAATCTTGTTAAATCACTACTAATTTGGTACACTTGAACAACCTGAGTTTAAAAAGCTCTGTGTCGGCAGCCGATTAAACTATTTATTGGAAAGCAAATAAGGTTAAGTTTACCAATACGCCGTGGTCGCGTGGCGGACTATGCCTCTACATGCGGCTCAGCGGTGGGGGATATGACGTGTTAGCAGTAACTTTATCGATGACGGAACAGTGGACAGCGAGGCGGCGGTCCCCGACGGGCTGGGCGTGTGGAGCCCGGCGGCGCGCTGGCCCCTCGAGGGCTGGTGCGCCACGCTGCAGGCGCAGCTGTTCCACGGCGCGTGGGAGGCGCGCCACGGCGCAGCCAGCGCTCTGCGCGAGCTGCTGAGGGCGCGCGTCTCCGAAAGCGCCGGCTGCCACTCAGACCTCGCCGAAGACCAGGTGCGCACGCACTCACTCACGCACGCACGCACACTCTCACGCACGCACTCACGCACGTACTCACGCAGGTACACTGTTTACTGTGGTAGGGCTGTCAACTGTTTTTGAGAAAGATTAAAGTATCAAACCAGTAGTCGTCAGTACCTACCTGATACTTCTTCCTTCACAGACCCTGCGGTAGGGCCACGCAACAGTCTTCTCTGTTGCACGAATGGGCAGGCCCGTCCGGGTAAGCGCCCCGACCTCACAGAGGACGGGCGTGAAGTGGTAGTCATACTTCTACGTTTCGTCTGGTGAGTGAGGCAGCCGGAGCGGAGCACACTTCATTAAAAGGTGGCAACGCATTTGCAATAAAAAAGGGTGTTGCAAATGTCCATGGGTAGCGGTTATCACTTAACAGCAGGTGAACCGCTAGCTCGCTTGGCACCTTCTCGCATAAAAAAAGCTCGCACGCACGTACGCACTTGAGCACGCACGCGCACGTGGAAGAACTAGGCAAGCACACATAGATACATCTCGGCGCTCATTGATAGCGCGGAGGCACACGTTTATGCTATTTCAAATGTTTTCGTAGCTTGGGAGATAATTCGTTATATACTACAAATTGTTGTTAGATAAAAAAAAATCTTATTTTGTTTTATTTCCCTGACTGGGTACTATTAAATACAACAAAAAACAAAAAAAAGTAATAGTACAGCTATATTTACAACAAAATTTTTAACAAAAACAAAACCGGAAACTAAAAAACATTGTTAATACCTATAGCATTTGAGAATTGCCCTCGATTTCTCTGGGATGCCACCCTTGGGAATCTTGGGATATCTCCTCTCCAACAAAAAAAGAATCATCAAAATCGGTTAACAAACGACGGAGTTATCCGCGAACACACATAAAAAATATTATTTCATAATTCATTTACATAATCATTCTCAGATGGAGGACGCACATCAGGAATGGCTGGAAGACATGGCACTAAGGCTCCTCTGCGTATTAGCCTTGGATCGTTTCGGAGACTTCATTTCGGATCAGGTGCGCTAACAATGAAATAACTTATATATAAACTGTAAAAAAATATGTCTCTGCGTAAAATATCATTTTAAAAGGCTATAAAAGCAAAAAGAATATCATTTTAAATCAAAAAAATTCTTGCCGCATTAGTCGCGCATTCAAGCAAACCACGTTACGTAATACGATTATTGTGTTAAGGGCTCTTAAGTGGGCAGATTTAATGCCTAATGGCATTCTCTTCCTTCATCCAGTGAACATATGTTATGATGAAAAATAGATAGTAGGTGTTTTTATCCGGAGAGTTAATAATAACCATTGTCAAACGAGCCAGCTTTAAAACTGGTCAGACGTCTTTGTGGTAACCGAACTCTTTTGTAATATAACACAACACTGCTGTAAGTCCAAAATGGTATCATACAATACCGTTATTTTAACTAATACCACCTATTGTTATTTCTAATAACTATAAATTAAATATTAAGCACGTATTTATGATGCCATCTATTAGATTTTACAATAGCTTATGTACAATTGTGTAATTTCGATCCTCTGTATCGCACAGTAGATATGTGGACAGTGAAGAGGAAGATAATTATTAAAATATCAATATCGACCTCGATATATCGTGGAGAAAATATTGATATAACTATCGATAAAATTTCCATTCTATGACCTAAAAGATCTAAATAGCAATCTTCCTAATATTTTTTTCTACCTGTAATGGTCCAGAAGCCGTAGATGTCCATTAAATACGATTTCCGGAGAAATACTCATGTGTCGGATTCGAATTTGAAAAAATATCGTTTTATATCCGATTTTCGATATTGAACATATTGATCCGATATATCGATATATCGAATGAAAGATATCGATGTATCGATAGTCTGTGAACATGTGAATCGCGGGCGGCAGGTGGTGGCGCCGGTGCGCGAGACGTGCGCGCAGACGCTGGGCGTGGCGCTGGCGCAGCTGCGCGCGGGCCGGGTGCGGCTGGTGGCGGCCGCGCTGGCCGCGCTGGCGCGCCAGCCGCAGTGGGAGGCTCGCCACGGCGCCCTGCTCGCCTTCAAGTACCTGCTGGCCGCCAGGCAGGTGCGTGCCGACAGGGGGGCTCTAGGGAAATTATTCCCAAAAGAAGAAAAAAGTGCATGTCCGCGACTATTAGGGAAACTGTTATCGTACGAGTACCAACTGCTAGATCTCAACACACCATAAACTCATTATGTGTAGATCGGAATAAAAATAAATAATAAAATAATTGACGGTAGCTCGAGTGAATTACGACATTGAGTCGTAAAACAACTCAGTCTGACCCGTGACCATGAACGTTGGAAAGCGTTCGAAACGAGCAAGTAAAATCCCTAGAATAATGTCGTTTCACAATAAAAAGGATCGGTCCGCGAGAACAGCCTAACCAAAGCGCGGTTGCAGGAGGTGGCATGCGCGGCGGGTGCGCTCGAGCTCCTGGTGTCGGCGCTGGGCGACGTGGCTGAGGACGTGGCAGGCGTGGCAGCGGGCGCGCTGGCGCCGGCGGCGGGCGCGCTCGCCGCCGCCAGGCCGCACGCGCTGCCAGCCGTGGCCGCTCGCCTGTGGCAGCTGCTGCGCGACCAGGACGACCTGGCCTCCCCCGCCAACGCGTACATGGCGCTCCTGGCCGCGCTCTGCGCCCTCCCGCAGGCGGCGAAGCACCTCCAGTGAGTTTTTCTCGTCGTCGCTGTATGCAACTTCGAACCACGCGAAACGTGGACCAAGTTAGTTCCCGCTATAAACTTGTGCCCCATTTTATTAATAGGCGGCAAAGTATTTACAACTCTACGGGTGATGTTTATGTCCATGGGCGGTGGTCATTATATAGTGCCCGGTTCCTATATTCAACGAACGGCCGTTAGTTACATAGCTTCGTAATTTTCATAAAAGTTTATAGAAAGTTACGAAGCTATGTAACTAACGGCCGTTCGTTGAATATAGCATCCGGGCATAAGTGTCAGCTGCTCGCCAGCTTCTCATAAAAAGAACATTTTAACATTTTCTCTGTAATAGTCCCGCAGCAACCTCATACTACTGCATTTTTATTGCCGTGATATTTTTAAGTTTCGAGCTTGCCGCGTAGGCTGATGGTGAGTGTTACAGCCTCGAGTTTCAACTAAAACTTCACATTCCGCAGCCCCATCGACCTGGCGGACGTCCTGCCGCGCCTCTGGCCGTACCTCGACCACTCGACCAGCTCCGTGCGCAAGGCGACACTGCAGACGCTGCGCACGCTCACCCGCCCGCTGGTCACCACCGCCGACGGTGCTGGAGGCGGGGCCGAGACCAACGGCAACGGTCGGAACCCGGACTCCGGGAGGATGGACGAAACGGATACAGAAGTGAACGGCGACACCAGTTTAGAGATCGTGCAGCTCCTCACGTGGACCCCGGAACTGCTGCAGGAGGCGATGAGGCACATCTACCAGCGGGTGCTGTTCGAGCACGTGCACGAGATACAGGAGGTCGCTTTACAGGTGATTTTGTGTAATTATAATGACGGAAATCATGTAAAAAAATTCTAATAGATATTCTGTAATTATATGATAATTTGACAATGGTCTTATGCTTATATAGATCAATATTTTAAATAGATTCAATATGTTTATAGTTGATTTCTGTTATTGGCATTAAGTAATTTCTAATTTATTTTTTATTTCCTTGTTACTTTGAGGTGCGGATTTTGTAAAAAACAATAAATTTATTATTAAATATTTCCTGGTCGTCATGGCGTTGACGAGTCAGTGTGTCGTGCGTTAAGCAGTTTAAAAAAATCTTATCTTAGTTGTAATAAGAAAAATGTAACTTGGCTTAGTTTTATATTTGAATTCCCTAACAGCGTTATTGTTTTGTGGCAACCACCAGGTGTGGAGCAACCTGCTGCGGCACGCCGCGCTGGACGTGATCCTGGTGGCTGCCTGTCCCATGCTGGCCACGTGGATGTGTCTGGCCATGCAGCCCGCAAGGCTGCCCGTCGACCCATCTCTGCTGCTCTACACGCCACACAAGGTGCCATAGATACAATAGAGAATAAACAATTCTCAAATTAACCATCATAGACATAGACATAATTATTCATTACAAAACCTCTTACCTTGAGACTGATCAAGAAGAAAAAAAATAAAAGCTATTTGAAGTAACAGCCTATACATGTCCCACTGCTGGGCAAAGGCCTCCTCTATACAGAGAGTATCAGGGCATAGTCCACCACGCGGCCCCACTGCGGATTGGCGGACTTCACATATCTTCGAAATATATTTTTATATGTTATTATTTCGAAAATATGCAGGTTTCCTCACGATGTTTTCCTTCACCGCGGAACACGTGATAAGTCAGCACTTAAAGTTAAAAACGTCATTGGTGCCGACACCGGGGATCGAACTCAGGTTGCTCGAGTATATTGAATTAAAGGCGAGCGCCCGGACACTGAGCTATCACGGCTCTATTAAGCTATTTAAAATTTGTTAATACTGTTGTACGATACTGTGCTGGGGTAGGCGACTTACCGCAACAGTAGTACTTCAACCACGTGTCCTGGAGTTGGCTAAAGAGAGCCCGGACAAGTCGGCACAGCGCAGATATGAGTCCCGCAGAATATATCGCGCAAGGGCCCATAGGTCACTGAGTACTTCCATTTTGTGTGGTACAAAGAATATAGAATTTCTCTTGTTCCATTACAGAACAACTGTATTAATAACGGACATCTTTATTTCTTCTGATTTCCACCTCCATTATCCAGTAAGACTCATGAAGGTATTTCTTTAAGGCATGATTTAATTAAGCCTGGGCTTTCAACAATTTCTCCAAAGTAACAAACACCTTTACCGCCTTGTGGAGTAATGGTCATACCCTGGTTTGTTAGCGACAAAAGAATACTCTGTAGTAATTCTGAGTAATACCTACCACAACTCCCCAGAAAAACGGTGTGAAGTGGGAGATTTAAACTTTCGCGTTTCGTCTGTCCAGTGAGGTAACCGCGGCCCACTTTGTTAAAAGGTGGCAACGCATCTGCTACCCTATGGGTGTTACAAACGTCAATGGGCGGCGGTTATCACTTAACATCGGATGAACCGCCACCTTATTTGCCACCTTCTCACGCGAATAGAAAAAAAAAAACATGTACAAACACGGATCTGTGTTGTGTATTTGTCCACGTAAAACGTCCTTACAATACAGTAACTAACCCGAGGTGAGGGTAATGTGTTTAAAAATTATCCAGGAGCGCCGCACGCGGACCAGCTCGCAGCCGGCGGCGGAGGGCGCGGTGCCGGTGGACCTGCGGCCCGGCCAGAAGTGGTTCGTGGGCGGCAGCGAGTCGCAGTCCGCCGCCACGCGCGACCGCAACGTGACGCGCGCTCGCGCTGCCTCGCCGCCGACATACTGGGTCGGTGCTGCCAACTGTTCAATAATATACTGCTGGAGCATTTCAAAAACCCATTAAGGTCGCTAAATTCCAACGGCTTACGAACAAAATAAGTTTTAATTTATCTCCATTGTAAATTAATGCTTCCCAAATTCAGGAAGATTTCTTTTGAGTTGGCATCCGTGTCCTGGGTGGGTGGCGTTCACCTCGCCAAACTGCCTATAAATGCTCCTTAGATTATATGTACGTCATCCTGATGGTGACCCCAATTAGGTGGGGTCGGCACAACATGTGAATCATGTTGTAAGCGATTTTGGCTATGTTTTTACGACCAGCCGCCTAGACCCAGAAACAATAACCCAAATCCGGAGCAGTTATCTGTGGGTGGAAATCAAACCCACAGCCCCAACGCCGAAGCCAATAGCTTAGCAATCTTATTATAAATATGTCTAGATGTCAAAATTGGTTAGTTTAATTTTCATTGGGTTCAATAGCATGTGTAAATTAATGCTTTTTCTAAATATATTAACGAGGATTAAAAGTATATCACTTAAATGAATAAAATATGAAGAAAAAAAACCACCATATGCTTAGTATCAATTTTTACGCAATAATCTGATAAAAATAGTAAATATTAAAGCTTCTGTTTGTTATTACACTTTAAGTTCAAATCATAAATTTTAATCAGTTCTAATCTTCAACTTTCAAATAAATAAGATGCTGATATTTCCATTTACAGGACAGTTATCCTGCTATCTGGTGCAACCAGCGCCCGGGATAGATTATAAAGCGGAAGACGAAAGTCCTATCGATTGTTATGTCAAGGTATATATCCTTATTTTTTTCCGACAAACATGATGACTGTAAAGTATTTTTGACTCACTCTGTTAATCTGGTACAATTGGTACACACGTCTGAAACATGATTTTTATATTATTGCTTTGCTGGTATTTTGTTACCTTACTGTACGGGAAAGCTTTATCACGTGCTCAAAGGTGAAGAAAAGCTTCGTGAGGAAACCTGTATAATTCCTAAATAATAACGAAAAAAAATATTTCGAAAAAGAAGGTATATTGATAATAATACAGATATATTGCAAACTGACGAGAGAAAAATTTTCGAAACATGAATCTATTGTTATTTTCATTTTTCACAACCACACGAATGTGTAAATATTTTTTACTGCTGTAAATTTTAAATTTATATTGATAAAATCAATGTGACCGATGACCTGAGAAAGGTCGCTGGAGGTGGCTGGATGAGGAAAGTGGAAGATCGTACTCTGTGGTGTACTCTTGGGGAGGCCTATGTTCAGCAGTGGACTGCAAAAGGCTGATTGGATTGGATTGGAAAATCAATGTCGAAAAATGTTAGTAAGACTTTTTCTTTATGTTTTTGATTTTTAGGTGATGATCGTTTACCTGCGTTCGGGCAGCGCTTTGCAGAGGCTGGTGGCCAGCCTCGTCGTCTCCGCGTGGGCGCGCTACACTCTCAAGTACAACATGTACCCACCGAATATCTGCGCTGATGGCAAGCCCAATGGCACTGAGGTGAGATTTCTACTACAAAAGAAGAATAAATCAGACCTACATATGCAAGCAAATACTCGGTGTATAATATTTTATATAATTTATAGGAATGTTTTTGACAGTGTATTGGTTTGAGCATATTTATCAAGCTGTTTATTTTTTTGTAAATAACTGTTTTTTTTTTGTAATTAACTGTTTAAAGTAACGAAAAATGCAAATAATCGAGGTATATAGTAAGGATTAGTGCTAATTAAAACAGGAAAGTTGTTGTTAAAAATGTAACAGCAATGTGATTGTGAATTAAAGAGCAAAGCACATTGTAAGGCCCTATACCTTAACCCTTTGGTTAGTTAGTAATGTTCAACTTCAGTTATGCTACAGTTGCGTCACCTTTTTGATGTCATGGTTTCGCATTCTAGTATTGACAAAGTATAGTCCTACTCTTAGCCCCTATAGAATGTCACTGACTTTCCTTATACCAATACTTTTTCCAGCTCCATTTGTATTTATTTAATTATGAGGGTTTGGCTGTGATAGCTCAGTCTCCAGGTGCACGCCTGTAATTCAATTTACTTGAGCAACCTGAGCTCTATCCCCGGTGCCGGCACTAATGAAATTGTTAATTTAAAGTGCCGACATTAAATGCTCAGCGGCGAAAGAAAACGCCGTGAGGAATTCGCATATTTTCGAAATAATTAAAAAAATGTATTTCAAAGATGTTTCCCAGCAATGGGACATTTATAGGCTGCCAGTTTACTTTGCTTTACATTTCTATGAGGGTTGATATATTGATAGGAAGCGGAGAACGCAGAGGGTGATGCAGATCAAAGGAGCGCCATTGAGAAGCTGGCGCCGCCGTTGCTGACCAGCACACTGCACACCGCCCTCGGACAGGTGCTATATTACGACGAGGTTGCCCTCAGCTGCAACCGGTAAGGAACACTGACCATTTAGACGTGGTAGCAACTTCATCAAATCATACTAATATTATAAGTGCGAAAGTAACTCTGTCTGTCTGTCTCGCTTTCACTCCAAAACTACTGAGTCAATTTAAATTAAATTTGTTACACAGATAGTCTAGAGCCTGAAAAAGGACATAGGCTATTTTTTTAATTGGAAAAAAGTGTTGTAAAGGGTTGAAAGATATTTATTTAAGGGCTTCAACGCAAGCGAAGCCGCAGGCGAAAAGCTAGTTCTTTATTTTTTATATAAAATTACTAGTGATGTTCAAAGAAATATTGTAAACTATCTCACATAAAATCAAAATATAAGAATGACTTCCGTGAATCTTTTTATATAACTGTTTATTTAATCATTAAAACTAATCCAACTTGCATAATATTTAATTCACATGTGCATAAAATTGGTTATAAATAAATGATTATTCAATTTCAGCATATTACAAGAGGCTCGTGATTTACTAGCAATGATGAAACATTACAAGCTGCCAGTTGATGGTGAAGAGTTCAATAACATATTGCGTCTAGAACAGGTATACTTCTTGTTTCAGTTACTATATCCAATGTATTGAATCTATGCAAGCAGGAGAGGATCTTGTTTGTGAAAACAAGCAACTTTGTGGTAGAAGCTTTGATCTCAGACAGAGATTAATAGAGTATTTCTAATAAATTTGTACCAACATTTTTAACTTAATTTTAGATTAATATTTTAGATTAAATTTTAGATTTATATCAATATTAAGTTAATAATGTTTCACGAAAGTTTTAATAATTTTAATTTTAGATTTTACACATTTGTTATATTCCTACCCGAGATAGGTTTATGTATGATTTATAAATAACTGTTACAGATCTCTGTGATGAGATGAGTGTACATTGCATTGTCGCATCACAACTTCTATTTGTAACCAGCAAAAAGATAGTAATAAAAATATAATTGTTTTACAACCTTCATGTAAACATAATAATCGCAAAGAGATATTTGTTAACTCATAATTTTGAAGATAGTATTTGTGTTTACTATTCAAAGAATTTTGGGCTCCGGCCATTGTGTTTCTATTTTGCACCACACAACAAATAACCTTTATCATGTCAATTCGATACGTTCGTGAACCGCGCAGGTGGTGCACATGACGATCGTGACGCAGCCGATGGTGGCGGCGCTCAAGTCGAAGCGCGTGCTGGCCACGCTGGAGGAGCGGCGCAAGGGGCTGCTCGCGGCCGCCAGCCAGTGCACGCTGGAGCACGGCACCCTCAACGTCTCGTCAGTACCTGCCCGATGCTCCTAGACTGAGCCAATATATCTTTATATTGGCTCACTGTCTCTCATTGTTTCTCTTTATATACATATAAAGAATGGAAACCCGGTCCCACATTCGTTTGCTTCGACCTCATGACCGAAGTTAATATTGATCTTTCAAATATTGGGTATTTGAAAAAAAAACACATGGCGTTTTTAATGTATTTTAATACTTTATTCAGATAGCTAATTTGATCAAGTAAATAATGTATGATAAAGAACGATATTGTCGTTAACAGCCAGTGGACTGTTAAAGCTCCATCGAGCTCATGAGATAGGACACTATTTGTTGGGTAAGATCGTTAATTTTTTAAAGTTATAATTTTGACGCGTTTGGGAAAAATGATGTGATTTTTTACGATGCGCGACACTTAAAAGCTATACTAATTTCTGTTGCAGCCAATAACAAGCTTTTGAGATTTATCTATAATTCCAATTTTTTATTTATTTAATAAAACCAATCAACCATCAATTGCACTTAATGTCTTTCCTTCACAAGCAGCACAAGGGATATAATTTGTAAATATTTCCCTTTCGTTACGCTAAACAAGCATAACTTTTTTCGCGCGCACAATCGTACGCAAACGCGTTTTCTATACAATTCTAGTGCTTTTTAATTTAGTTAGGGTGTTGTTTGTGAAATGATGAATTGTCGATTCGGTCCAGAGTGCAGGCGGGCCTGGCCGGCGCGTGCGCCAACCTGCACTGCCTGCCCGAGCGCCTGAACCCGGTGGTGCGGCCGCTGATGGAGAGCGTGAAGAAGGAGCCCTCCAGGGAGCTGCAGGCGCACTCGGCCGACACGCTGGCCGCGCTGCTCGCGCAGCTGGTGCCCAGGGACCCCTGCCCCAACAACAAGGTGCTGGTCAACCTGAAGGCCTTCCTCAGGTAAGGGCTGCCTTATGTCTTCCGAGAGGTGCAGGGAAGTAGTTGACGCTGCAGCAAACGTGTAGGCCTTGGATAGTCTAAGGCAGGGCACGCAACAATTGGCTATTGCACGGGCAGGTCCGTCCCGGTAAGTATTTCTCTAAGTTAAATTAATCGTCATTAACGTGTCGAAATAGTTAGCCCGATGGGGCGGGGACTCTAATCCGATAATAAAATAACACCTTAAAAACAAATTGAAATTTCAATCGATCGATTGTGTATTCATAAATAAACGATGGTTACTGTAGTCTACTACCTGCGATACATAAAATTATTAATTTTTTTCAGTCATTTAATGGGTAGAAGTCACCTCAGTCTGGTTTAGGCCTCTAAAAATATAAGTAAAGCCTATGTTTCAAATATTTCTAATAGTGCACCTTAAAAATATGACTATAAACTATACTTTCATAATATTTTCCCCGTTTAGATGCGACCCAGAGTATACGCCCCGTGTATCCCTAGAAGGGATAGAGGATGGCGATTCTGCCAGTGGAGACAGTGGCTCGGAGAGCAAGAAAGTGAAACAGTCCTCGTATATAATGTGTCAGTATAATTATACCTTTTCTTATAAATATAAATAGATGGATTCTTTTTAATTTTGCGCTTATTTATTTTTGTATATAATGTTTTTACTAAATTAATATAGAAGTAAAAATATGTTACATTAATTAATAACTATTGTGTAGTAAACCTATTCGTCTTATTTTTTATATTACAATATCAGATACTCATTGGGCTGTGAAAAGGCATGGAGAAACTCATGACAGGCACTCGTTAAAGATGGTTGAATATTGTGAATAACTCGAAAGTTTATGCTCATTCCAGTGGACATATACAAGGGGATTCTGACGCTGCGCGAGCAGGAGCGCTCTGCGGAGCGGACGGCGCCGCGACGCGGACGGCCCCCCGCCGCCGCCGCCGCCGCGCCCGACCTGCCCCTCGACGCGCTCTTCCCCCACGAGGACGAGGTGATGACACGCGCACGAGCGCACTATGCATACGTTCCACACACACTCGTATGCACTTTATCATGCTCACGCACACTAACAACACATGTCCGATGCGC